AGCACAGTACTTGACACATAAGCAGTGCTCAGACCCTGGAGTGATGATGGCTGTGCTCTCATAGTGAATTGGCCTGTGAATGGACATGCCAGCCAGAGAGCCTGGAAGTCCTATTTTTGACTAGAGAGTAATAACAGGAATGATTTCAAATCTTGTATATTACCTTAGTTTTTTAATGAGGTAGGACCTTGCTATGTTGCTCAGGCTGTCATGGAACTGCTAGGCTCAAGTGAGTCTTCTACCTCAGCCTCCCATGTAACTGGGACTATATATAGGGGTTCTCTGTTGTGCCTGATTCACACAATCTTTTTTTTTTTTTGGTACTGGGATTGAACCCAGGATGCTCTACCACTGAGCTACATCCCCAGCCCTTTTTGTGTTTTTTGAGACAGGATCTTGCCAAGTTGTAAGTCTTGCTTAGGACTCTTCCTCAGCCTCCAGAGTTGCTGGAATTATAGGTGTGCACCACCATGGTTTGCTCACATAATCTATTTTTAATTAACATTGTTAGATCTTTTTACAATTTGAACTTACTACAAAATACTTACATTGTATTTCAAGGTTAAAATGTTAAAAGTTTTTAAAGAGTTTTCAGTGAATAATAAGTTTCATCCCAATCCAGTTCGCCAGGTACCTGCTTTTTTTTCCTTCTTAGAGATGTTATTACTAGTTTTAGTATCTTTCCATATATGAAATAATTTATACATAAAAATAAGCATTTTAGGATATGGGGTACACTAAATTTAGAAGAGTTATTCAAAAAGTAAAACAATGCAACATTTAGATTGTAATCCTTAGTTTCTGGCTTGACTTTATCTTTTCTTCTTTGAAATGAGTAAATTTGCCCCTCCTGGGCCCTCCTCAGTTGAGTTCTTGGTGCTCCTCTTCCTCTTAGGTTCTAAACAGTGATTTGAACAGAAACTACGTTAGGTGGTTTGTACAAACTTCCCACCATAACTGGACTGGAATGTCTTAAAGTCCTGAGGTCATCCAGTCCTAGTTCTGTCCTCAGACCAGGTGGCAGAGTACCTAGAATCTGCTTCCCTGCTTCAGCCCACAATGGCTCCTCAGGATACTACCTAAAGCTTTAGGAGGGACATCCCCTCTGACTTTCCCTTCTCCCCAGAGTATTCTGTTGTTGCTGCTGGAAGTTGAATCCAGGTCCTCATGAGTGCTCACAACTCCTCTCCAGCATTTCTTAATTTTGCTATATATCTGGGCAGTTTGTGTTCTGTTTCCTGTCTGTGAAGTTTGAGCCCTGAAGAGGTGAAAAGGAGATCAGGCAGACACTGAAGCTAAGGTGTATCCTGTCTTTGAGCTGCTGGTGCCGATTATTCTGGTTGTTGTTTTCATGACCTCCAGGGACTTCATCCAGATTTTGCTGGATGTTCTAATTTATGCTAGAGTTCTAATTTATGCTCCTGAGAGTAAAACTCAGATGTGTTTAGTGATGCTTCTTTTCAGCTTCCTTGTGAATGCTGAAGATTTTCATCCTGAAGAAGAGATTATATATGACCAATGTTCCAGTGCACTGATTTTAAAATTAAGAATAAATATATATATATATATATATATATATATATTTTTTTTTTTTTTTGTAAAATTTATAGCATGGAGTAGAGCAGGGTGGCAGACTTCCTGTAAAGGGCCAGATAGTAAATACAGTTGGCCCTCGTATCTGGAGTTCTACATTCATGGATTCAACTAATTGCAGATTGAAAATATTTGAAAAACAATTAGTGTCTATGCTGAACATACACCAATTTTTTTCTTGTCACTATTCCCTGAACAATACAGTGTAACAGCTACTTACATAGCAGTTACATTTTATTAGGTATTATAAGACATCTAGAGATGATTTAAAGTAACCAGGAAGATGTGTGTAGGTTACAGACAAATACTATGCTATTTTATAGGAGGGATTTGGATGTTTAAGGTTGTTTAAGGTTTTGGTATCTGTTGTAGTTTGGATCGTCAAGATGTACTTAAGGTCCATGTGTTGAAGGCTTAGCTCTCTATCGTGGTGCTGTTGGGAGATGGTGGAACCTTTAGGAAGTAGGCCTAGTGGAAGGAAGTTAAGTCATGTGGGCATATGCCCTTGAAGGAGATACTGAGTCTGGTCCCTCTCCTTTCTCTTTTTTTACTTCCCCGCTGCCATTGGGTGAACAACCCTCCTCTGCCACATATCTCCATGGGTAATTGGGTTGCCATAGACACAAAGCAACAGGGTCAAGTGACCATGAATTGAAAAATGTGAAGCCTTGAACCAAAATAAATATAAAGGAGGAACCTATTTTTTTTTTTTTTTTTGGCGCTGGGATTGAACTCAGGGGCACTTGACCATTAAGCCACATCCTCAGCTCTATTTTGTATTTTATTTAGAGACAGGGTCTCACTGAGTTGCTTAGCACCTCGCCATTGCTAAGGCTGGCTTTGAACTTGCGATTCTCCTGCCTCAGCCTCCCAAACTGCTGGCATTACAGGTGTGTGCCACCATGCCAGGCTAAAACAGAGAACCTTTTGTAATATTTGATTATCTCAGATATTTTGTCACAATGATGGAAAGCTGACTACACAGTATGGGGGTGATGCAGATCTTGGAATTAGGATCATGTTAAAATGACTGTATTTTAAGTTTTGTGTATCATATGGTCTTTGCCATAACTAAGGGACCCTGAAGTAACTATGGGGACCCTGTCCCAAAGCAACTACAACAGTATTAAATAACTGGTATGGTTGCATACCAATAAAACTACTTATGTATACCAGAAGGTGAAGTTTGTATAATGTTCAAATGTCATGGAATACTTTTCCTTTTCTTTTTTGGATTTTTTCCATCATTTAAAAGTATAAAATTCTTTCCTTCCTTCCCTTCCCCTTCCTTCCTTCCTTTCTTTCCTTCTTCTTTCTTCTTGAAAGTAATCTCAGGAGTGCTTTACCACTGAGCTACATCCCTAGTCCTTCATTTTTAAAAGAGTTTTTTAGTTTGAGACAGGGTCTCACTAAGTTGCTGAAGCTGATCTCAAACTTGCAGTTCTTCTGCCTCAGCCTCCTGAGTACTTGGAATTATAGATATGTACCACTGTTCCTGACTAAAAATATGAAGTTCTTTATTTGCTTTCCAGCCATACTTACTGTGTGCTGGATTTGGCCACTGGGCTGTGGTTGGTGGATCCACATGTGATGTAAAGTCTAGCAGTTAGAATCAGCCCCTGGGTTCTCACCTGGGGGGCTCTCTTCCTGGCCATTACCTATTCTATGAGCTTTGATTTCTGTGTTGGTAAATTGGAGATGACAAAGTGCCTCCTCACAAAGTTGTAAAGATGTAAATGAGAAATGTACAGTGGTTGGGCTAGATGCTTATCATAGTACATGTTAGTTTATTTCAGTTTCCATTAGCTTCTCTCTCTCTCTCTCTCTCTTCCTATTTAATGTCCTACTCTTAAGTGTATCTCACATATTAAACTTCCCAATTGTACTTTGCTCTCACACTTTCCATGGTAGGTTAAAATAAGAGGCCTAAACTTGAGTTGGTATTTAGTTCCACAGATCAGGATAGATGCTCATCTGTGCATCATAAGACCCTGCTCTTCTCTCCCTAGGGTTGTGTTTCCTGGTCCTCTCCTGGACCCAGCCCTGGGAACCTGGTTTACCAGTTTGACAGGAGAGAATCTCCCAGTTTTCTCAGTTGACTGACATTAATTATCTTAAGATAAATCAGGTACATCCCAGCCTGGTTGAAGTCACTTTTTTCCTGACTCACTAATATGGCCCTTTTGCTAACCCAAATTGTGGGGATTCAACTGGTCCTGTTGATGCTCTAGATCACATTTCTGTTAGTAAGTCTTCCAATAAATTTCATTGTTGCAATTCTAAATCTGTATTTCTCTCTTCAGTCTCATGGCACCTCAGGGCTGGTCTTCATGCACTAGGACTAGATTATTTCAGATGAGTTTTGAATGGCAGAGGGAATAGACTCAGGCTAAAGAGCCACACATCCTGTTTATATAAATGAAAGAAACATGTACACTGAACACTATGCTGATGAAGAGTAGATCAGTGGCTGCCAGGGATTTAGGAGTCGGGAATGAGTGTACAAAGGAATAACAAGGGATTTTGGGGGTGATAAAATTGTTCTGTGTTCTGATTATGGTGGGGGAGGTACATGGATTTATACATATGTTAAAATTTATTAAACCATGGGGACTAAATTTTACTGTATAATAATTTTTAAAAAAAATTTTTATTTATTTTTTTAGTCATACATGACAGTAGAATGCATTTTGATATATAATACATACATGGAATGTACATACATCAATCATATTATAATAATTTTTTACATAAAAGATTTTAAGTTGTTTTTAGTAAAATTAAAAGTTTTAGTGAAGTTCAACAAACCTGTATTTATCACATAGCATATTCAGAGCACTTTTCTATAAAGATAAAATGGTGAACTTCCAATGACTGTAAAGAAACTTTAGGAAAAAACTTGTAATGCACACACATAACTTAATCAGTACTAATCAGACTTTGGAGAGTGTTAAAGAAGTATGTATGTCCAGGCAGGACAACCTGAATAATTTCCCATTCCATATTCTCTCTTCTCCCATGCACACACAGCCAGTTGGGAATCCCTGGATTAAAGCAACTAGTGTGAAATTCGAGTAGTAAATATTAAAGACTAGGTTCTTAGTTGTGAAAAGTGGTAGGAAATTGATGGAATATCATTTTGGAAGACTCATACTTTGCAGAACTTGAGTGATATATTGGTTTCTTCATCTTGGCCCTCAGTAAAGAAACCAGTATGTTCACTTATAACTAAGTAGATCACACTAAATCTGTTACAATTGTAATTTGTGTATTTTTCTTTTTTTAATATCAAATATTCAGTTATATGTTATAACTTTCCATTACTGGGGGGACATTACAAAGAGACTGATAAGTGGCTAAAACATTTTGAAAAATAATTACAAATTAAAAAAATTTTAATTCTCCAGATGATGGTGTTGATATTCAAAGTGGAACCAAGAAAGAAGATCTGAATGACAAAGAGAAAAAGGATGAAGAAGAATGTCCTGTACCTGCATTTAGGGCCAAATCAATCCTGGAGAGCTGGGTATGGGGCAAGCAACCAGGTATTCTAATCTTCTGAGGTTTTGTACTTTGGAAAGCTTGATCTAATACTCCTTTATTGAATACCATAGATGAACTTTTTGTTTGTTAATGGAATCTTCTAAGATTTAATTTTTTTTGTATTGTGATAAAAAATATATATAAATAAAACTTACTATTACCTTTTTTTTGGGGGGGGGGTACCAGAGATTGTTACTGGGCATGCTAAGCAAGAGCTCTACCACTAAGCTACATCCCCATCCACTTTTCAGTTTTGAGACAGGGTCTCACTAAGTTGCCCAGGCTAGACTTGAACTTGTGATCCTGCTGCATCGGTGTGCTGAGTATATGAGATTACAGACATGTGCCACCATACTGAGTCATTACCTACTCTATGAGTAGGTGTTTTAAAAGTATGCATCAGGGACATTAAATACATTCAGATGTGCTACAGTGTAACCACCATTCACACCCTGAACTCTTTAACAAAACTAGAGCTTCCATTAATACTGACTGCTCACCCTCAAGCATTCTAGTTTTGTCTCTATGCGTTTGACTTTTCTAGGTACCTAATGGAAATGGAGTCATATACAGTATTTGTTCCTTTGTCTTTGGCTTACTTCACTTAGCATGTTGGTTTCATTTTTTTTTAAATTTTCTATTTTTCTCATGTTTTCTATCAGTCTCCTCCTCTTCCTCCCCCTCCTCTTCCTCCTCCTCCTGTTCTTCTTCTTCTTTAAGTATTTTTGTATGTTTTAGTTAATTTATTTATTTAATGGAGTGGAGATTGAACCCATGGCCTTGTACATGGGAGGCAAGCACTCTACAAACTGAACTATATTCCCAGCTCTCAATCTATTCTTTAATCTTTATTTCTTTTTGCTTTAGATTCTGTTTGCTTTTCTATCTCTAGTTCCTTAAGGTAGAAGCTTGTATTTTTTCCAGCATCCAAACCAGGGAGCCTGCCTGGATCGTGGCTGGCCATATTTGACCACCTGCCTGCATAAGAAATAGGCAAAATGGTGGAAAAAGGAAAAAATAGTTCTATGTAGTTTGATAAGCTGGGGAGAAGCAGCGAGATTGCTTCTCTGCTGGTCTTGTAGAAGTGGTTATAGTTTAAAGAAACAAAAGCAGGTGATATAGAAATGTAGATTCAGCTAGTTGTTTTCATTTTACATTTATTTAAAACATTTTCTTCTAACTCCACTTATAATTTCTTCTTTGATCCACATATTATTTGGGGATTTTCAAATACCTCATGTTAATGATTACAAAAAATTTGTTGAGGTCATAAAACATATTCTCTGTGATTTCATTCCTTTTAAGTTTGTTGAGAATTGCATTACAGCCCAGGATGTAATCTATCCTGTTTAATGTTTTCTGTGTCCTTGAAAACAGTGTGTACTTTGCTGCTCTGGATCTTAATAAGGTCAAGTTAGTTGATAGTGTTGTTTAAGTGTTCTTGGCTTGAAATACTTTTCTGCCTACTTGTTTTTCACCTAACTGGGAGAGGAGTTGAACTAACATGTGATTGGGTCATCACATAAGACTAACATAACTTAACACAGTCCCTAGTTACTTGCTAGTTTTAAGGATATAAATAATCAGGTTACATAGGCAGAGCCAGGAGAGATGTGGGACAATCTGTAGCTTCCAGGTCTGTCCTGTTTTGCCCTGGACTTTTGCTCTCTGGCCCAGTGTGAGAGATGAGGTATCAGTGAGGCAAGTAGTCACCTCACACAGCCCTGATAATTTAGGATATCCATTGTTTCCATTTTGTAGCCAGAGAGTTATAGACTGTAACCTATTTCAGAGAACCATGACCCATAAATCTGTGGGTTTTTGGTATATTACCAAAAGTAGTTCTAAACTACTCATGTTATGTTAAAAATATGTCAAAGATTAGAGGCCCTTCTCAAATACTTTTTATTTATGTTTAGGCCCAGCCACCTGTCTCCTTTCTCTAGTGTGTCTCCATTGTGATGGGAAAGAAATGAATAGCAGTCTAGCTTCTTAGCTTCTTTTTCTCCTAATGTTAATTGTGGATTTCTTTCAGTTCATAGGCTTTGCTTCATGTATTTTAAAACTCTTGTTATAGGGCACATACATTTTAGGATTATTATTATTATTATTTTGGCAGCCAAACAGAGGGGAGACAGATGGCCTTAGAAACAAAACAAACAAAATCCTGAAAGTCACTTAAAAGTGGAAAATAGCTGGGCACTATGATGCATGCCTATAATCCCAGATTTGGGAAGCTGAGACAGGAGTGTTTTGGGGTGGGTTAAACTTTCCAGAAAGACCTCAGAATCCAAAATAATAACTAATTACTGAGAACAGTAAATTGATGAGGAAATCTAACTGTGTTTTTTTGAATTGAGTTGGTATTTTTTTTTTTAGTGTTGTGTTTTCTTTTCTTTCTTTTTTTTTTTTTTTTAATATCAGGGATTAAACCCAGGGGCACTTAACCATGGAGCCATATCCCTAGCCCCCACCCCCCCCCTTTTTTTTTTGTGACAGGGTCTTGCCTAGGGCCTTGCTAAATTGTTTAGGCTGGCTTTGCCCTGGAGTCTTCCTGCCTTAGCCTCTGGAGTTGCTGGGGTTACAGGGTGCACCAACACACCCAGCCAGTGTTCTGGTTTCTGATGAGGAGGTTCTTTTCTTTTCTTTTTACTTTTTATTGATGTCTAGCTCCCAGTGCGATAGACTGGGCCTGTGGAACAGAAGAGATGTGCTCTTGGAAACATGTTAGAAAGTCAAATCCTACCTGGGTGTGGTGGCCCATGTTTGTAATCCCAGTGGCTCACAAGTTTGAGGCCAGCCTTGGCAATTTAATGTAAGGCCTTCAGCAACTTAGTGAGACCTTGTCTCAAAATAAAAAATAGAAAGGGTGAGGCATATAGCTTAGTGGTAAAGTGCCCTGGGTTAAATTCCCACTATTGCTCCTTCCTCCTCATAAAAATGGAAAATATAGTGATTCTTCAGGAAGGCTAAAGCTCCAGGAAGGCTAAATTGAGAAGATGATTTCTTGAAGGAATTCCTCTTGGGACATGTACTTGAAAGGCCTGTCTCTGTGAAGGTGCTGTTCATAGCAAGGGCTGAGGTGCCTGCCTCTTGGTGCTGGATCAGGCTCCTATTCTGGAGGGTGACTTGATGTGGGTGCTGTGAGCACAGGGGTGCTGCTTCACTTATACATCTTTCTGCTTGTCCATCTTGAATTTAGTGTGAAATTTAGAGTGTTCTTCATTTGGTTTTCCATAAGTATCAGCTCTTAGTTATTGGAGCTTTTGATGCAGAAGCTCTAGGCTTGGCATTCTACCTCTGGTGCTGTTCTGATGCCCCATGAAGCACCATCCTGAGATTCCTGGGGAGTGGTGAGATGTGAATCTCTAATGCCTTCTAAAACCTCTGTTCTCATGTAGAAAGCATAATCAGGCCGTAAGCAACCTGAAAACTGATGTCTTACATCCAAGGGAAGTTAGTAGGGGTGTTGTCATTTTTGACGCTTTGAGGCCCATGATTGTTGACCTCATGCCTAATAAGCATAGAGGTATAAGCACATGAGAGCCCCACTCTCATCCCAGCACTGGGAGCAGTGCTGCTATAGGGGGTTGATGGGAAGTAACCAGATTTACAGTTCATCCATAATTATTTATATTCTTTGACTTAGACTTAATTGAAAGACTAGAATCCTTTGAATTATTTTCATTCTGGTGATCATTTTTTAGCTCCTTAAAAATCACTCCTTAATATGAAGATTTTTCAAAATGTACTGAAGTACAGAGAATAGTCTAATGAAATATCACTTATTCATCACACACTCTGACTAGTTATTTCTTCCTCTTCTTAAATAATTCCATAAATGTATTAACTTTTGTGAGTCACGCATGATAGGTAATTTTATGGAAATGTTGTTTTTATTTTGAATTTACTTTCATAACAAGAAAATGATGGCTAGAGTTTTTCTCTGTATAGGAAATATTCTGCTGAGGAGTTTAACTCTAGATTTGTATTAGTAACTTTTACATGATGTTTATGGAGCTACAGCATACCATGTAGGCTAAGAGTGGTCTGTGCTATATATTGTGTTCTTCTGTGTGATCTTACACATGTTACTTAACCACTCCGTGTCTCAGTTTCCTAATCCACAAAATGGGTGGATTTTGTGGATTAGGAATGGTCACTTGAGACTATGTGTGAAGATTGCTTGAGCTAAGATTTTATACTTGTAAAGTGTTTAAAACTGTTTTGGCATGTATTGTATACTTGGGTATCATTTTTCATCATAATCAATTTTTGCGGCATTAATAACAATCGATGCACAAGTTGTTGACGTGTTTTTTCTTGCCATGTTTTCTAGATGTGAATGAACTGAAGGAATGTCTTTCTGTGCTGGTCAAAGAGCAGCAAGCCCTGGCTATCCAGTCAGCCACCACCACCCTCTCAGCCCAGAGACTCAAGCAGAGGCTGGTGATCCTGGAACGCTACTTCATTGCCTTGAACAGAACTGTTTTTCAGGAGAATGTCAAAGTTAAGTGGAAAAGCAGCAGCATTTCTTTACCTCCTGTGGACAAAAAAAGGTAATAATAAAGTGAAGTGGTGACTGCTCACTATACAACTCAGGGTCTTTTGTTTAGGAAAGTTTAGTTTAGGGTTTTGGTATAGTCTCTTTCCTAACTGTGTGGAATTTTGTCTTTGCTTTCCCTTCTCTGTGTTAGGTATATTTTGGAAGATGGATTTGCTGATTTGCTCATGGACTAACAGACCCTTTTGCATATTAGTGTCATTGTTTCAAAGACCTGTTTCTTTCAGTAATTGTTGAAGCCAGATAAAAGTTTAGATCAGCTCCAGTCTAAGGTTGAAAATGGGATCTCAATATTGTAGTTTTGGTTTAGCTTTTTTTCCTCCAGATTTTTAAAATTGGTGCTTTATAATTATGTCTTTTTGCCTTCTTCTGGTAAGAAAGATAGGGAATAGTCAGAGCATGATGTTAGTGCCTAACTAGTTTAGAATCTTCATTTTTCCCCCCTTTCCTAATGTGATTTTCTTATTCTCTTATTACAAGTGATGCTTTCAGGAATATGATTTTTGATTTGTTGCTATCTGGTAATACATTAGCAGATTTCCTTGGAGGTATTAAACCAGGAGGTTTAAATAAGGCTCTAGTAAAACTGTGTTTTTTCCTAAATATAGTTGCTTAACAGACTTGTTCTCAGAAGACTAGGTTGCCAGATGGGACTTATATTTCATGTGGTTAGAAATCGACTTTATTTGGTTGTATCAGTGACTTTTACTCTCAAGAGCACATGGAAAGTACAGGAGACAGAAGGAAGCATGGAAAACCCATGCTCACCTTGCCCTAGAGATAAGAGTGCTAACCGAGGCATATTTCTTTGATTTAAAAAAACTTTAAATCCAGTTGAAATCACATTGCATGTCATATTTAGAGTATAGCTTAAGATAAACTAAGCCAAGTGACAGATAACAGTCAGTAGTGTGATTCTTCCTTTCCTTCCTAATTGGAAAGTGACATCCTGCCATGATGGCCATTAATCAGAGGTCTCTGCACATGTGAGGAGCAGTAGATGCTGAGATTATCCAGGTGCGCTTGTGTGTTTATCAGATCACTATTTGTTTTGAGAATATTTTCCTGATTGTGAATACAGTCTATAGTAGGAATACTACAGCCTATGTTTGTGTATGAAATACTATACAGTAAAGATAGAATTTGCTGTTCATCATTAAGTTAATGTTATACAAGCATTTTTGTATTCTAGTTTTTTTTCAGAATGAGTATTATGTTCTACCATTTATGTAATTTTTTACCATATACAGAATGAAATTATGACCTGCTAAGTGAACATGTTTGTTTATTTTAAAATATTTTTTTCGTTATAGTTGGGCACAATACCTTTATTTTATTTATTTATTTCTATGTGGTGCTGAGGATCAAACCCAGGGCCTTACACGTGCTAGGCAAGTGCTCTACCACTGAGCCACAGTCCCAGCCCCTAAGTGAACATTTATAAGTAATAAAAATTTAAAAAGATGTGAGAATGATTAGGCACAACTAACTCAGCACGATGGGGTGAAGTGGGTAGGACAAGTGTAAAATACAAATGACCAAAAGTGAGACTGGCTAGGCTGTGGGTGTTCCCTGTGTTGTTCTCTATCTGTTGTTCTCCTACTTATGTATTTATCTCTTTTTTTGAGAGGGCGTTATTGGGGATTGAACTCAGGGGCACTCAACCACTAAACCATATCCCCAGCCCTATTTTGTATTTTATTTAAACACAGAGTCTCACTGAGTTCCCTAGTGCCTTGCCATTGCTGAGGCTGGCTTTGAACTCACCATTTGCCCGTCTCAGTCTCCAGAGCCACTGGGATTACTAGTGTGCGTCACTGTGGCTGGCTGTATTTATCTCTTTATTATTTATTTATCATTGGCCTCCCCTCAGTTAGAATACTGCTCCCTGAGATTGTTTCATGAGCATTTTCCCAAGTATGTAAAATACTTGGTAGATGTCTTTTAGTTTTCTTAAAAAGAAAACATTTTAGTTGGCATGGTAGTGCACGCCTGTAATCCCAGCTTGGGAGGCTGAGGCAGGAGGGTCATGAGTTCAAAGTCAGCCTCAGCAATTTAGCAAGGCCCTAAGCATCTTAGCGAGACCCTGTCTCTAAATAAAATATTAAAAGGCTGGCAATGTGGCTCAGTGGTTGAGTGCTCCTGGGTTCAATCCCCAGACCAAAACAGAGAAAACATTTCCTTTACAAAGGACATTTGGTAAGAGTTTTTTTAAAAAATGAAGCTAAATGTCACCTATGATATGGCCATCTAAAGAAAATCATTGATCACATCTGGTCCAAATCTTTCCATATTCTTTGTTTCAGTATTTCACATTTCTTTTCCTGACCAGTTATTACATCTCCATGTGTGTATCCACAGTTCTCGACCCACAGGCAGAGGGGTGGAAGGGCTTGCCAGAGTTGGATCCCGAGCAGCACTCTCCTTTGCCTTTGCATTCTTACGCAGGGCTTGGCGGTCAGGTATGTGTGCTCAGCATGTTCTGTTTTCTTGGTATATGAGGAGATTTGGGTTCTGTGACCAGTTCTGTCCCATGTATCCTTGAGCTGATTTCGTATGTTCTCTGTGCTTCAGAGTCTTTTAAAACGAGAGACTTTTGAGTCTATTTGACATTTTAAGCCTATGCTTAAAAAAATAAAAAGGACTGAGTATTGTGGCACACACTAATATTACTTACTTAGGAGGCTGAGGAAGGTGGATCTCAAGTTCAAGGACAGCTTTGGCAATTGAGCAAAACCCAGTCTCAAAATAAAAAATAAAAGAACTGAGAATATAGCTCAGTGATAGAATGCCCTGGGTTCAACCCTCAGTGGCCAAAAAAAAAAAAAAAAAAAAAAAAAGTTTTCATGTATACCCTGCCCCCTAACTGAACCATCACCACGGGATACCTCAGTACTGATTTATTTCTAGAAGGCTAAGAACTTAGTACAGGTTGAATACTCCTAATCAGAAAATCTAAAATCCGAAACGCTCCAAAATCTGAAACTTTTTGACTATTTGACATGGTGCCACAAATGGAATGTGGTGGGTCACAGTCAAGATACATTTGCACTAAACATATTGCCTTTAGGTTACATGTATAAGGCATATATAAAATATAAATGAAATTTGTTTTAAGACTTGGGTCCCATCTCCAAGATGTCTCATTACGTGTATGCAGATATTCCAAAATCTGGAAAAAATTTGAACGGTACAACACTTCTGATTCCAGGAATTTCAAATAAGGGATATACAATCTGTTTTGCCTCCTTGATAGCCCCCAAATATACAAATGATTTTGAGACAACTGTGTTAGATTTTGGTCCATCAAATGAGGGTCTTAGTAGGTGACAGTGGGCATCTTCTCACCTGAGGGTTGGGAGACTTAGCTGGAAAGTGAAGGAGCTCTCTTTGTCAGTGTTGCCTGAGTGGTGGTCAGCCTTTCTGACTTGTGTGTGTGTGTGTGTGTGTGTGTGTGTGTGTGTACATGTGTGCCCAGGTGAAGATGCAGACCTCTGCAGTGAGCTATTGCAAGAGTCCCTGGATGCCCTGAGAGCTCTTCCTGAGGCTTCACTGTTTGATGAGAGCACAGTGTCCTCCGTGTGGTTGGAGGTGGTAGAGAGAGCAACCAGGTTCCTCAGGTCTGTCGTGACGGGGTAAGTTCTCTCTTTTCATACCTTCCTGTGGGAACAGTTCCAGCATGCTTGATAATCGTTTCTTTATAGCTAACCAACCTATAGGTTGGTTTCTTACCTGTTATTTCAGCACACCCTTAGCTCTGATTCCAGGTCTTGGCTCTCAGATGTTCAGATGGCATGATTTATGATACTCTGGTTTGACCCAGGAAGTTGTCATATTGAATGGGGTGGATACTTTTGTATTTTACTATTTTTAAGGCATTTGATGATTTGTTGATTCATCATTTATAAAGTGAGCACTTCTTGTGTGTCTCTTGGTCATAAATAGGAAGGAGCCACTGTTCTGAGGGTTGTGTGGTACTTGGTAGGTAACATGGTAATAAAGAGCTACTCAGGATCAAAATATTTAAACTGGGTCTAGAGATGTAGCTCAGTGGTAGAGCACTTGTCTAGCATGTGGGGGGCCCTGGGTTTGACCTAGAAAAATAAACAACAAAACAAAACGTTTAAACCTATAGTATGTTAACTTTCTGTCACCACTTGTTACTGTGGCAAAATATTTGAAGTAATCAACTTAAAAGGAAGGAAGGTTTTGTTTAAGAGGTTTCAGCCATCAGTTGACTGTTGCTTTGAGTGTGTAGCAATGCAGTATATATGGCAGTGGAGCCCGTGGTTGAAGAGACCTGTTTACCTCATTGTAGCTGGGAAGCAGAAAGGGGATGGGGCTAGGATCCTGATATCATAAAGGGTGTGCCCCCAATGACCTAACCTACTTTCACATAGCCCCACCTCCTAAAGTTTCCACCACTTTCCAGTAGGGCCTTGGGCCTGAGACCAAGCTTTCACAAGTGAGCCTTTGGGAGATCATCTCAGATCCAAACGGTACTGCATAGCTACTCTTGAGTTGTTTGAATGTGAATCATTGTCTGTAGGGAAGACCATGAACTGTGGTCTTGGATGCTATGTGTTTTGTAATGGTTTCTAAATAAAGCAAATGCAGGGCTGGGGTTGTGGCTCAGTGGTAGAGTGTTTGCTTCCCACGCATGAGCCACTGGGTTCGATCCTCGGCACCACTTAAAAACAAATAAATAAAGATATTGTGTCCAACTACAACTAAAGAAAAAGAAAGAAAGAAAGAAAGAAAGAAAGAAAGAAAGAAAGAAAGAAAGAAAGAAAGAAAGAAAGAAAATGCATATACTCAATACAGAATTCAGTTGCAAAGATGAGTAGAGGAAAAATGAGTTCTCTTTGCAGTCTCCTCTGTGGGGTCTACGCCTTCAGGCTATGAATCTGTTTCTTGCTGGTGAAGGTGTTGTCACAGAAATTTAAGGCTGAGGGCCCTAATGATAGGCTTGGAATTAATTTCAAAAACTCCACTGTAATGTTGATATCGTAAGATCCTTCTTCCCCACTCTTGGGTTTAGGAATTTGTTATATATTACAAATATTTCTTTTGATCAGATATAAAAATAAGCATAAAAAATTTGTATTAATGCTTCTAATAAAATATTATCTTTAGAGGCCAGGGATTTGGCTCAGTGGTAGAGCACTTTCCTAGCATGTGAGAGGCCCTGGGTTCTGTCCCTGGCACTGCAAAAACAAAACAAACACTCATCTTTCCTACCTCTCTCTCTCTACAAGTTAATCATACATTTTAAGATCTCTGATTAAATTTGTGTAACAAATGTCAGAATCCTGATTCTAAATATCAAAAATATATCTTCTACTGGAGAGAGAATTTAATTAACATGTTGGTATGATTTTATGTTGTGCTGCTTTCTCTGATTTTCTTTTTTTTTTAGAGAGAGAGGGAGAGAAAGAGCGAGAGGGAGAGAGAATATTTTAGTATGTATTTTTTAGTTTTCGGCAGACACAACATCTTTGTTGGTATGTGGTGCTGAGGATCGAACCCGGGCCGCAGGCATGCCAGGCGAGCACGCTACTGCTTGAGCCACATCCCCAGCCCTCTCTGATTTTCTTGTCCTGCCACTGTTGCTGTCATTTCAGAGATGTTCATGGAACTCCAGGGACCAAAGGGCCAGGAGGTGTTCCCCTGCAGGATCAGCACTTGGCCCTGGCCATCCTGCTGGAGCTGGCTGTGCAGAGAGGCACACTGAGGTGAGTGGTGACAGGCCTGAGATATCTTAGGAGTTGCCTGAGTCTCCACACATTTCTTTCATTGTGTGGCATTTCATTGCATTGTTCCTGTAGTAAATGTAGACTTGTGTCCCAGGGTCCTGTCTTCCTTCTAAATCTAAGTCCTTTCTTCTAATATATGTTTTCTTCCTTTTTTTTTTTTATACTTAGTTGTTTAGTCATCTAGGAATTATTATTTTTCCTTAGTTTTTCTTTCCTTTTTTTTAAATTTTCTAGTTTTAGGTAGACACAATATCTTTATTTTATTTCTATATGTGGTGCTGAGAATCGAACCGAGTGCCTCATGCATGCTAGGCGAGCGCACTACCACTTGAGCCACATCCCCAGCCCCCTTAGTTTTTCTTAAATTATTTTTATTCCATTAACTTAAGATTCTAGAAATTTCCTGTAGGAAGTACTTTGTGAATGTTGTAACTGGTTTTTTATTTCTGATCAACAGAAGGTGGATGTCTTGCATTAAAATCTTGGCATTGATTCAGTGATTTTATTGCCAAGAATTGTTTCCATGGCATTGTTTGAATTTCCTTTAATATTTAAAGCCTTTCTTTGCCTTTATTTATTTAGTTGCTGGCTTTTATTTTTAATGGGTCATGACAAAACAAGTTAACCTGTTTTTGCCTGAGAATAAATATCTTTCMTCCCTCAGCCAGATGTTGTCTGCCATCCTGTTGTTGCTTCAATTGTGGGACAGCGGGGCACAGGAAACTGATAATGAGCGATCTGCCCAGGGCACCAGTGCTCCACTTCTGCCTTTGCTGCAGAGGTTCCAGAGCATCATCTGCAGCAAAGACATGCCACACACAGAGGGGGACACACATGTAAGTATCACAGGAAACTTTGTGTTTAGGTGTACTCTTCATTCTAGTTATATTAAAGACGTAGACTTTTATAAGCAAGGCCAGAGTGCATATCCATGGCAATAATGTCTCTCGGTATGTGTGTCCTTGATAATGACAGTAGTGAGTCAGATGGGACAGGCATGGGAGGCCAAGTGTGTGTTACCTTGACAAGGTAGAACATCACAAAAGCTGTTGGGATTCATCCATATGGCAGTGAGTGGCCAGAGCCACCTCTGAGCTACAGGTCTTGGACTCTGTATTCTCATTTTTAGATTGTTTGTATTTCGTAGGAGGAATATGTCATGACATGGATCTAATGTACTTTTAGAGAGACCTTCCTCTTGCCATGTGATGCTCTGTGCCATCTGGAAATTCTAACAGCAAGAAGACCATCACCAGATAGCCCTCAACTTAATAGCTCTAGAGCCATGAGCCAAAATGAACCTCTTTTCTTTTTGAAGTAGACCAATACAGCAAAATAGACTAATACAGTATTTAAAATTCACTTTCCTTCATAGTCAAGCATAGCACAGCAGCTGCTTCGCACAATCAGGCATTAACTCACATACTCCAAGGACTCAGTGGTTCTGGCTCAGCACAGAGAAATCTGCTCAGTCAACATGGCACTTTCTCTTCTGATAAAGCCACAAGTACTCAGTTATGAGTAATCACCTCCCAAAGATGCCACCTCTAAACATTGTTCTCAGATTGTTTCTACCTTCTTAATGTCTCACAATGGTAATTAAGTTTTAACACATGAACCCTTAGGAGACTGAATCAAACCGTATCCAAAACATAGCAGAAATGATAGAAGATGCAATGAAGACTTGTTCACGTCCAGGAAGGAGGAGTGGGTTAGTAGAGGAAAGAGGAGTGGTATAAATCCTGACACTATTTCAAAAGCAAAGCCTGAGCAATAAGTCATTATCAGCTCTTACATCAATGATGCAGGGAGGTTTGCTGAAGGTCAGGGCTAAGGTCAGTGTGGAGAGGAGCCACAAATCCTATTAAAAGGAGGTGGTTTAGGGTTGGGGTTGTGGATCAGAGGTAGAGTACTTGTTTAGCATGCATGAGGCACTGGGTTTGATCCACAACACCACATAAAAACAAAATAAAGGTATTGTGTCCACCTACAAGTAAAAATATATAATATATAATATAATATAATATATAATATATAATATATATATAATATATATATAATATATATAATTATTATATATATTTCTTTTTTTTTTTTTTTTAAAAAGGGAGGTTGTTCAAAATAGAAAAATCTCACTTTGTCCACATCAAAGAAATCCACACATGCAATCATCTTAATTGTCCATGTTAATTCCTGCCCAGGAGACCTAGGTGACCCTTCATCCTCTATCACATCCATTGTGCTGTTTATGGAAAAGACTTGAATCAGCAAGCACAGACTTCATTGTCAATGCAAAACCAAGTATAAAACACAAACTTGCAAATAAATATCAGAAAAGTACAGTGGAAATAGTGGTTCATTTTGTTGGCCCTTCCTGTGTGTCAGGCACCATGCAAGGCACGTCATCTGAGTTGTTCCTGTGTTTAGTCCCATCTCTACACTTCACCAGTAAAGAGGCTGAGATAGTGGGGGAGTAGGTGCTGGGTCTGTTCTGGAACCCTAGAACTGCTGTTCTTTACAAGTCTATGCTGGATTTTGCTTCTTTTTTGGAAAGAGTTGACTATTCCATTTTTATGTTTTGGCTTGCTTTATCTATCATTTAGCACTCTTACATGATACTACAGCTTTTCTGCTTTTGGAAGAATTAGAACTATGACTTAATTTGGAAATAAAATTAGGTTTTTCCTCAGAGTGGGCAACATTTAGATTAAGGGGTTTTAAATTTTCATTTGGTTTAATAAGGGATTTTGTTTTTAATTTTCAACACCTGGTTGAAGTACTGTGTTATTCCCATGGAACTTGTTCTGTGTTGTTCCAGGGACCCTGGGGGCAAGCATGCCTGTAGGATAGTTTGGCCATAGTTATCCATGTGGAGTCTGCACATAGGCTTCAACTACATTTGATGCAATAAATATATAGATGCATAGTCAGTGTTGTGTGCATTTATATAGCAATAAATGAATAGATATATAGTATAACTATCATCATCATTTAATGGCTAAAATGAGCAGATTTTATAGATAATGCATAATTGTAAGCACCAACATAAAAACAGTGACTGGAGGCTAATTGTGTTACTTTACTTTTTTCCACCATTTCTGAATGTTTGTTTACTTTTTGTTATCTAGCTTTTATCTGGCCCTCTGAGCCCCAATGAAAGTTTCCTGAGGTATCTCACTCTTCCTCAAGATAATGAGCTTGCTATTGATTTACGACAAACAGCAGTTGTTGTCATGGCTCATTTAGACCGCCTGGCTACACCCTGTATGCCTCCTCTGTGCAGCTCTCCTACATCTCATAAGGTATGTGCTGGAGCAATATTTACTTATTTTTTACAATGTTGGGGATTGAACCCAGGGCCTTGAATATGYTAGGCAGACATTCTGCCACAGAGCTATACCCTCACCCTCTGGAGCAATATTAGTAGCACTCTCATATTCTCATTCTTTGCATGTGTAAGGCTTACTTTTTCTGGTATTGGCAATAAGAGCTGGCTTATAGTTTTTAAATGTTTTTACAGTTCAAGTATTGTCACTGATACCATAGTGATTGATGCACAAACTGAGGTGCACGAGGCTTCTGAACCCAAACGAGGGTCCCAAGAGCTCACCTTTTATCCACATGGCCACAGGCCTTCCTGCTTGGTGAAGGAATTTCTGCCGAAAGTTAGTCTTTTTTTGTGGTGGTGAGAATTGAACATAGGACATTGCGTATGCTAAGTATGCATTCTACCACTGGGCTATATTTCTAGCTTAGAGCCTTTTTTGTATACTCTGAACATGGGCTTTTATCTTAGTATGCAGTGATGGTTATTGTACAATGATGATGTGATGATGTAGTTATATTTTATATATGATATATGTAATAGTGATAGTGGTAGTAGTGATCTGCCTGTGTGGAGAGTACCTGGGGAATGCCAGCCCACCAGGGACCTCACACATACAATCATAAAAGATTGAAACAGTCTTCCCCCATGGTATCCATTAGAAAACCAATGTTTGGAATGGAAATGAATATTGTCAGGGTCACATAGTGATCTTATTTTTGAATCCAGATTTCTCTAGACTTTTATTTTTAATATGAATAAGAGTTATTTTATTTTACAGTTATATTTAAAAAATAAGTAATCACATGGTCCAAAAGTCAAAATTATATGCAAAGAGATATATACTGTTACTTACTTTATTGCCCTCTGTTTACCCAGTGTCCCTCCTGGTTGTTTTCACTTTTCTAATTTCCTCTGTAGCCTTTTGTTGTTCTCTGGAATGACCCTATTAATGGTAGCATGCTATAGTTATTCTGTGTCTATTTTTCTCACTAAATATATATGTTAGAGAGTGTTCTGTATTAATAAAAAGAGCTTCTTTTTTAATTTTTTAAAACTAGCTTAGTATGTCATGTATGGATGTATCCATCTCTCTTCCTTTTTAATGTAATCTCCTGTTGGTGTATTCTTGGGTTATTGCTAAAATTTTGCTACCCAAATACTGTTGCAGTAACCTGCCTAGTACATGTGTTTCTCCATCTGTGCACACGTGTGCACCCGTCCATGTCTGCCAGTGGGATGACTTGTTGTGTGCTCGGCATCTCTAGATTGCTCCCATACAGTTTGGTCTCTTTCAGCCTCACCTATAAGGTTGGTTACCTCCCAGCCTTGTGTTTGGGCTTTTGAGTTTTTTCCTGTTATTGCGCAAAATGGTAATCTAATGTGGTTTGAGCATTTTAAACTACTTTGAAGGGCTGCTAATACTACTTTTTATTTTTAAAATATTTTTTTGGTAGTTGTGTATGGCAGCATACCTTTATTTTACTTTTATGCGGTGCTAAGATCGAACCCAGTGCCTCACACATGCTAGGCAAGCATTCTGCCACTGAGCTACAGCCTCAACCCAGCTGATACTACTTTTTAATGGGCTTTGTTAAAATGAAACATTATGGAAAAAATAACCTGTTTATTTGTTTTATCTTACCAGTTAATTTAGGTAATGTGGAATATTCTGAGTTATTTTGATGTTTTGAATCAGCTTCCTTTCTTTCTTTCACTTGCTTTGTTTTTAGCTTGTAAAATATCAGTGTTATTCCTTGACAATTTTTTTTTTTTTTTTTTTTTTTTGCTATAAAGGAAATGTTTATTTACTCTTTTATCTTACAGGGATCATTACAGGAGGTCATAGGCTGGGGTTTAATAGGATGGAAATACTATGCCAATGTGATTGGTCCAATACAGTGTGAAGGTCTTGCCAACTTGGGGGTCACGCAGATTGCTTGTGCAGAGAAGCGCTTCCTGATCCTGTCGCGCAATGGCCGTGTCTACACGCAAGCCTACAACAGTGACACACTGGTGGGTGTTGTGGATGCTGTGGTTGCAAGCTTTCCTAGGTGGGCGTGATCTCTGCTACAGACACTACCTGCTCTAGCTTTCTTCCACATCATTGATAAGCATCTGTTCTGTATGTTATTAATCATATTTAATAATCTCAGAATTAATCCTTATTGTCAAGGATTTGAGTTGTTAAGATCAGGAACTCCTTACAGAGAAACCCACTGTTAGATACCTATTTATAAACCAAATTTTTATATGTAAGCCCATTTGACTCTGAGGCCAGGAAGTTAACAGAAGAGGGAGTTTGGGCTTTATGGGAATGGTGGCATCTTGGGGACATGTGCATTCTCCTTAAAGGAAGGTACTTCCCCTCTTGAACTGTGTGTTCCTGTTGCACAGGGACAACCTGTACTACCTGGCACTAGTACTAGTCATGCCAAGGACCACTTGGAAGTTGTCTGCCTTCTTTTGGTTCATGGTGGGTTGGGTGGGACTTGAGAACCAGACTGCAATCTCTGGAGTCTTACAGTCTTTCAATTAGAACCCGTTAGTTCAGCAGACACTTGATTGGGGATAGTCGTTCTGTTTTCATTATCTTTCAACTTAATACTAATATTCTTATTTTTACCATTTTAGGCCCCACAATTGGTCCAGGGTCTCGCTTCCAGAAACATTGTAAAAATTGCTGCTCATTCTGATGGTCACCACTACCTGGCTTTGGCTGCCACTGGAGAGGTGTACTCCTGGGGCTGTGGGGATGGTGGACGGCTAGGCCACGGGGACACTGTGTATGTACAGCTTATTCCTGAAACTGACCTGTTCTCTTGTGTGGCTATATCCAAAACAGGATGGAAAAATGGAATATGACTGGGTGTGTTCCAGCTGCCCCAACATGTAGGGCTCAGATAGAGTGCTGTGATATGTCTTCCTTTAATGACTCCTTTAGGAGCTTTGCCCAGGAGTGGAGGATGATGGAATCAGCCCTTTTGCTTGCTCTCCCAGATGAAGTAATGGCCAGCAGTTGCACCCGTACCTTATTTTCTGAAGCAAATCTCATGTGTTGTCCCTTCATTCAAAAATATTTTATCTGTCACCAGCCAGTAAGGCCCTCCCTTTCCCTTGAACCATAGCATTGTTTTCATAGATACAAATATCAACAGTTTCTTGTTATTACCTTTTTGATGGAAGCTTTTGATTACTGTGAGAGAATAGAAATAAAACAGAGTCCTTGTTATAAATGTCTATTTATAAAAATGGAGAGGCCTGCCAGTTTCCATGGAGTGATAGACACTCATACTTTGCTGTTGTAAGTGGATCCTGGCAGGAAAGACTTTGGCATTAGGCGAAATTGAAGCTACATAAGTGTGTTGATGTGATCAAGCACACTTCATGTGGTTAGAGCCATGAGTAGGAAGTGGGCAAGTGCACCATTGGGAACAATGTAATCCTGACTGAAGAGACCAGAGGGCATATAACCTGTTCACATTGCAGGGTGGGGATGTGGGACCATTGCTCATAAAGTCTTCTGGGAAGAATCTCAATCCTTAAGAAAAGTAGGATACATGTAGTACATTATTCATGCAGAGTTAAAAAATATCCCAAATGTGATAGTACTGTAAAGGACTCAAACAAATGTGGCAAAACTATAATGAAAACCAAAGTAACAGAATTCTTATTGTCAGACTGGAGAAGGTGGGATTGGCATGGGCACATGAGACTAAAGAGGCTCTGAGGTAGAGGATGGGAAGTATGGGTGATTTGTTCATTGTTTTACTTTATGGTACTCTTACAGTTTACTAAGTACAAAATATTTCTTAAGAAAATCATTCTTAACTGATATTAAGTGCTAGAATGAGTAACTTGTCTCTTGTTCTAGGAGTTTAGGGAAGGAAAAAGATCAGTACAGATTGCAGGAGTTAGAAATTTTTGGGAGGAGTTAAACTAAGCTAAACAAGAAGGGAGAGGTTATATCCAGCAGAGTCATGGCTGTCCCTCTCTGACCCAGTGTCTCTATTGGGTCATAAAGCAAGTAAACCATGTCTTTTGAGAGGCTAAAGTGGGTTGGTATAGATTTTCAATAAAATAGGAAATATTCTGGATTGTAAGCATAGGACATTTTGAAAGTGTCAAGATTTCTTTAATTAGTAAGACTTTTCTTTGCTGATTCTTACTTTTTTGTACTTTCTGATATAGATTGTAGTGTGGAGTGAACCCTGCTGGCTTCATTCTGTCTACATGTATTTAACAAATATATATAAATCTCAGCCACCTTTTTGAGGTTTACATACAATCAGATGAATCAGTTTGAAAGATATGATTGAATGGGTTGTCCAATGCAAGCAGTTGGGGAACCACCAGAGTCAAAATACAGTGTGTTTTTGTTGGTTCTGAGGCTTTCTTTGTACTCTTTGCAGATCCTTGCTCCTCATCTCCAGCTCCTGGCAACCTCTGATTTTCCCTTTGTTATTATTATTTTGTTTCTTCAAGTATTAACAGTATGTAAGATTTTGATTTTGGCTGCTGCTTTTTTTAGTGGTGCTGAGGAGTGAACCCAGGGCCTTGTGCGTATGAGGCAAGCACTCTACCAACTGAGCTACATCCCAGCCCCTGATTTTGGCTTCTTTAAGTTAGCATAGTGTTTTTATTTTTGAGGGGCAGGAGGGGGGATACTAGGGATTGAACTCAGGGACATTCGACCATTGAGCCATATTCTGAGACCTATTTTGTATTTTATTTAGAGACAGGGTCTCACTGAGTTGATTAGCGCCTCACTTTTGCTGAGCCTGACTTTGAACTCTTGCCTCAACCTCCCAAGCTACTGGGATTAGAGGTGTGCACCACCATGCCCAGTTTAGCACAACGTTTTAAAATCCAGCCATGTTCTTGGGTGTATTGTTTTGATTTTGATCTGTTGCTGATGAACAACAGCAATGGTTTGAGACGTTGTAAATAAAGCTTCCATGGATTTTATTGTACAAGCCTTATCTATTTATTTATTCTGTGGTACTGGGGATTGAATTTAGCACTTCATACATGCTAGGCAAGTGTTCTACCACTGAGGTACATCCTCAGCCCTTTTTATTTTATTTTGAGACGGAGTCTTGCTCAGTTGCTGAGGCTGTCTTCAAACTTGTGATCCTGCTGCCTCCGCCTCCTGAGTAGCTGGGATTATAAGTGTCCCACTGCACCTAGCTGTAAAAGACTAATAGACACTGTTTTTGATATTCTACTGGATACCTTAGTTTGTGTTGTGTTCCAGTTTAGTAAGAGTGTTGGCAATGTAATGTTTGAATTCTCTCTACTTAGTTATTTGTAAGATCTGTGATAGTCTATTCTTTTTTTAAAAAAAGTTTAAAATTTTTAAATTTTTGAGATAGTCTTTTTTTTTTTTTTTTTTTTTTGCGGGGCATGGCATACCAGGGATTGAACTCAAGCTCTTGACCACTGAGCCACATTCCCAGTCTTATTTTGTATTTTATTTAGAGACAGGTTCTCGCTGAGTTGCTTAGCACCTTACTTTTGCTGAGGCTGGCTTTAAACTCAAGATCCTTCTGCCTCAGTCACTTGAGCTACTGGGATTATGGGCTCATAAATGTGCGCTACTGTTCCTAGCTTGATAATCTGTTCTATTTTTTTTTTCTTTCTTCTTTTTTTTTTAGTATTTTTAGCTGGCGATGGACCTTTATTGTATTTATTAATGTGTGGTGTTGAGAATTGAACTCAGTGCCTCAGACATGCTAGGCAAGTGCTCTACCCCTGAGCTGCAAACCCACCTGATAGTCTATTCTTTTCTTAGAAATATAAAAAATTTAAGTTTATTTTAAAATTAAATATATTTGGGCTGGAGATGTGGCTCAGCGGTAGCGCGCTCGCCTGGCATGCGTGCGGCCCGGGTTCGATCCTCAGCACCACATACAAACAAAGATGTTGTGTCTGCCGATAACTAAAAAATAAAATATTAAAATTCTCTCTCTGTCTCTCTCTCCCTCTCCCTCTCTCTTTAAAAAAAAAAAATATATATATATATATTCACTTATTTGTCCAGGAGTAGTAGATTTATTATTGAGTCATTGTCTTCTGCATGGGGTCAGCAGAATTTCTGAACACTTATACTTCAACATTTTGGCCAATAGTCTATTCTTTTTTTTTATTTTTTTAAACCTTTATTTTATTTGTTTTTATTTTTATGTTGTGCCAGGGATCGAACCCAGTGCCTCACGCATGCTAGGCGAGCGCTCTACCACTGAGCCACAAACCTGGCCCCTAGTCTGTTCTTGATAGTGAACTTCCTTTGCTAACACTAAAAAGTGCTTAGAAGGGAATTCATATTTGTTCTGTTCCTCCCCACAGGCCTCTGGAGGAGCCTAAGGTGATCTCTGCTTTCTCTGGAAAGCAGGCTGGGAAACATGTGGTGCATATCGCTTGTGGAAGTACTTACAGTGCGGCCATCACTGCTGAGGGGGAGTTGTACACCTGGGGTCGTGGGAACTACGGCCGGCTGGGCCATGGTATGTTTCCTTTGTGAGAACATGAGCAAGTGGTAGAAGGTTGCCTCATCTGAGACGACATAAGTAACACATTTACATCTGTTTGAAGGTTCCAGTGAAGACGAGGCCATTCCAATGCTGGTAGCTGGACTTAAAGGACTGAAGGTCATTGATGTTGCATGTGGGAGTGGGGATGCTCAAACCCTGGCTGTGACTGAGAATGGTAGGTAGAGCTCGTATTACCCTTGGCAGATTCTCAAGAATGCTGATGGCTACTTGCCCGGAGGAGGGACATTTGGAGTAGAGTGACCCTCACAAAGCTGTTTTGCCCTGTTTACCTTTAGATGGGTGTGGGTCTCAGTGGCCTCAGTGAAGAAGCCCATGAAGTTCTAGGACTTTGGCTTATCCAAAGCCAGCCAGTTCATTAGGGGCCACTTGTTCTTCCTTGAGTATTTTAATTTTTAACTAAGAATCAGAATTAAGTGGAATAATTGATTTTCTTAATTGTGTCTGTTAATATATTCTCTAATGTTCAGCCATGCTTGATTCCTTGTGGCAAATCTTGCTCAGTCTTTGTGTATTGTATAGTCTGATACCACATTGTTTCCTTGTTTTTAATTATTCTTTTGTGCTTGTTAGAGTGTATTCGTTTTCTATTTTTTGGTACCAGGGATTGAACCCAAGGGTGCTTAACCACTGAGCCACATCCTCAGCCCTTTTAAAATATTTTATTTAGAGACAGGTCTCACTGAGTTGCTTAGGGCCTTGCTAAGTTGCTGAGGCAGGCTTTGAACTCTAAATCCTCCTGCGTCAGCCTCCTGAGCCACTGTGCCTGGCTATTTATCAGGTTTGATGTTTTGAATCACTTTGATTTTTAAGATTTGTATCTGTCTTGTCAATATTATGTCAGTCTGTCTTCAATTATCATTGGGGAATATGTCTGTTAGTATCAGCTGGGGAATCTCTCAGCCTGCTCTTTCCTACAGAGTTGGAACCACCCATTGAGAATTGACTTCTGGGAATTTCTTTGGTGAATGATCAAAGATTACTTTAGGCAATTTCATATCCACATAGGTCCTACTACTCTTGATGGAACAACAGTGCAATCATCTTACTTTTGTTACTGTAACTCCTAGAGAAGGATGATCTCATCTGTCATCTGAAAGGTTCTTTCTGGCATGAAGCTTTTGATTTGATATTTCATTGTTGTTTTTAAATGTCCATTGTTGAGTGAGTAGTACTTTACAAAAATTCTGACCAGGAAATATTTATTTATTTATTTGAAATAGGTTTTAGGTATGTTGCCCAGACTGGCCTTGCACTTCTGGGCTCAAGCAGTTTTCCTGCCTCAGCTTCCTACATATCTGAAACTACAGGCTTGGGCCACCATGTGCAGCTAGGAAATATTTTCTTACGTAGCTATGTTAGTATATTGTCCTTGGTATTCTTTCTGTAAAATTGCTGTGTTAAGAAAACTTTATGATTATAATGTTGATGTTGAATAAATTGCCATGAATAGGACTTGTGGATTTATCTATCTCACTCTGATATTTCTTTAATGCAAATCTTTTAAGGAAATGTCCTGGTCTACACCATATTTTGAGAGACTAGTACAGTAGAGTCATCCTGCCCTGTGCAGTCTGGTCTGAGGATGGCTTCACCAAAAAACATTGGTGAAAGTGGGGAATTGCCAGGTGGGCTGCATAAACAGCAGAATTTTAGCCAATGTGTATAAAAGTGTATGTACTCTGCTATCTTTGTGTGTACATCTGCTGAGTTTCTTTCATGGCCATCTAATAGTTTACCATCTGCTGTTTTCAGTTTAGATCAAGGGTTGGCCTGTTTTTGCAAATAGAGTTGTTTTGGAACATAGCCAAATCAGATCGCTTATGTGTTGCCTGCAACTACTTTCCTGTGACAATGGCACAATTGGGTCATTGTGACAAAGACTACCATCCATAAAGGCTAAAAATGCTTACCAATATTTCAGAAAATATTTGTTGATCTTAGGTATACTTTATTTGAAATAGAGCAATCTGATATTTTCTTTCTGATTTCTTTCTTATTTTCTTCTCTTTTACCTCTGCCTGATTTAATAAAAAAGCCTTTTTTTTGGTTTTGTTTTTATCAATTCACTGTGTTGAGGTTTTGCAAAGTATTCAGTTTATTTTTCATAATTAAAGAAATTCACTTTTTTTGCAATTATATTTTAGCCCTGTAGTAATGTTTAATCAATTATATAATATTTGTACTGACAAATGCAGTTAGAAACAAATATAATGCAACAATTGAACTGTGGTCAGTGTGGTGGGAACAGAAGCATGCAGATACACTGTACAGTGGTCAGTGAACTGTAGCAGAGTATTGTGGGCCTCAGTTCCAGTGTTTTCTGCAAACAATGGAGCTTTTGTTCTGTGTTCAGCATTTTGTTGAAGTAGTATCAAACTAGTAAGTGTCAGGACTTTGTTTTTTATTTAATTAAATAAAGCAGCCCAGCTTTCCTTTTTAAGTTTTCTTCTATATTAACGTGAAGTAAAAATTAGATTTCATTTGATCAGTAAACTCCAGGTTAATATTAACCACATACATTGTTGATCTAGATTTGTGTGTGCTATGTTATTTTCAGTCATTAAAAAACTTCCATAGAAATGTACAGTTATTTTAACCTAAATACATTTGTATTTTCTAGGGCAAGTATGGTCTTGGGGAGATGGTGATTATGGGAAATTGGGCAGAGGTGGTAGTGATGGCTGCAAAACACCAAAGCTGATTGAAAAGCTTCAAGACTTGGATGTTGTCAAAGTCCGCTGTGGAAGTCAGTTTTCAATTGCTTTGACAAAAGATGGCCAAGTTTATTCCTGGGGGAAGGGTGACAATCAGAGACTTGGACATGGAACAGAGGAACATGTTCGTTATCCCAAACTGTTGGAAGGCCTGCAAGGTAAGTACAGATATATACTTCTAAAACTCTTTGAGGAAGTTTCCTTGATAATCTTTTAAAGTCTTTTTAGATTTATTAACCTGACATTCCATGAATGGACTATCATTAGAAACTTTTACTAATATCTTGATAAGCGTAGGTAGTAATTGAAAAGTGATTTGTGTACATTAAATTATAGACTTGTTTTCCCAAATTCAATTTGAAACCCACTCAGTTTTGCTAATATTGGAGAGGTTTTTGTTTTTTGTTTTTTTGGTAAGCACCCCTTTGTCAGTGCAATGAATTTAGTGAGGGTGACTTCTGTCTTGGCAAAGTCAGATGTTCTTAACTATAGATTCCACTGAGACCATGGATACATGTTGTGTTGTGGGGCCACAGTGGGAGGTTGGCTTGGATGTACCTCAGGTGGTCTGATTTAACTTGTCATTGATGCATATATCTTGCATGCTTTGTTGCACAGATGTCCAGTGTGCATTGGAGTTAGAGGGAATAGGTGGGAGCCCAGATGCATAAGTATGAGAGCAAGTATCTCTTCAGTGATCTGCCAATGTGGGCAGAAAGGATGGAAACATCTGTAGGAAGACTTTTTTTTTTTTATTGTAGATGAACACAATACCTTTATTTATTTATATTTATTTTTATTTTTATTTTTTTCTCTTTCTAGGAATCCTTTAATTCACAAAAATTGTGTTTGTATACATATATGGTACCCAATATAATTTTTTTAGGATTTTTTAAAATTTATTTATTTATTTTTGCTTTACTATTTATTTATTTTTATGTGGTGCTGAGAATCAAACCCAGTGCCTCACACCTGCTAGGCAAGCACTCTACCACTGAGCCACAACTCCAGCCCAGAAGGCTCCTTTTTTTAAAAATATTTTTTAGCTCTTGATAGAGCTTTATTTTATTTACTTACTTATATCTGGTGCTGAGAATCAAACCCAGTGCCTCACACGTGCTAGGCAAGCCTTCTCCTGCTGAGCTACAACTCCAGCCCCTGTAGGAAGACTCTTGAGTGCTACTAAGCCACTCTTACAAGAGATTGTATGCTGTAGGAAGTGGATGTCTATGGAAACCATGGTGATTCGATTTTAGAAAGGATTTTTTTAAAAGGGGAAAACTTCTACACCATTTGCCTTGGTGGCGGTAGGCAATCTCCATAGTAATGGAGAGTTGGTGCAGTAGTGGTGAATTGACAAGTAAACATGGAAAAGGGGGGAGTTCAGTGAGTGGTGGATCATCAAGTGGGTCCTGTAATATTTGCTCGAGTTAAGGGGTGAGCAACCTTTTTCTTAAAGGGCCAGATTTTAGGTATTTTAAGTTATTGGGCCTGACTGTTTCCACCCAAGTTTATTCACAAAAAGAGGCCATAGGCTGCATTTGCTGGAGGACTGGAGTTTGATAGATCCCTGCACTAATTCATTCATTCTTTATTTAAGTGTTTGCTTCCTTTTTTAGGGAGTTTGAAAGTTGGACATTAGACTTGCTAGTTCTTTTCTTCATTAGTTTTATTGTAAAGCATCTTAATATGTTGATCATTAGGAGTCTTACGTGTTCATAAGGTATTTATTATTTTTCAAGGTTCTGAGATACGTTGTAGAGTAATATAATTCATTGTATATTAGGGAACTATATTGGAATTTCCTTTGCCTCTTGTTTATATTCCCCTACTAGTAAAATATCTTCCTCAGTACATTTATTAGATAGAGAAATAATTTACTATGAGAGTATTTAAATTATTGTTGGTAAAACTTTTTTTTTTAATGTTAACTTGTGGTGGTCTCTTTAGATGGAATCGTTCTTACTGTAGTAGTTTCTCAGCTGAAATATATGTTGACATTTCTCAGAAGCCCTTCTTGTTTTGGTCATGTTAGATTTACTCACAAAGAAAAATATCCTTTAACAGTATTTAAATAGCAAAAATGTTTTAAAATATTTATATCTTATGACTTCTTGAGGGAAAAATAGATATCCTTTTAAGAATACTTCCCCATTGAATAGTGTGCTTTGCATAGTTATACAAGGAATTGGAGAATGTGATCTAATGATTAACTAAAGATACACTTGTTTCACTTATGTAATTACTTGTCAGAATTTGTGAGAATGTTTGGTAGCCAGGGAGTGTTTAAAAACCAAATTCTTCCCATCAAGAAGTCTCTTACAAGAGTTAGATGAAAAGAGGTCACAGAAGTAGTTTTCATAAAAGCTTCCTGTGAAGTGACACTCTTAAGTATATTCTCTAATCCACCAAAATTCTTGAACAATGCAGAGGGACAAGAGATCAAACTCAATCCTATGATCTTCCTAATTAATTACCGAAGCAGTCTTTATACTATATTTAATATGAATCTCATAAAATTAAGGATGTGAAGTTTTGAATTTTCATCCTAAATTTGTTCATTGGAGTCCTCAGTAAATTACTTCATGTCATTAAAAAACAAAACAAAACAAAAACACAGTAGTCTCTTTCTTAATGAAAATCTGAGTAAGGAGAAAAAAAAATCAATAGATCCTTTTCATACCCTAGCATTAGTTTCTTTGTAGGCTAGGGATCCCAAAAATTTAAAGCCGAAAAAAATAACAGAAGCTATGTTTTTTTTTAAAAGAATATATATTTTTAGTTTTGATGGACACAATACCTTTATTTTATTTATTTATTTTTATGTGGTGCTCAGGATTAAACCCATTGCCTCCCATGTGTTAAGCAAGCGCTCTACCACTAAGCTACAACTCCAGTCCCCAAAGCTTTTATAACATCCTCAAAGCAAATGAATTATGATTAATACTAAGAAAATTATCATAGCCAGAAAAATTGAACTACTACCAGAAGCAGAAAGGAATTTACTTGAACATGGATCCACATATATTGGACTTAATGCTGCTCTTTGTGGCCTAATAGCAAACAGTCTTTTTTGGCGTGTCGTGCATGTAACACAGGCCCGAATAGCTGCTAGCTTACCAATGGCAGTGCTCCCATTTTTGACAGCAAATGCATCTTTCAAAGGTTTTGTAAGTTTACCTTTGAGTACAGGTGATTTGAATTGTGAAACCTGTACTGTGACACGGGGTGGACTTGTTGGTTTAGTTTTAGGAGGTCTGTATCCTGTTTTCTTGGCTATACCTATAAATGGTGGCCTAGCAGCCAGGTATCAATCAGCCCTGCTACCAGAGAAAGGAAACACCTTAACTTACTGGATTAAAATTTCTAAGCCTATCTTCAGAAAGATGTTATTTCCCATTTTACTTCAGACTATGTTTGCAGCATACCTTGGGTCTAGACAATATAAAGTACTTATAAAGGCCCTTCAGTTACCTGAACCAGGCCTAGAAATTCACTGATTTAGAGCAAATGTGTATACAAAATAAAATTGTGAAGATTAAAAAAAAAAATACTAAGAAATTATCTTGGGGCTGGGGTTGTGGCTCAGCGGTAGAGCACTTGCCCAGTACGCGAGGCCCTGGGTTTGATCCTCAGCACCACATAAAAAATAAATAAATAAAACAAAGATATTGTGTACAAGTAAAATAAATAAGTATTTTAAAAAATGTTAAAAACGAAAGAAATTATCCTGAAGAAGTTAATTGTAAGTGCCTTCTGATCTCAATAGCTGGATTCAGATATCTTTTTTGCACCAGAAGCTACAGTTTGAAGCTGTAACTGTCTCCCTCTTTCCTCATAGGGAAGAAGGTGATTGATGTGGCTGCAGGCTCCACCCATTGCCTTGCTCTGACAGAAGACAGTGAAGTGCATAGCTGGGGGAGCAATGACCAGTGCCAGCACTTTGACACCTTGCGTGTGACCAAGCCAGAACCTGCTGCACTGCCAGGACTGGATACCAAGCACATAGTTGGAATTGCCTGTGGGCCTGCCCAGGTACTGAGTATATAGTTTGGTTTGGTATTTTGTACAATTTTGTTTTCCAGTTGTTCATTGCTAGTGTATGGAAATACCATTGATAACTTTTTGCATGGTCCTAATGTTCTGCAAATATACAAAGCCACAAATTAGTTCTGTGAGCTTTACTGTAGTTTCCTTGGATTTTTTTTTTCTCAGATAATTATGCTATCTCCATATAGAAACAATTTTCTTTCTTTTGGTCTATGCTTTTTATCTTTTCCTGACTTTGTTGCACTGGCCAGAAATTCTATGTGATGGTAAATAGGAGAGAAAAGAGTGGGCATCCTTTTTTTTTTTTTTTTGAATATAAAATTCTTTTTTTTTACTTTTTTTTTTATTGGTTGTTCACAACATTACAAAGCTCTTGACTTATCATATTTCATACATTAGATTGAAGTGGTGGGCATCCTTGTCTTACTTCTGATCATATAAGAAAAGTATTCAGGCTTTCACTGTTAGCTATGAGGTTAACTGTGGTGTGGCTCATGCTTCCTTTCCTTTCCTTTCTTTTTCTTTTTCTTTTCTTTTTTGATGGATGCCTTATCAGATTAAAGCAGTTTCCTTTAATTCCTATTTTGTTTTTTGGAAGTTTTCAAAAATCCTGAATGGACATTGAAATTTGCCAAATGCCTTTTCTTCTCAAATAATAGTTTTTTCTCTTTTAATCTGTTTATATAGTAGAATATACTAATTTTCAAGTATTAACCATCCTTGTATAACTGGGATAGACCTCACTTGCTCATTATTATTGTTATGTTTTTAATATTTATTTTTTAGTTGTAGTTGGACACAATACCTTTATTTTATTTATTTATTTTTATGTGGTGCTGAGGATTGAACCTAGGGTCTCGTATGTGCTAGGCAAGCGCTGAGCCACAACCCCAGCCTACTCATTATTTTTAAAGGAAGTAAATCATTTATTTATTCATTCATTCATTTATTTTTGAGGTACTGGGAATTGAACCCAAGGATGCTCTACCACCAGTCCTTTATTTTCTGTTTTGATATAGGGTCTCACTAAATTGAGGTTGACCTTGAACTTGCAAATTTCCTGCCTCAACCTCCTTAGTCACTAGGATTACAGGTGTGCAAGCACAATACCTGATTAGATATTTGTTCTTGGGTGATTTTCATGGTTTGTGGCACTCAGGAATTGTTCCATTTCATTTAGGTTGTCCAACTTTAGTACAAAAAAGTTTTCCTTTGTATTTTTTTTTTTTTTACTAACCTTTTGAAGTCTGCAGGGTCTGCAGTGATATCTCTTTCTCTTTTTAAATTTCTGATACTAGTAATTTGTATCTTTTCTCTTTGTCAGTTTTTAAGGTTTTTTAATTTTGTTGATCTTTTCTATTTTTGTAGTTTCATCCATTCACTCCCCCCACCTTTTTTTTGGGGGGGGGGGGTTAATTTCATTGTTTTCTGCTCTTTTTGTTTTTCACATTAGCTTGTATTGGGTTCACCACTTCTTTTTTTTTTTTTTTGGTAACTTAAAATGGAATCCTAGATTATGGATTTTAGGCCCTTCTTATTTTGTACCATATAAGCATTTTCCTCTACATAGTGCTTTAACTGCACCTACGAATTTTGATATGTTTTTATATTTGTTCATTTCAAATTATTTTCTAATTTCTCTTGATAATTGTTTTTTGACAAATTGGCTCTCTGTGTTTTAATTTTAAAGTGTTTGGAGCTTATCATATTATCATTTTATTATCAATTTCTAGTTCAATTCTGGTTTGGTTGAATAAACTGTATTATTTTAGTTCTCTTAAATTTTTTAAAATTTGTTTTATGTCTCAGGATAAATTCTGTGTTTGCTTAAGAAGTGTATGTATTTTGTTTTTGTGGGGTGAAATGCTCTATAAATGTCAGTTAGATCCAGTTCATTGATAGTATTGGTGGAATTACTCAGTTCTTCTAGATCTTTGACAATTATTTGTTTTCTCTCTCACTAGGAGGGTAGTATATATGTACCTAATATTTCATTATCTTCTTAGAGCTACTGTTGTACCATTTTAAGGGGATTGAGGGCCTCATTGCCATCTACTAGTGTATACTACTAACTTTGAGAGTGAAAAGATTTTTAGAAACCTTTTTTTTTTGATATGGCAAAATGACATAGGGTTAGTGAAATGGGAGAGGAAATTGGAAACTGATAATATGTGAGCTAACCAACAATGAAAGGACAAATCCATTTGGCAGTTAGATGAGTAGATTATAATTTAAAAACATTTTTAGTTATAGATGGGCACAAGACCTTTATTTATTTATTTTTATGTGGTGCTGAGATTTGAACTCAGAGCCTCACATATGCTAGGCAAGTACTCTGCCACTGAGCTACAGCCCCGGCCCCCATTTAAGGCGTCTTTATATGTACAGTGGTAAATCTTTACTATAGGACAGACCAGTAGCTGAATTTGTAGATTCATCTTAAGTTCTTTTGTCTCTTTCATAGAGCTTTGCCTGGTCATCATGTTCTGAATGGTCCATTGGCCTCCGTGTTCCCTTTGTGGTGGACATCTGCTCTATGACTTTTGAGCAGCTGGATCTCCTGCTGCGGCAAGTGAGTGAAGGGATGGATGGAACTTCTGACTGGCCCCCACCACAAGAAAAAGAGTGCATGGCTGTTGCAACACTGAATCTTCTACGACTTCAGGTGCCTCTGCTTCTTTTATAAGTATCGCAGGAATTCATAAGAACGTTTGTGCATATTGAAGAGTATTGGTTTTAGCTCTCTAGGTGAACTGCTCATGAAACTTTTAAAGCATTTTAGAAGTAATTATGATGGAGTAATGTTAAAATTTGATCTGGTCATTTTATGTTTATCCTGGAAGTCAGTCTTTGCATGCAGGTAAGAGTGTGTATGGATTGTGTTATTTCTGCTACCATGAACTTCTTGGCATTTGTTGGTGGGGGATAGTCTTGAATTTACTACTGTTGTAGATGGAGAAATGACTGGTGAGGTAGAAGGTGGTTGAGAGAGAGAGTAGGTTCCTAGCTGAGAGACTAGTGCTAGCCATCTCTCCTCTGGACTGTGGAAGCTCTGTGCAGTAAGCTCAGTTCCCTAGAGCAGTGCCTTCACTTCTTCATAGTGAAAATGCTTAAAGCTTAAAAAAAAAGCTACAAAAATCAACTTACCTTCCTTCCTTCATTGGTAAGGATGCATTAAACCTAAACTCACCCTTTCTACCTTCAGAGTTCTGATTATCAGGTGTTCTGTTCCATTATATTAGGTCCAAGGCACAGTGTTAGTTTTTTGTGCCTCTGAAAGAATTGTTTCCAATTGCAATTTGTAAGACACATTCTGATTTTACAGATGTTCAAACTTAAAAAAAAAAAAAAAGATACTTCTTAGGATTGGTTAAATGCTATATTTATTTTTTAACTTCCCTCTGATTATCACTTTTAGGAGGCTATAATTACACAGATATGTAGTCTTTTTTTTTTTTTAAATAACCAATTTATTTTCTCATTTTTTGCTTGCATTCCCTCCCCACTAGATTCTACTCATTTCTGTTTTGCTGAGATTTATAATTTTTTTCATCAGGATATATGAGGCAGAAAGTCTGAAAAAAATATATTTACTTCAACCTCTCTTAAGATAATTTAATAGGATTTGGTTTTTAGGTTATCTGAGTTTTGTTAGTTTATTTGTTTATTCTCTGCTGATTTTTTAAGTTTTTCTATGTATGTATGCATAGCTGTGTTAAATTTTTTTTTTTTAAGATTTTTTTTATTGTTTTTTTTTTATTGGTTGTTCACAACATTACAAAGCTCTTGACATATCATATTTCATACATTAGATTGAAGTGGGTTATGAACTCCCAATTTTACCCCAAATGCAGATTGCAGAATCACGTCGGTTACACATCCACAGTTTTACATAATGCCCAGTTAGTAATTGTATTCTGCTACCTTTCCTATCCCCTATTATCCCCCCAAAAATTTATTCTTATGAAATGTCTCACATCAGTGCCTTCACTTCTTCATAGCTTAAAAAAACAAGTCTACAAAAATTAACTTATCTTCCTTCCTTCATTGGTAAGGATGCATTAAACCTAAACTCACCCTTTCTACCTTCAGAGTTCTAATTAGCAGGTGTTCTGGTTTGATTCTCAGCACCACATAAAAAAATAAAAGCATTGTTTTGTGTCCATCTACCAAAAAAAAAAAAAAAAAGAAAAGAAAAAGAAAAAGATTCTCTCTCTCTTAAAAAAAAAAAAAAGTCTAAAGGGGAAAATGAGCAATTTTCTCATAAACTTAAAAAACAAACAAACAAACCATATTAAGGTTGAATATCCCAAAACTGAAAATTCAAAGTCCAGTATACGCCAAAATTTGAAATTTTTTGAGTGTCAACATGATGCCATAAGTGGAAACTTCATTGTGTGCAAACTTTGTTTTATGCATAAGCATTAAAAATATTGTAAAAATTACTTTCAGATTATGTGTATAAGATATATATGAAACCTAATTTTCAATTTTTATATTTAGATTCAGGTCCCATCCTCAATGCATCTCATGTAAATATGTAAATATTCTACAATTGAAAACACCCAGGTCCAAAATACTTCAGGTCCTAAGCGTTTTGGCTAAGGGATACCCAGCCTATATTGAAAAGTTAATTTTATTTATTTAAATAATACTTTAGATTGGGTTTTATTTGGTATATAATAAGATTTTGAAATCTGTTTCCTTTTAAGCATTCTAAGTAAAAATTGTTTCTCTCCTTTCAGTTGCATGCTGCCATTAGTCACCAGGTTGATCCGGAATTCCTTGGTTTAGGTCTGGGCAGTGTCCTTTTGAACAGCCTGAAGCAGACTGTGGTGACCCTGGCAAGCAGTGCGGGTGTGCTGAGCACCGTGCAGTCAGCTGCCCAGGCTGTGCTGCAGAGTGGCTGGTCTGTGCTACTGCCCACAGCTGAGGAGCGGGCTCGGGCGCTCTCTGCTCTCCTGCCCTGTGCAGGTGTGCCTGGGCAAGGCGTGGGCTTGGGTGAGGAATAGGGAGGGTTAGGGGAGTTCAGATAGGGGTTTAGAAGGGGATTTTACTTAAAGTGGCAGAAAAAAACAATTTTCTTTTCTAGTTTCAGGCAATGAAGTGAATATAAGTCCAGGTCGTCGATTCATGATTGATCTGCTTGTGGGCAGCTTGATGGCTGATGGAGGATTAGAGTCAGCCTTAAATGCAGCAATTACTGCAGAAATCCAGGTACAGCTCTTGGAATGCATGGTAGCTAACAGGGCAATTTTACCTGGTAGTGAGCTGGGGTTGACACTACTATACTCACAAGTATAGAAATCATGACCTATTGCAGAATTGTTGGAGGAAGTAAAACACAAAATTTTTAGTCACATTTAAGTATTTTCTTAACATAAAATTCTTATCTTCTAATTGAAAACAAATAAACCATTATTTAAGTGTGAAAAAGTGCTCCCACTTGGGTCTGTTTTAGTGAAATTGACAGCTACTCCTTCATCACATAGATCATTTCCATCACTCAGAAAGATCTTTGCCCATTTACACTTTTAGTTAGGACACTCCCTGCCCCTTAGTTTAGATGAATTCTGCCTGTTCTGAATGTCACATAAATAGAATCGTATAGTAGGAAATAGAATCATGTAGTAGATTCTTTCCTCTTCTGCGTCTTCTTTGTTTTGCCTCAAATCCATCCATATTATTGCATGTATTGGTGTTTGTTTTTATTATTGAGAAATATTCCATTACTGTTGGCTTATTCATTCTTCTATTGAAGGACATTTGATTGTTTTTGGTTTTTGATTATGTAAAGCTTCTGTAATCATGCTAGTACAAGTTCTTTAGTGAACATATGTTTTCCCCTTGGTTAAAAACTTTGGAGTGAATTTTGCTGGGTCCTAGGGTGAGCCTGTGTTTATATTTTCCCTGAGTGGCTTTATCATTTACATTTGAACCAGCATGTACGGGAATTCTAGGAGATTTTACTTAAACTGAGCAAATTTTACAGAAACTGAGCAACTGAATGGGATTTCTGATGAGGTGTGTGTGCCAGTGTCACCAAATGTGTGCATTTCCTCACAGAGGCTGGGATAGCTGGACAGTGGAGTCAGGGATCAGCCTAGCATTCCTTCATGCCTACTAATGAGATCATTGGTCACTAATTTCTGTTTCATGAGTTACAGGATATTGAAGCCAAAAAAGAAGCACAGAAGGAAAAAGAAATTGATGAACAGGAAGCAAATGCCTCAACATTCCATAGAAGTAGGACTCCGTTGGACAAAGACCTTATTAACACAGGGATCTATGAATCTTCTGGCAAACAGTGTTTGCCTCTGGTTCAGCTCATACAGCAGCTTCTTAGGTAAATAGTATTAGCTGCATAATGTTTTAATTAGTTATCATTTTCATGTAATTTAGTGAACTCTAGTACTAAGATTTCAAGAATGTGTTTGCTGAAAATTTTTCTGAAAATTACCTAGTGTCGATTTGAGGGTAAAGAACAGACTTATAAATATAGATGAGAGGAGAGGTTGGAGAGTATGAGGAGATTCTAAGGATTTTTATGGAAGAGAACTTGAAGTGTGCAGTAAACACATAAAAAGAGTCATATCTGCATTGACAATGGTTAGATGCATTTGAGACTGTCATGATAAAATTTGTTTTTAAAAATTTGTTGTATCCTGCCTAATTTTGTAAAGTATAGATTTGTGTATATTATTTCGTAAGACAATTTTTAAAAACAGAGTAAATGAAAGTGGTGAACATTATTTTGGAAGGCTAGATCAGGAAGAGATTCAGACTGTTAGAAGAGGCTAATCTTGGAAAGAGCCAAAGTGGTCAGACAGAGTTGGCTAAAAAAGGTGATTCAAAAGAACAAAAAAACCAACATGATTTATAAAAGATATTTGTTAGAAAGTAAAAAAAAAAGATTGTACCTGTATTTAGTAAAACTTTGCTATACATGAACTTAGATTCCTAGTTTATTATATTTTCTGCTTCCAGAGAAAGTAGACCCCGAGGTGTGTTGGATAAGGCAGCTGAGTGCACAGCAGAGACCCAGGCAGTGGCTGCTGCTCTGCCTACCTATTCTCAGAGGAGGGGGGTCCTTTGGCTTGATCCCTACAGTAGAATTTAGTGGGCATGTAGTGACATTTTGAAAGAGGAAGTTTTAGTTCTAGCGTTTCTTCGGTTTTAGTAAACATTTTTTTGAAAAATGTTTTTTCTGAAATTTTTTCTCATTTTCTTTCATCAGCATTCTCTACATTCTGACCTTTTAATTTAACAAATTAAAATAGAGAATTGACTGTACATAGTTTGTGGTAATAGAAATATCTTGGGCTTTGTTCTTAGAAAATTTTAGTTATAACTACTTGTAAACTTGGCAGGTGAACCTCTGTGCAGCATGGGAATGTGGGAGTAAGAATAAGAGCTGTGTTTACTTTCAGAGTTAATTCAGGATCAGATGAGAAAATGGGTGTTTAAGTGCTTGGTAGTTAAGATATAAAGTTCTATGCAGAAGTTTTAAAGCAAGTTTTTTTTTTTCCAGAAGTGCTAAGTTGGTGAATGCCTCTTTCTTTACTGAGGAGTTGTGTGTGTCATGGGCCATTGATGTCCCTGGCAGAGGGCTAGTGCTAGTTTCCTATTGTGGATCTCTTGTTCTCTAAGGGGAGACCAGTGTTTCTTCTCTCTTGTGTATTCAAGAGTATTCATTGGACCTGCAGAAACTGGTTTGGCTAGCCCTCTACTGTCCAGTTTGGCTGTCATTCACCACAGTTGATTAGCATTTGAAATGTGTCCATTGTGGCTGAATATCTTATCTGTTTACCTTTTATTAATTAAAAGTAAAATTTAAAAATTTATTCCTTTTTCAGAACTTTTAAGTCTATTTGGGATAGTAATCATATGTATCTACTTTTTCTAACTATACATTTTATGAATCAAGTGTGGACCAGGTATTTTAAATGAAAATCTAATTGTCCAAATTGAGATGCTACATAGGTTAGAGACCCAATGGCTCCTGAAGACTTACTATGAAAAAACAAAAACAAAAACACAAAGCATTGTAAAATATGTCCATAGTTTTTTTCTTACATTAATTCATGTTGAAATGCCATTTTTAACATGTTGGGATGTGCTAGCTTTCCATTACTGTGACAAAATATTTGAGACAATTTATAAGGAAAGAAGGTCATTGTTTCAGTCCATAGTTTGTTGACTCTCTTACTTTTGGCCTATAGTGAGGTGGTATGTCATGGAAGGAGCATGTGGCAGAGGATGCTACTCATTTCGTGATGACCGGGAAGCAAAGAGAAAGAGAGAGGGAAGGGCCAGGGTTTTGATATCTTCTTCAAGGGCATGTCTCCAATGAGCTGACTTCCTTCCATTAGATCCCATCTCTTATGAGTTCCACCACTTCCTATTAGCACTAAACTGAGCACCAAGTCTTCAACACATGGAACATTCAGGGATACTTAACCAAATCATAACATGGAATAAATATATTATTAAAATTAATTTCATGTTCCTTTTTACTTTTATTAATATGACTAATAGAAGATTTCAAATTATACACACGACACTACTGGTGTTGTTTATCTAGTTCTGTGCTATCCTCACAGTCCATTTTCTTTATTTTTCTTTCTATTGAGTATGTGTTTTTCATTTCTGTGGCATCTGGGGTCCTGTACAGTTCTTTGGTTCCACAACAGATTTATAATAAAAATGTTGCTATTTAAGAAGCATGAAACCAGAACTTAAGTATAGAAGTAAATTTTGCCTCATAAAAATTTTTAGAGAATTGGAAAAGAAAAATGTATTCATAGCCTTTTTATTAACAGAACACCAATGATCCAGGCTCTTCACAAGTATAGACAACGTGTCTCTCCATTTGTGTGGATAGATATAATTTTATTTACTTGCATGTTGGTGAGTGGAGGATATTTATATGTAGATTTGGATATTTATATGTATTTCTTTCAGCCTAAAGATGAAAGAGATTTTGGAGACATTTCATGTCCTTTAGTGTATAGAAAACTTGGGTTGAAGAAATTACTACTTGCCAAACATAAGCTGGGAATAGATTTGAGAATAATTCTTCATTCTTAACACTGGCAGAGAGCCACAGAATACCATTTTTTAAAAAATTGTAGTTGAATACAATATCTTTATTTTATTTAATTTTTTTAATTTGGTGCTGAGGATTGAACCCGGGGTCTTACACATGCGAGGCAAGTGCTCTACCGCTGAGCCACATCCTCAGCTCCCAGAGTACCATTTTTATTAAAAAGCAAAGAGCAGTAAAGTTTTTTAACTTGGTGAACCCTACTGGAATTAGATTTTGAATTTTATGATAAGGAAATAAGTTAAAATATTTATGATATTTTGTTACTATCTTGCTTCTTTAGGTATAGCATAAGAGCCAAATTCTAGACTTGTTTCTTCTGTTTCAATGTTAGGGTAGGTTATTGGGTAGCGAAGTTGAAAGTTGAGGTCAGATGGCAGTGGCAACCCCAGTGCATGCTCATCTTTATTTTGTGTGACAAGGATGATGCATTGCTCCTTCATAGGCAGTCTGGGTGTGAGTCAAGTTGCTGTGGGACTTCTAGCCACTGACTGTGTCTGTCTCCTGCTCCTGTCCTCATTTACACTGTTGACAGTTTCCTGGTGTGAACCATGGGGCAGGTGCCACTGATAGTTCTTCTCAACAAATCTACTGTCATATTAGGAATTAAAGAAGTAAAGCCAAAAGCATGTCCTTGACCTTGGTGTTATGCAGAGATCCTCAGGTCTGTCTTTTGGTGGCAGTGGCAGTGAAATGTATTGTACAGCCTAGCCACACACACTCTTGGCTTGGGTGGGGCTGGTGGGATATATCTGGTTCAGTGGCAGCCCTGGAACCAGGCCCTACTTCAATTGTTCTCCCCTCTGTTGAATTCTGACTTCAATAATCTACTCTCTCCTTTTTATTCTCAGTACCAGAGATCGAGTCCTAGTTTGCTTATTGTTTGAGACTGTTGCTGTGTGGCAGGGTCCCTCTCCCTCATCCCCTCTAGTTTGCTTTCACCCTGTCCTAAGAGTTACCTTCTTTGAACACATTTGTGGCAGAGGTCATTTTCCTTTCAAAACCTCAGTATCTTGGTGTTGCAGAATCTAGTCCTAATAGCCTGGCCCTCTGTTACCTTCAGTATCCCCTTCCTGCTTCTGTGTCTTGTTCTCCTCACCTTTGTTCCTTTGTACTCTGCATTATGGAATCAGAAACTTTACTGTTCTTCTAATGGAACCTCTTGGAAACTCATGATCTTTGTCCTTTCTCCCCATCTGCTGATGGCTCATGCTCATGGCTTAATTCACATTGCTCAGTTGGGATTGGAGTTAATGCCACTTTCCTTGCTGCCATGTTCTTTGGGCACCTGTTATGAACCTATTTTGGTCTCCTTTCTCATATTCTCTGTGTCCTGATTACCCTCCACATGACCTGCCCCATGTTGCCCGTGCTGGTCAGGTAGAAACAGCAATGCACGCAAGTCTTGTCTTTAAGAGTAGATCATGTTTATATATTTGAAATGTAGCTTTAAACAAAAAGTGCCAGTTTTTCTTCCAAAAGTTTGTATAGGAGTATTCCTTTTTGAGTAAGATCTGCTTTCAGATTGGACCATTCCACGAAGATCTGAAGCACATTGGTAAGCAAAGGGGCATTGTATCTTTTGAATCTTCTTTGCTCCTGTGCTCAGTTTTGACTAAGCTTGTGCTTCTTGAAGATATACCTGACACATTTGGGGTTGGTAGCCAGCTGGAGGTGACCTGCATATATGTTCTGTGCTTCTGATATTAGCTTATGTCATGATTTATCCCCCATCCATCTTTTTAACATAAATAATTTGTTTAATTTGCAAACCTTTTTTTCCTCTGCATAGAAACATTGCTTCTCAGACTGTAGCCAGATTGAAAGATGTTGCTCGTCGAATTTCATCGTGTCTGGACTTTGAGCAACACAGTCGTGAACGATCTGCTTCATTGGATTTGTTACTGCGTTTTCAACGTTTACTTATCAGTAAACTTTATCCAGGAGAAAGTATTGGTCAAACCTCAGATATTTCTAGTAAGTTACTTAAAATGTGAAAGAATCTTTGTGTCTTTTAGGCTTTTTAAATTTAGGCTTTTGACATGCTTGTTCTGTATGTGCAGATGTGTTATTCTCGTACTATAAAATGCACCCGTTTTGGTACCTTCATTTTGCATCTACTTTCTTTGACCTAACATTTTTGTGTCAGACTGATCAATATATTTTATTTCATTGTCTTAACATTTAAATTCTTTAGACATAATACATAGATGCCTTTGTGTTCAGTTTATTCTTACAAAAGATTTGTCAGATGTGTTTCACATTTTGTCAAATTTTGGTGACTGACATGACATGGGAATTGAATAGTGACAGAATGACTGTTCATATGCCACACAGGGACGACAGCTGGGTGTAATGGGAGGAGGACTGAGTTTCAGGGATAGCTCTGGATAATTAATAGCTGTTAGACTTTGAATTAAGTCTTGGGTGTAAAGATTTCTCGTCTGCAGAATTGGGGTAATCCCTGAGGATGACAACAGGATGATGCGTAAGTGCTATGGGACATGGTGCCTCTCTGCCAGGGTTAGAAAGATGTGCTGCTTTTGCTAATATTTTTATAACTTAGTTACTTTTTGAAAGGAGTTAGGCAGTGTCAGTGATGGAAATATGTAGATTTATGATCTGAAAGAGATGACTGTCTTGTAGGCTAAAAAGCTATTAATAACCATGTAGGCAGAAAGTTGAAGGTTCTAATGAGACTGAAAAATGCCTAGCTTTGTTCATTGAGAATAATTTACAAGCCTTAGGAAAACAAACATTTTTGTATTAGATATAAAAATTTTAAAAATATATAAATTATGACTTTAGTATTTATAAACCCAAATTTCTAGGTATTTTGTGGTATAGAGTATAAAATTTAACATAATCAGATTCATTGTCCCTCATGTTATATGACATAAAAAGAGGAGTCAAGGAACTTACTGAGATACTGTTTTAAAACTTAAAACCGTCTAACTGACTGACTTAACTAACTAATTAAATAAGTGAAGGAAGGAAGGAAGGAAGGAAGAAAGGAAGGAAGGATTGTGGATGTAGCTCAGTGATAGAGTGCTTACCTACTTGCGCAAAGTCCTGAGTTTGCTTCCCAGTATCACAGAAACCAAAAACCAAACCAAACCAAAACAAGAAAACCAAACCAAGCCAAGGAGTAAGGGTTCATAGACTCCTGTTTGGGAAAATTATTTCAGGTAAAAAATACAAACTTGAGAGTAAAATAGTAGAGCAGTTTGTTTGCAGAGTAAATTTTTAATAGTGAAAATTTTGAAATCTTTCTTCAAGGTCCTGAGTTAATGGGTGTTGGCTCCTTGCTGAAAAAGTACACAGCTCTTCTGTGCACACACATTGGTGATATACTGCCTGTGGCAGCTAGCATTGCTTCTACTAGCTGGCGACACTTTGCAGAGGTGGCTTGCATTGTAGAAGGGGACTTCACAGGTATCTATCTTACTTCTGCCTATGGGCAAATGTTTATTTTAGGAGATTGTTGAACACTAAAATGTACCTTTTCCAGATAAAATTGCATGTATTTATTGTATAAATTTTCTGGTCCTCTTGTCTTTTTTTTTTTTTTTTTTTTTTTTTTTTTTAGTTTTTGGCAATTTGTTGTGTGTTAAGCCATCTGATAGGGGAATCATAACCCTTTAAATATAATTGGTGGTTTAGATTTATAACATCACTTTAACACTTCAATAATGAGCTCAGTGATAATTGTTTAATTTTATTTGGGCAACATAAAAATTCGTTGCCCCCTTCAAAATCATAATACATTCTAAAATTGCCTAGTGTTTTTTAATGTTTTTTTTTAAATAAGGTTAGAACATTATTTTTGAGTCCCTCTTTTTCTGATGGTAAACATAGTGTTAAACATTTACTTCTTTGAATGAAAGACTATAGTTCATAATTCTGTGTTTGAAACATTTTTTTGAAAAAAAATTCAACTTGAGGGTTCTTTTTGGTAGCTATATCCCTCTTTCAAAATAAAAGATAAAATAATCCTACAGAAAAGACATGCATTCCTTATTTTATGACTTATAATTTAAACATAGAGTAAGGTTTTGCATAGCTTTTATAGGATATGCACTTTAAATTTTAATGCCTTTTAAATTTCTTTTTAAATATAGGTGTTCTCCTTCCAGAACTAGTAGTTTCTATAGTGCTTCTTCTCAGTAAAAATGCTGGTCTCATGCAAGAGGCTGGAGCTGTTCCTCTTCTGGGTGGCCTGTTGGAACACCTGGATCGCTTCAACCACTTGGCTCCAGGAAAGGAACGGGATGATCATGAAGAGTTAGCCTGGCCTGGCATAATGGGTATGGCATCTTAACTTAGGACTTTCACTGAGGAAAACTTTATCTTTATCTAATTCCTTCTTGTCTTTCTGTTACATTTTACAAAGGAAGACTGATTATTTGCCATTTCCACTGATGGCAGTGGTGGTGGAAAATGAAGATAATCTAAATTGGGAGAGATTTGGGTTGCATTTAAGGAAGTCTCTTGTATTAGTAATTGTTGTTAAGTCCTAAAATGGACTATTTAGAAAGTACTGGAAAGCCCTTTCCTGGAAGGTGTCTCCAGAAGATACTGTTGAGGTGGTTAGACATGGTGCAGCTCAGGAGGCAGGAATTGGTCTGGGCTGACTTTCCCATCCCAAAGTCATTGGTGTTATTTGGCTTCAATGAGTGCTTTCTTGTAGACACTGTCTGTAGTGCATTCCAAATTAATGTGAAACCTCGATGTCCCAAAGCTAGAGTGTTGGCATTTTTTTAAATGTAAGTCACCATCCTTAGTTCTTGTTTCTTGGATTCAGAATTAATCTAAATCATGGTTCCTAAAAAATGAAAGCTCCAGCTGAGTGGGCTTTTTCCTCTTATGTTTTAGACCCTCATCTTTACCACATAGGAACTTAAAACAAGAGATGGCAGTTTGCCAAGGAAAACAGCCTTAGGATTATCAAATGTAGTTTTTTACTTTAAATACAATTTTACTTTCAGCATTCGTTTGCTTTTGTTTAGGAGTGAACTTAAATTGTCATGTTATTTTTGTCTCTATAGTTAATATGACTGAGGGCATTTAATTTGATCAGCATTTTACTAATTTTAAAGACTTTTTAAAAATTATGAAATATAACACAAAAGTAGGGAAAACTAAGTTATATCCATGCAGGCTAAATGTGGAACATGGCAGGACTCAGCCAAACACTGCCTTGTCTCCCTACAACATGTCTCTCTCCAGGTAGGGGGGGCATTGTCCCCTTATTTCTTAGGATCATTTTATTATCTAAGCTTGTGTTCTTGAACAACATAGTTTTAATTTTTTGTGTTCTTGGAGTTTATATACATGGAATTTTACAGTACATGTCCACTGGTGTCTGATTTTTGCCTCAGCATTTAGTTCCTGAGCTTCATCATGCCATTTATTTTTTTCACTTTTATTGCTATATGTAGTGTATCTTTGAGTATACCACAATTAATTCATTCTACTTATTGATGGAAATATAAGTTGTTTCCAGGTTTAGGTTATAGTTGATAAAAATTGGTTTAGACATGTTTGTTGCTTGGTAGAATTGCTGGTTTGTAGAGGAGGCTTTACTGTAGATTGCCAGTTTCCTATAGTTATGGCCATGTTCATCTATATTGCAAAGCATGAGGATTCTTGCAGTTCTACCTCCACACCCAGACCTGGCATTGTCAGTGCTTCCTGTTTTAGGCATTCTGGAGGGTGTGCACTGGTATCTTTGCTGTATGTTCAGAAGCATTTTCCTGATTATTAATAAGGGTTAATACCTTTATATATGTGTTGTGTTAACCAATTGAATGTTCTGTTTTGTGAAGTGTCAGCTCAAGCTTTCAACCCATTTTTCTATCTGGCTGTTTCTCTTTTTTAATATTTCATAGTGTTATTGTACATTTGGATATAAGCTTTTGGCTCTCTTTCTTGCATAGATTTTTCTTTTTGATCTTTTTATGTTTTTTTTTTCATTTTTTAAAAATTTTAATTTGTTATATATGACAGCAGAATGTATTACAATTCATATTATACATATAGAGCACAATTTTTCATATCTCTTCTTGTACACAAAGTAGAGTCACATCCTTTGTATCTTCATACATGTACTTAGGGTAATAATGTCCATCTCATTTCACTATCTTTCCTTGCCCCTTGCCTCCTCCACCCCTTTCCCCTTTGCCTTATCTAGAGTTTATCTAATCCTCCCATGGCGCCCCTCACCCCCCCCAACACCACATTATGAGTCAACAGCCTTAAATCAGAGAAAATATTCCACATTTGTTTTTTTGGGATTGGCTAACTTCACTTAGCATTATATTCTCCAGCTGTATCCATTTGCCTGCAAATGCCACAATTTTATTCTCTTTTAATCCTGACTAATATTTCATTAGTATATATATTGAGTATATATACCACATTTTCTTTATCCATTCATCTATTTTTATGGTGTTTTTGGATGAATGGAAGTTTAATTTTAAGAAATCCAACTTGTTAATCTTTTTATGGTTGTTCATTTTGTGCTCTAAGAAGTCTTTTCTCTATCCACATCTTCTTACACATTATATTTACAAGTTTTAGCATATTAACTTTCACATTTGGAGTCATAGCACACTTAGAGTTGGGTTTTGTGGAAGTTTTGAGATAGGGTTTATTGTGCAAGCACTTTTGGGTGAAAGGCTTGTTCTTGGTCACTTTTCTGGAGTGCTACCTTGGTCTAGGTCAAGTGACTGTACCTGTGTCTGTTGTCACTTACAGCTATTTTCTTCTTGACTGACTGCACTTGCCAGGCCCTTAGATAAATTGTCAAGTAGAAATGTTGGCACTGTGCATCCTTGTTTTATTTCTACTAGGAAACAAGGCAGTTTTCTAGAGAAAATGCTTTTCATTTTCACACATGGCATACAATGTTTGTTGTGGGATTCTTTTTGTACATTTTTTTTAAATATTAAAGATGTTTCCTTTTGCTTTTGTTTTGTGATGAAGTTTCATTTATGATTGGATGTGAAATTTTGTCCAGCATTTTTCTGTAACTCAGGATGATCTTTAAAGTTTCCTTTTTCTATTAATGTGTCAAACATTAAATCACTCTTCTATTTTTGGAATGAAACTATCTTGGTTATAATATTGGTCATATAAATATTTATTGCTGATCTTAGTTTGCTATTTTTTAAAGACTTTTTACATCTGTGTTTGTAATATTTCTGAATTTCTTTGCATCTGTGTTTGCCATTTTCCTTATAATTTTTTCTATGGCCTGTTATTTTTTTTTCTTGAAATACCATATAAGTTATTGATAACCAGTACCCCTTTGTTCTAAGGAAGCTGTAATGTGGGAAGAGGGCAGCTCCCATGCTTTTAGCACTTCTTGACAATCTGTTTATCCGAGAATGTTAGCTAGGCAGGGGAGAAAGTAGTTGATCGATCTGAGAACAGAAAAACAATAGACATTTAGGTTTTGATTACCAAGATTATGCTCATCTTGTAGAGGGAGTTGGAGAATGTTCTTTCTTCTTGTTTTCTTGGAAGGGTGTGTATTAGATTGGTAGAATTTGCCATATAATTATCTTGGCCTGTAGTTTTCTTTGTGAACATTCTTTTTTAGTGGTCAGGGATGGGGTGGAATTAAACTTTTATTTTTTAAATTGCAATAAAATATGTGTAACTTAAAATTTACTGTTTTAATTTGTGTGTGTGTGCGTGTGTGTGCACGCGTGTGTGTGCGCGTGCAACTGCGCGCTCGTGCTCGCACATGTGCAAGTGAATTGAGAATTGAACCCAGGGCACTTTACCACTGAGCTACATCCTCAGCCTTTTTTCAGTTTTGAGATAGGGTCTCTCTAAGTTGCCCAGGCTGGCCTTGAAGTTTCAATCCTCCTGCCTGAGCCTCCCAAGTACCTGAGATTCCAAGCATGCATCCCCACACCAGACCATTTTAACCATTTAAAATTTAAAAAATTTTTTTTGGTACTGGAGATTGAACCCAGGGGCACTTAACCACTGAGCCAAATCCCCAGACCTTTTTTGTTCTTTATTTTGAAATTGGGTCTCTCTGATTTGCTCACCAGAGTTGCTGAGGCTGGCTTTGAACTTATAATCCTTCTGTCTTAGCTAGGATTGCAGGTATGTGCCACTGGGCCTGGCTCATTTTAATCATTTTTAAGCACACACTTCAGTGGCATTGCATATATTCACATTGTTATGCAATAATATTATTCATCTGTAGCATTTTTTCATTTTCCCTAACAAACTCTTTACCCACTCAAGACTAACTTTTTATTTCCCCCACTGTCAGCCCCTGACAGCTTTGCTCTCAGCTGTTTGGTTAACTTTAGGTATAATTTGTATAGGATGGATATGATCCAAGTTTGATTCCCCCTGACCCAACCATTTTTTAATAATACTGAATTGGTGTCCTAGCATTTTCAAAGGTGACCAATCAGAGTTTACTTTTTTTTGAGTGCCATTATCAATCAGTAGAATTGTATTAATTTGATGTTTATTAACTCAAAAGTAAATTTTAGATTTTATTTTTTTTCTAAAATATAGATTTAAATGTAAATATCCTTCCTCAAGTATACCTTTAGCTATTTATTCCAAGATTTGATCGATAATATTTTCATTATCACTTATTTTCTAATTTCCATAGCCATTATTTTCTTAGAATTTTGGGTTACTTAGAAGTATATTTTATAATTTTCAAATATGTGGACAATTTTTATTTTTTATTTTTCCCAGTTTCTAGTTTTAACTATGTTATAGCCAGTACAGGCTCTTAATTTTGTCTTTGAAATCAGTTGAGATTTCCTCTGTGGCCTGGCACATAGCCAGATTTGATACCCCTGCTGAGTAAGTTTTTAAAAATATCATTCTGTATTTAATAGAATTTGTTTGTAGTGTTAGTTTTAGAAAGAGTAAGTTATTCTCCAATTACAATTGTAAATTTTAAAATTTCTATTCTTTCTGTTTGGTTTTTCATTTGACTGTTGATCTATTGATTGATTTTTGGTTTCTGTATATGCAGAGTCATTTTTTACAGGTCAGAACTGTAGAAATAATGAGGAAGTGACACTTATACGCAAAGCTGATTTGGAGAACCACAATAAAGATGGAGGCTTCTGGACTGTGATTGATGGGAAGGTGTATGACATAAAGGACTTCCAGACACAGTCATTAACAGGAAATAGTATTCTTGGTAAGGCTGTATGTTTTTTTTTTTGTCTTTCATGGTTAAAAGTTAATAACGTGTTGTTTTAAGCAGAGGGGTCAGCTTATAAGTGATCTCTTCTGTTCTTCAGCCTCTACATGTTTTCATTTATCTGTGATTTTTAGTGTTTATCTTATCAACAAATTCAGGCCCACTTGAAGAAGTTCTGTGCATTATCATTTTGTTCCAATACTTACTGGAATTTGTTCCCATTTTCTGTTTTGGTCCAGGCAGTCCTGGGAGAGAGTGAGAGATAATTATGCTCTGTAACCCTCACTTTTGTGTTAACCTGCTTGTTATTTCTATATAGCTGTCTAGGCACATTGCATTGAAATCATGTGCTCCTTTCCTTTTTGTTTCAGCTCAGTTTGTAGGTGAAGACCCAGTGGTAGCTTTAGAAGCTGCTTTGCAGTTTGAAGACACACGGGAATCAATGCATGCTTTCTGTGTTGGCCAGTATTTGGAGGTGAGACCTTCCAGGAGTGATGGGGGGACGTCTGGGGAGGCCCTCTGTGTGTTTGTGATAGAATGAGTTTTAGTCAGAAGTACTCATATTTGGGCCCTCTGGGGGAGTTGAGTGATAAACATGAAGATTGGTTAGAAGTTTTTTGTAAATGAAATTACACTCAAGATTTATGATCTGTTGGTTTTGAAAACTTTAAAATTTTTTTTTAAGTTGTAGATGAACACATACCTTCATATTATTTATTTATTTATTATGTGGTGCTAAGTATTGAACCCAGTATCTCACCACTAAGCTACAACCCCAGCCCTGAAAAATTATTTTTAAAGTTGTCAATGTGTAAGAAATATAGACACTATTCCACAAAAAAGGAGTTTAACTTTTGATCTTTAAAATTTTGTTGTGTAAACTTAGGTAGAAATTTGGAATGGTTTAATATACCGAGTTATGTAATTTTGGGGAAGAACTGTAGGAGCATAATTCTATAGGATAGAAGTAGGTCTTTCCCATAGATTTCTGAGGATTGGACTTTATATATTGGGATTGGCTTTCCAGATTTAATAAAATTCAGTAAATATTGTAGGGTAGGGCTTAAAGCATTTTATGAAAGGGAAAACTATAAACTGTCTGATGTGACTGGAAAAATTTAAGATTATTTTTACATGAAATAAAAATAAACTCTTTTTTAATGAGTTTGCTTTTTATTAGAATTAAGTATTTCCTCCACAAGTGGTCACAATTTACTAACCTATAGTAACACTTTTATATTTTGTTTCTCATTGAGTTCTTTATGCACATATCAATTCACTGTTTTCTGAAGCATTGTATATAATCACTGTGGAAACTCTATTTAATTTCCTAAGGGATATTCTAGCTAAGTTGTTTATCTGTACTTCTTCCCCCACCTCCCCATAGATTGGTGTGTCTGTTGTCTGCTTTCTAGGATGTGTGGGTCTTTTGTGGTATCTAGTTACTTGAGCATAGTGGTATTAAAATCATTGTAGAATATAGGAACAGGGTGCCCAGAACATCCAGTTGCCCTCTTCATGGCTCAGGAATGTGTTGAGTACATAAACTATTGTTCTTTTAGGTTTTATGTTTTAAATTAATCTTGTTTTCTCAGACTGATGTTGCAATTAAATTTTTTCCAGCCTGACCAAGAAGTGGTTACCATACCAGATCTGGGAAGTCTTTCTTCACCACTGATAGACACAGAGAGGAATCTGGGCCTCCTTCTTGGATTACATGCTTCCTATTTAGCAATGAGCACACCGCTGTCTCCTGTGGAGGTTGAATGTGCCAGTAAGAAAAACTTTGTTTTCTGCTAACCAATCAGATTATTTTATTTTAGTTGAGCCATCAGTGTCATTAAGGATAGGAGAGGGGTAAAAATCAGCTGTTGCTGATGAAAAATAATAAGGGTAATGAGATTCCACCAGTTAGTTAGGTATAGCTTTCCTTTTTTTTTTTTTTTTTTTTTTTTAAATATTTATTTATTTTTAGTTCTCAGTGGACACAACATCTTTGTTGGTATGTGGTGCTGAGGATCGAACCCGGGCCGCACGCATGCCAGGCGAGCGCGCTACCGCTTGAGCCACATCCCCAGCCCTAGCTTTCCTTTGTCTTATGGTCTATGGCCTCAGGAAAGCTAGCTAGTGTGCAGGAATGTCTGTCTTCTGACTAGTCTCATGTATTGCATGTGGCAAATGGGTCCAATAAAACCATTATCTCTAAATTGCACGGTGTGGATTGGCTGTTCCTATTAGGAATAGCCTTCTGTTTAAGAATTGCATTTTTACCAGACTTAAGTCAGATACATTTTGGATTGACAGCTTCTGCAACATCTGAAATATTGAGGTTAATTCCATCATTGGAGATACAGAGAAACTGTATCTCCAATGATGGAATTAACCTTTTTTTTTCATGTAGTTGTATATTTCTCCTCTGTGCACCTGTCCTTCCAGCAAGTATGTGTTGAACAGTTAGTTGTTCATATCAATTACCATGCTGGGCTTTAGGAATGCAGAGATGGATAGGATATGCTTCCACTCTCAGCTGCTTGTTTGATGTTGAGCCAACTTGCTAAGTGGGTCAGAAAACAGGGTGGTAAATGGTGATATGGAGGCATTTAGAAGTGCTTCTGCTGAAGAAAGGTTCCACAGTGGCAGCAGTCCTGGAACTAGGTATGGGAGATTCTGGGGAGAAACACAGATCATAAGGGTCACTGTTGAGAAGGATGGGGTCACTAGCTTTTTGTCAGAGTGGACATCTGTTGAGGATGACCTTGGTGTCTACTTGGTCCCCTGTGGAGCAGTCCTTTGGGCCCATGCTCTCACTGTGCTTGCCTGCATTCCTCCTTCAGACAGGTCATAATAGAGGAGGATGAATTTCCCACAAATCATCAGAGAGTGAGAATGGGAAACTCCAAGGTAGAAAGAGTAAATAGTGCTATGGGCCCTGGTGGATGGGGGCTGAATCCACTGCAGAATCAGATCTGAAGCATATCTTTGAGGGATAAAGAGGCGTTCCCAGTGTTCTGAATAGAGCCATGGAGAGTCAGGATCAGATTTGTGTTTTATAATAGTTAATGCAGTCATTTGGTGGGATGCTCCTGAATGCCTTAAATCTAAATGTTCAGTGAAAGAATTCTGAGTGCTTCTCAGATTTGACTGTGTGTTTGAAACAATACTCTGTTAACCTAAATCATTAATAAAAATCCATAGTGATATATATTCTGACTCTTTTTGGGTATATTTTCTTCCCTTTGTCATAAAAGTTATAGTTAGTATTCCTGTCGGCTCTAACAGATGGCATATTCTTGTTGAACCTGTCATTTCTGTATCTTGTACTGCACACAGGTTCTTCTTTCCAATTCATTTGGTCTCCCATCTCTAAGATCTTTCCTTTTCAAAGTTTTGTGTTGTTTTAAAATATTCTATTGTTCTTATTACCTTATAAATACTCTAATAATATTATCCTACCCTAAGGATGTTCTTTATAGATACTGTTCAGCTATGCTCTTCCCCCTGTCTGCATACTCAGCATTGATAACATGGCAAGACAGGAGGTCAGAAAAAAATTTAGGTGTTAGGCTCAGGTTTATTTATTTTTTGGTACTGGGGATTGATTCTTTCTTATACCTGATGCTGAATTTCACCTAAATTGAGCATTCAGTTCAGTGGTGTTTGTTTAATTTTTTTTAGTTGTAGTTGGACACAATACCTTTATTTTATTTATTCATTTTTATGTGCTGTTGAGAATCCAACCCAGTGCCTCGCCTGTGCTCGCCAAGCGCTCTGCCACTGAGCCACAACCCCAGCCCCTGTTTGTTTGTTTCTGAAGAGTGCAATCAAGTTCCTTTTTTAATACTTGCTCCTGCATTTTCTAGAGTGGCTTCAGTCATCCATTTTCTCTGGAGGTTTACAGACCAGCCAGATCCACTATAGCTACAATGAGGAGAAAGATGAGGACCACTGCAGCTCTCCTGGGGGCACACCTGCCAGCAAATCCCGACTCTGTTCTCACAGACGGGCTCTTGGTGACCATTCCCAGGCATTCCTGCAAGCCATTGCAGACAATAACATCCAGGACCACAATGTGAAAGTAAGCCAGACCTTCCCCAACTTCTGACTCAGTATTCTGAGAACTTTGACGTATGAATACTTTCATGCCTTTATGAATAGCACAGTTTTTGTGTATTATTAAAAGTATTTTGAGGTAAGAAACTGGTTCTGTTCATGTGTCAGCAAGGCTTGAGAGCATTCATTACTGATTGCAAATACATCAGAAGCTGTGGCCCACTAGGATTTATGAAGATTCACTGGGTAGCTCTGAAGTTTTCTCTGGCCATTTCTGTTGCAGGACTTTCTGTGTCAAATTGAAAGGTACTGTAGGCAGTGCCACTTGACCACACCCATTACCTTTCCTCCTGAACATCCTGTGGAAGAGGTTGGCCGTTTGCTATTATGTTGCCTCTTAAAACATGAAGATTTAGGTATGAAGCTCAATTCCACATATTTTAGCTGTACTGAGACCTTCCAATTGACATGTAATACACATTCTTTTTTGCTCTTCCCTCCTTTTAAATGTCTTACAGGTCATGTGGCATTAGCTTTAGTTCATGCAGGCACGCTTGGTATTGAGCAAGTAAAGCACAGAACATTGCCTAAATCAGTGGTGGATGTTTGTAGAGTTGTCTACCAAGCAAAATGCTCACTCATTAAGGTGAATACATTTTAATTCTCTTTCTCCTTTGCTGTGCATTCAGTTGCTGAAATACTTGTTAAGTTTTTTGTTCACATTTAACTTTGCAGACTCATCAAGAACAGGGCCGTTCTTATAAGGAAGTCTGCGCTCCTGTCATTGAACGTTTGAGATTTCTCTTCAATGAATTGAGACCTGCGGTATGCAATGACCTCTCTATAATGTCTAAGTTTAAACTGCTAAGTTCTTTGCCCCGTTGGAGGAGGATAGCTCAGAAGATAATACGAGAACGAAGGAAAAAGAGAGGTAAGAATATGAAAGGTGGGCTGGGGATGTAGCTCAAGCGGTAACTCGCTTGCGTGGCATGCGCGGGGCGCTGGGTTGGATCCTCAGCACCACATAAAAATAAAATAAAGATGTTGTGTCCACCGAAAACTGAAAAATAATTATTAAAAAATTCTCTCTCTCTCTCTCTCTCTCAAAAAAAAAAAAAAAAGAATATGAAAGGTTGGGAAATACTGTTAAAGCAACTACATGTATTGAATCCCTGATTTTAGAGAAAAGCTGCTTGCTATTATTCAGTGTACTTGGCATTTCCACCTACTGCCATGATATTTATGTGTACTTATAATTAAACATAAAGAGCCTGCTTATTTTTCCAAAAGATCAGATAATGAAACAACTGGGAATTCTGTGTGTAATGATTTGGTAACTAGAAAATTAATACTGTAAAAAGTAAATACTGTGACTTTACTAGACTGATGGGCAAAAGAAAGTTTTTTTTAAAAAAAAATTTATTAAATTTAATGTCAGTTGTCTTGATAATGAGAGAGTAGAATATTAGAGCTCCTACCCTTCAGAGGACACTCATTCTTTTTGTCCTTGACACAGTGTGGCAGAGTGTTATTACTGGTTGTCATGGGAAACTAATTGTGATACTTTTGTCATTTCAGCATTATGGTTTACAATATTGTTTACGTTTTTCTTTGAAGAAAATATTCATTTTTTCAGGCGAACTTCAATGTTTCCTAATTTAAAATTTTATTTAAGTAAATGATTTTTCATAATGCATGATGTTTTCAAACAGTGCCTAAGAAGCCAGAATCTACTGATGATGAAGAAAAAATTGGGAATGAAGAGAGTGATTTAGAAGAAGCTTGCATTTTGCCTCATAGTCCGATAAATGTGGATAAAAGACCCATTACAATTAAATCTCCCAAGGTGAAGTATTTTCTGTGATTCTGAGATTGGATGAATAGAAACATAGCACACGGCAAATGAATTTGCAAGTATTGCCTTTGTTCTGAGCACCTTTAGGGTAGTGAATAAAACCAGATTGTAATTAAAAGTACAGCCCCCATTGATGCCTAATGGACTTGACTGATGGTACTCTGGTCATAGCTATAGCTACAGAAGTGTGTACTTTTATTTTTGGTACTAACTTGCATCATTATTCATTTGCCATTTATTGAATATATCATATCCTTTGTTCCAGAAACAGTTTTGGTTCCTGCGGCTATTAACACATGATGGGAATCTTAAACTTTATATGCAGAGTTAGCCTGTTCCAAAGTATATTAATATAGAGATTATAAATTCACTTATAAACATTGCATAATTTTTTGAATAAAAACTATATATTGTAAAATATCTGGGTATGGTGGCCTATTTAGCTCAGCACTAGAACATATTCCTAGAATGTGTGAGGTCTTGGGCTTGATCCCCAACATCACAAAAAAACAACCGACAAAACAAAAACTTATTCATTTAAATTTATTTATTTATTTTTATTTTTAGTTGTGGATGGACACAATACCTTTATTTTATTTATTTATTTTTATGTGGTGCTGAGGATTGAACCCAGTGCTTCTCACATGTGAGGCAAGTGCTCCACCACTGAGTACAACTCTAGCCCTAATTTAAATTTATTGCCATTATTTATTTATATTAAAGTAACTTTTAGAATACATGTTAATAAGATAAACTAGCCAGGTGTGATGGCTCATGCTTGTACTCTTAGCAGCTCAGGAGGCTGAGGTGGGAGGATCGAGAGTTCAAAGCCAGCCTCAGCAGAAGTGCTAAGCAACTCAGTGAGGCCCTGTCTCTAAATAGAAAATACAAAAAAAAAAGATGTGGCTCAGTGGTCGAGTGCCCCTGAGTTCAATCCCCAGTACCACCCCCCCATCCCCCCCCAAAAAATGGTAAACTAATGGTGCGTATTGTTCTTGTTTGTTAGGATAAATGGCAGCCACTGTTGAATACAGTTACAGGTGTTCACAAATACAAATGGTTGAAGCAGAATGTTCAGGGTCTTTATCCACAGTCTGCCCTCCTCAGTACAATTGCTGAATTTGCCCTTAAAGAAGAGCCTGTGGATGTGGAAAAAATGAGAAAGTGCCTACTAAAACAGGTAATGTTTTATGAGAACATTTCTCTCTTCATCGAGTAATAAACCCAACACTGAACTGTATGCATTCATCTTGCAGTTGGAGAGAGCAGAGGTTCGCCTGGAAGGGATAGATACAATTTTGAAACTGGCAGCCAAAAATTTCCTACTTCCATCTGTGCAGTATGCTATGTTTTGTGGATGGCAAAGGCTTATTCCTGAGGGAATTGATATAGGGTAAAACTTTATAACATTTTTTTCTTAATTATGGGAATCTGTGGCAACACAACATTGTTCTACTGAAGTTAAAAGTCTGGCAATGTCCTAAGTAATTTCTTTTTTAAAATCTTTGTTTGAAAGGGAACCTCTTACAGATTGTTTAAAGGATGTTGATTTGATCCCGCCTTTTAATCGGATGCTACTGGAAGTAACTTTTGGCAAGTTGTATGCTTGGGCTGTTCAGAATATTCGAAATGTTTTGATGGATGCAAATGCCAGATTTAAAGAGCTTGGTGAGTTTAAAAAATTCCCCAGTGTTTAAAAGACTGTATTAAAGTTGATATTGTGGTAATGTCAATGACTGCATCAGCATCATTTCATAGTTTGGCATTCATTATATGTTGTAGATACTTGCAAATGCCACTTTTTGCTTGATTATTAGATTGATAATCTAAGCCACTGTGAACTTTCAGATTCTAAAGAGAACTTTCCAAATTTGACAGAAGACAAAATCTTGAAGTACTCTCACATAAAACTACATTTTCACATTTTAATGGTTATCACTTATGCTATACACTTGTAACATGTCTGTGTTCTGCATTAATACTTATTTCCTGGGTAATTTGAGCATCCACAATGAAATGCTAGGAGTGGTTTTGAGGGATAAAAGTGAAACATAACTGTTAGGTTGGGAATGAAAGGAGGCCTCAGGGATATTTAGAGAGCAGCATGCTAAGTCTTAGAGACAGATGGATATAACTGTGTGAGGAGTACAGGTGGAAGGACTGTTGTAAAGCAAAACATAGCTGCCCTGTGTCCATACTATATGGAGACACTCACTGAAAAATAGAAGTTAAAATAAACAACAAAATACCAATGCTTTCTGTATCATGTATATTTTTATATCTGTGAATAAGAAATTGAGCAATTGAATGTTAATGCTTACCAGGTATTCAGCCTGTTCCTCTGCAAACCATTACCAATGAGAACCCCTCGGGACCCAGCTTGGGGACCATCCCACAAGCACGCTTTCTTCTGGTAATGCTCAGCATGCTCACCCTGCAGCATGGTGCGAACAACCTCGACCTCCTGCTCAACTCCGGCACATTGGCCCTTACTCAGACAGCACTACGGCTAATTGGTAGGTTGGCACCAGCTTTGGGTCTTTTATGAAAAATGTCACAATTTTGCTTTGATATCACTCTTTTTTTCTTTTTTACTATGGTAAGATACAGATAATATAAAATTAGCTTTTAGCAATTTTAGATTTTTAATTCCATGGTTTTAAGTACATTAACAATTTTGTACAATTGCTACTACTATAGTTATAGAACTTTTCATCATCTCATGTGCAAACCCTATACCCATTTAACAATCACTTTTGATTTCCTCCACTCCTCAGTCCCTGGCAATTGTAAATCTGCTTCTCTTTCTATAGATTTGCATATTCATGGTATTTCATAAAATGGAATCAAATGGAATTTGTGGCCTTTGGTGTCTGGCTTATTTTGGTATTTTATGCCACTTTGAGTGAAAAGTGTTTCATTATATGAATATATAGCATTTTTCTGTGTATTTGGACTGTTTTTGCCATTTGGCTTTTGTGAGTAATTCTGCTAGGAACATTTGTATACAAATTTTTGTTTGAACACCTCTCTCCAGCTCTTTTTTTTTTTTTATTGGTTGTTCACAACATTACAAAGCTCTTGACRTATCATATTTCATACATTAGATTGAAGTGGGTTATGAACTCCCAATTTTTACCCCAAATGCACACATCCACAATTTTACATAATGCCCTATTAGTAACTGTTGTATTATGCTACCTTTCCTATCCCCCCTCTTCCCTCACATCTTTTCTCTGTACCCCATCTACTGTAATTCATTGTCTTTCAGTGTTCGAAATACATTGTTCCATGAACTTCTTGCTTTCAGCGTCTGTGATGAAAAATCCGTTGTTAACCTTATTGGTTTACCCCTGAATGTAATCTGCCTCCTTTCTCTTGTAGCTTTTAATATTTTCTCTTTGTTCTGTATATTGGATATCTTCATAACAATGTGTCTTGGCGTTGGTCTACTGTGATTTTGTATGCTCGGTGTCCTGTATGCATCTACAATTTGTATATCCGTTTCCTTTTTTTATTTCTGGAAAGTTTTCTGTAATTATTTCATTCAGCAGGTTACTCATTCCCTTGGTTTGAATCTCTATACCTTCCTGTATCCCGATGACTCTTAAGTTTGGTTTTTTTATGTTATCCCATAACTCTTGGATGTTTTTCTCGTGATTTTTTACCTGCCTTTCTGAGTTGGCTAGACTCTTTTCAAGATGATATATTTTGTCTTCATTATCTGACGTTCTGGCTTCTACTTGCTCCACTCTGTTAGTGATACTCTCAWTTGAGTTTTTAATTTGGTTTATAGTTTCCTTCATTTCTAGAATTATTGTTTGATTTTTTTATAATCTCTATCTCCTGATAAAGATGCTTAACTTCTTCTTTTATCTGTTTATGTAATTCGTTTTCAATGTGTTCTTTCACTGTTTGAATTTGCTGTCTCATATCCTCTTTAAGGTTCCATTCCATCTGTCTAAGGTGTTCCTTGAGTTCTTTATATGACCATTTTTCTGATGATTCTAGGTCCTCCTGAATATTTAGGCTGTCCTGCATTGTTTGTACTCCTTTTCTTCCTTGCTTTTTCATGCTGCTCATGTTACTTCTTGTTCTGTTTGACTGCTGAGTTACTGTTTACTCCTATAAATTTATTTGATGCTTGGGAGGAAAGGTATTAGAAGGGAAGGGAAGAAGTCACTAAAGTGAATGAGAGTAAGCAGGTAGAATTCAAACCTTAAGTTTGTAGAGCTTGGGGCTGAGAATCCTCAGCGAATTTTACTTGCCCTCCGGTAGCCACGCCCCTGGTAGTTGGTGCAAGAGACCTCAGTTGTCAGCACTGGTGGGAGCGGTAGCCGGGAGTTCTGAAACGCTGGTCCCGCGCCACTTCTGATTCCCTCGGTCTGGCTATCGTGCGCACGGGAGAGCTGGGAGGGGCCCTTACGGTTTCCCCGATGTGTGGAGAGGGAAGGCTAGGGGATTACACACTTGTAGCCGCAGGTTTCAATGAAGTTATCTCCTCCACCACAGTCTGGTGACGTCAGTTCTCTGCCATGGTGGTATCTCTTGCAAATGGTGACAGTTCGTTTCCCTTTGCCAGGAGACCAATGCAATGGGTGGGTCCTTACTGTCTCTCCCAAGCCCCGTTTCAAACCTGTGGCCACTATCTATGAAGGCTCAGTTGGCATTTACCTCCGTAGGATCAGAAGGGCTGACCAGTTGTTTCAGCCGGATGGATTAGTGCTGAGTCACAGCTGTTTGTCTGCGGGAAGCAGGCAAACGGGAGCTTGTATTCAGCCGATCCGGGCTCAGTGTGTGTTCTGAGAGGCCCAGACTGTTCGCCCCAGATCCAAGTCAGCTCAGCATTGCCTAGTGATCCTGAGCAAACAGCATTTAGACTGTTTACGACTCCCTATGCCCGCACAGCTGAAGAGGTCAGAGACTTGATCTCTCCGCGCCCGCCGCCATGTTGGATCTCTCTCTCCAGCTCTTTTGATGATGTACCTAGGGGCAGAATTGTAAGGTTATATGATGATATGACCATGCTTAATTTGTGGAGACATACCCACCTATTCCATAGTGGGGCACCATTTTACTTTCAAGGGCTTCTGTTTCTCTACATTCTTACCAACTGGTTATTTTTTGTTGTTTTGTTGTTGTTTTTGAATTAAGGACATCCTAGTGGGTGGAAAGTGGTATCTCATTGAGGTTTTCATTTGCATTTCACTAATGGTGAGTGGATATTGACAATCTTTATATGTTAGCCATTTGCATATCTTCTTTGGGGAAATGTCTACATAGTTCCATTGAGCAGTTTTGAATTGGGTTGTTTGTTGGCCTTTTGTAGTTGAGTTGTAGGAATATCAATATCACTTAAGTGTACCTGATATTTAAAGAGGAATTGACACCAATCCTCAAACTCTTCCAAAGATATTCCTGGTTGCTAGCCTTTTACATATCTGTAGATCTTTACTAGATATATGATCTGAGGAACTTTCTCCCATTCTGTGGGTTATTTTCCCTTTGATGCACTCAGTTTTCAATTTTGATGAAATCTTTTTTTTGGGGGTCATCATCTGCTTTTGGTATCACATCCAAAACACCATTGTCAAATTTAAGGAGGATGAAGATTGTCCCCTATGTTTTCTGGTGTAAATTTTAAAAGGTTAGCTCTTATATTTAAAGTTGTAGTCCATTTTTAGATAAATTTTTGCTTGATGCTAGGTAAGAGTCCAGCTTTTTGTTGTTGTTTTCCAGCTTTCTCAGTGTCATTTGTTGAAAAGATCATTTTTTCCCTCAACATGTGGGTATCCTTATGAAAAATAATTGTCTGTAGATACTGAAGATTTTATTTTTGGATTCTAAGTTTCTTTCTGTTATTCTATATGTCTATTATTTATGCTAGTACTGTACTGTTTTGAACATTGTGGCTTTGTAGTAACATTTACAGACTTTTGAGTAGTGACTTTTGAATAGTAACTTTTGAGACATKAGGGTCTTTCAACTTTGCTTTTCTTTCTCAAGATTATTTTGGCTATTTTGGGTCCTTTGCATTTTCATATGAATAGTAACATTCACAGACTTTTGAGTAGTGACTTTTGGATAGTAACTTTTGAGACATCAGGGTCTTTCAACTTTGCTTTTCTTTCTCAAGATTATTTTGGCTATTTTGGGTCCTTTGCATTTTCATATGAATTATTTTCTATATCTACAAAAGACTTTTGGAATTTTGCTAGGCGTTATATACAATTTATAGGTCACTTTGGGGGAGTTTTGCCATCTTAATAATATTAACTTTTATTCTATGAATGTGAGATGTCTTTGCCTTTATTTAGGTCTTTAATTTCATTTAGCAATACTTTGTAGTTTTACAGTTTTTGGGGTAATGATGGCTTCACAGAATGAATTAGGAAGTGTTCCCTAATGCTCTCTATTTTAGAAGGATTTGAAAGTAGGTGTTAATTCTTTTTTAAATGTTTGATAGAATTTACCTGTTAAGACTAGTGGTTTTGTGCTTTCTTTGAGAGGTTATTGACTACTCATTCAATCTCTTTACTTGTTATAGATCAATTCAGATTTTCTATTTCTTCTTGACTCAGGTTATTTGTGTGATTCTAGAGTTTTATCCATTTTATCTAGGTAATCCTGTTGATTGGCATACAATTTTTCATAATATTCTTTTATAAGCATTTTTATGCTGGTAGTAATTTTCTTATATATTTGATTTTATTTATTTGCATCTCCTCTCTCTCTCTCCTTTTTTTTTTGTAGTTATTCCACAGAGATTTGTTAATTTTACTGACTTTTTAAAAAAAAAACAACAATTTTTGGTTTTGTTGCTTCGATTGTTTTCCTATTCTCTATTTCATTTACCTTCTGGTAACTGATTTTTCTATTTTATTTTTCTATTGATTGAGATCTTTTTAAAGTGCATGCTTTCATAAATGTAAGTGTCCTTTTTAGCACTGCTTTTGCTGTACTACCTAAGTTTTGATATGTTGTGTTTTCGTGTGTCTCAAAATATTTTTTTTTTGAGAGAGAGAGAGAGAATTTTTAATATTTATTTTAGTTTTCAGTAGACACAACATCCCTGTCTGTATGTGGTGCTGAGGATCGCGAACCAGGGCCGCACGTATACCAGGCAAGCGTGCTACCGCTTGAGCCACATCCCCAGCCCCTCAAAAAATTTTTTTAACATGTATTGTGATTTTTTTTTGACCCAGAGATTGCTTAAGTGTGTATTGTTTAATTTCCACATATTTGCATATTTTCTGCAAGTGAGTGAATTTCTAGTCATTCCATTTTGGTTGAAGGACATTTGTATGAGTTTACTATCTTTAAATTTAAGAGTTGTTTTGTGGTCTAATACATGGTTTATCCTGGAGAATAGTCCATGTATACTGAGAAGAATATGTATTTTACTCTTTGGATGGAGTGTTCTGTATATGTCTCTTAGATCTAGTTGATTGATAGTGCTGTTCTTTGGATGAAAAGTTTGAGATGCTTGAAGGCCAATGGTTGGCCCAAGTCCAAATGAGAAAGAAGGTTTTTCTCAGACTCTTTTATCTTAAAGTTCACATTGACCCATTGAAAAACATCAGGCTGGAACACAGCTGGCCTCTAATAGTCATTCATCTGATTAATTACTTAATGCCTCATTAGCAATGAAGAATCGCTTAAAAAAAAATGACACAGTCGTATCTCCTAGAAATTGCCCTTCATTTTATGTTGTTCCAGATGCACCAATAAAAAAAAATAACCACCTAGAAAAATACAATTAAAAAAGAACTCCTTTTACCTCATTGCAATTTTATTTTCAGCCCCTAGTACTAAATTTAGCATTTTTAAGGTTGACAGGACAGCTGGGACATTGTAGTTGGCTGGCAATTCCTCTTTGCTCCTGGGTATCTGTGGCCTAGGCAGCTACTAAGCTGAAGAAAAGACTGTTTCCCTCTTTAGTTTAAAGCTTTGTTCTTTTTTTAAAAAAATTTTTTTTTAAATTGTTGATGGACCCTTATTTTATTCATTTATTCATGTGCGGTGCTGAGAATTGAACCCAGGTCCTCACACATTCGAGGCAAGTTCTCTACCACTAGGCCGCAACCCCACCCTAAAGCTTTGTTCTTGCCCTGGGATTTAACCTTTTTTAAGCTTAGAGGAGAGAGGAACACAAAGTTTTCATATTTTTGGCACACCTAAGCCTGCCTTTGGGACCATTTGGACTCTTTGTTTCTCCCACCCTGAGGAGAAAACAAAAGCTGAAAGGAGTAAGGAGGACTGCATTTTCTTCCCTTGTAGCTTCAATGAGCCCCAAAGCAGCCAGGGATCCACCCTCCTGGGGCTTAGTTTATTGTTTTCAGATCCATTGATAAATGTTACTTCTTTTCAATTGAGAACAGCTCAGTTTCTGTTTCATACTGTGGATGACTCCACAGCCATCCAGGCAGCAAATATTTGTCCTGCCCTGCCTGCTTCATTCTTTATTCTATCAACCATTCTTTTGCAGTGTTTGAGGAAGAATTAGAGTTGTAGTAGAGAATCTTTCTCCTGCTGCCCTGTGTCTGGAGCTTCTAATCTTCTACCTCAGATTTAATTTGCCTGGAGAACTCACAAGTCTTGGCAGGTGGTTGTACTAAGAGCTACAATTTGTTACACTGAACAGGTACAATGCAGAGTCATCAAGGGGAAAAGGTATCTGGGCAAAATCCTGAGGAAACCAGGAACAAGCTTATGGAGTCCTTCCTCTCCCAGACCAGTTACACAGGACCCTTAATCCACMCCCCCCCCCCCACCTCACCCTCCATCAACTTGTGATGACATGCATGAATTGCTGTCTACCCTGGAAGCTCATTAAACACTTGATGCCCAGAGTTTTCATTGGGGATGATCAGGCAGCTACCTCTGCCTGATACATACCAAGTTCCCAGTCCCAGAGGAAAGCAGGGTATAGCATAGACCACAGTGTTTATGCAAACAGTTTAGACACAGTGAGCCATGCTCTTCACCTGGGGAATAAGGGAGCCCTCCTGAGATTCAGGTTCCCAGGTGTCAGCCAAGTACTCATCTTGTAATAGGCCTGTCTGCGACCTGTGCTGTCATCTATTTCTTGTACAAAATGATAATTAAAAGTTTGTTAATTTTCCATTGTTAGGCATTTAGGTAGTTATCTTTAAGTTAAGTATCTTTCTAACTTAAAATCTTATCTTGCTCTTTTGGGTGGGGAGTCATTCCTAGAAATAGAATTAATATCTTTTTTGAGCATTTTTATATCGTTTTGTTTTCTGAGCATGTTTATATACTTTGCCCCTCCCTTTACCTTCTTTTTGTACTAGATTTAATCAGGAAAAATTCCACACTTTTTATTGAATAAATTGATTAAAAATACAGTATGGATTCTTTAAGGTCTTCATCAGTTCTTACTATTTTCTTGGGTGTGTGTGTGTGTCTGTGTGTAAATTAGGGTGTTGTAGCTACCTACCAGCTCAACTATTTCTTTGGGTTTGTTTTTTTTTTTTTTTGGCAGTACCAGGGATCAAATCCAGGACCTCACTCCTGCTAGGCAACTATTCTACTACTGAGCAATATCTCCAGCCCTGAGCTATTGTTTTTGATGCTCTGACAGGTCCTAGTTGTGACAATGTTGAGGAAGATATGAATGCTTGTGCCCGAGGAGCCTCTGCTACGGTTTTGGAAGAAACAAGGAAGGAAACAACTCCTGTGCAGCTCCCTGTTTCAGGGCCAGAACTGGCTGCCATGATGAAGATTGGAACCAGGGTCATGAGAGGTGTGGATTGGAAATGGGGCGATCAGGTACTCTGAGATTTGATTTAACACATGAACCACACACTGGTTATCTTTAGCACATCCTACTGTATATGATATTAGTGGAAACTGGAATATTTAACTGTCTTAACTCAGGGCAGGTGTGATTGATGGATGACTTAGTTGTTGATTCCTGAGCAGCTAAGTAGAGGCAAAACAAGCAGAGAGTAACAGCATCCTACTGCAAGGGACACCTTAAGGAGAACCAAGACTGGAAAGAGTGGCAGATATTTAAAAAAAACCTCACTGGCATATGGCTTCATTTTGTGAGCAACAGGAACTGGACTGAGAATGAGCAAAAAAAAGTAATTCTCATTCTGAATGCTGGTATTGTGAAGGGGCAGGAAGCCCAGATGCTGCTTCTGAGAGCTCATGGCTATATGCCCATGAAATGTCCAGATTCATATCACTTCCTAATCTCTCTCAAGTGCCCCCAGGGAGAGGTCGCTTATCATTGCCCTAGTTAAGTTAGGGCAGTGTTCATCTTCATATGGTTATACCAGCTATACTATTAAGCATGGGCTTTGTCACAGTACTGTAGAAATGAAAATGTCCAGGGAAAGTAGCATCATCCTAAAAATAGTTTCTCCCTTAGAAATAGGAAACAGACTGTCCGCTGTGGGGCCCAGTTCCAGGGGAAGCAGAAGAGGGGGAATGCAAAGAACTGGGGCTCTTTTCATGTCTCTGCTTTTGCAGTGAGTGCCCCATGAGGGATTGAGAGGGTCAAAGAAAAGCCCATCAGGACTTTGCTGGAAAGCCTGCCTTTGCATTTTCTCAGTGGAAATTGAAATAATAACATGAGTGGACATTATTTATTGGGTAAAGGAACATGAGCATGTTATTTCATGGCACTTAACTTAAAATGGTGTGAATTGTACATTTTGAATGTAGGTTTTGGACTAGTTTATTACTGTGAAGTTTGCTTACATTGACTTAGATGTCTTCACAGGGAGGGTGGCTGATATGTTTATGTGCAGGTCATTAGAGAGAGACCATGGTGGATACAGCAGGGCATGTGCCCTCTTTGACTGGTTTTTATTTTGGCTTTCCCAGGATGGACCACCCCCAGGCCTCGGCCGTGTGATTGGTGAACTGGGAGAAGATGGGTGGATCAGGGTCCAGTGGGACACAGGCAGTACCAATTCCTACAGGATGGGGAAAGAAGGAAAGTATGACCTCAAGCTGGCTGAGCTGCCAGCTTCTGCACAGCCCTCAGCAGAGGACTCAGACACAGAGGACGACTCTGGTGGGTGACTTGTGAAGGCATTTATTTAGTCCAGAGCAGTCTGGAAAATTGTTCAAGTGTTAGTTGGCTGTTATTTTTCTTAGAGAAGGTAAAACAGTAGTCAGGACTCGTTTGTATACAGTGTTCTGTGGATTTGGGTTTAAATACTCTTCAAGGTGGTTTTTTTTTTTGGTACTGGGGATTTAACTCAGGGGTGCTTTACCTCTGATGGAGTCACATCCCCAGCCCTTTTTACTTTTTATTTTGAGGTAGGATCTCACTTAATTGCTTAGGGCCTCATTCAGTTGCTGTGACTGGGCTTGAACTTGTGATCCTCCTGCCACAGCTTCCAGAGTACTGTGGGAATAGCAGGATTGCTCTACCCTGCCTGTCTTCTAGGTGATTCTGATGCAGTTATACAAAGTGGCTCTGGGCACCAGCTGCCCAGCTGGAACTCATTTTCTGCATGTCCTCCTCAACCCTTTCTGCGCTCTCTCTGAGGGAAAGATGCATCCTCACTTCTGATGGAGCTGTGTAGTTGGTGCTGAGCCTGTCAGAGGGAATGAGTCATGGTGTGGTGGATTAAACATAGCCTATGCTGCTTGGGATCCTTTGCTGCCTTTGTACCAGCTTCAAGCTCTACAGAACATGGATCTATGTGCTTCCTTTACCTTGAACCCGTGTGTTTTCCTCCTTTACCTTTCCTCCTTGGTTCTTGACTCATTAGGTCACATAATGTAAAGGTAGTACTTTTTTTTGCCCCCAGGAAAAAGCAGAAGGGAAAGTTTGGAGGTGGACCCAGAAAATTTGATCCTGTCTAAAGAAATTAGTTTGAATTTATGGGAGGAGATCTTCATGACACTTTTTAGATATATGCAAAAGACACTAGGACATGAGAATGAAACATCATGTGACTGGTCTTGCTGAGTCCATTATAGAGGCCTGAACTATCTCATGGGGCTCTATGCCAATTGTATGTGCTTTTCCATTAGTCTTCAGAAACTGCTCTTATAAAGAGCAGATGGGACCTGCAAGGATGTTCTCAGGAGAGAACAGGTGGCATGAGTTTTGGGGGGTGGGAGACTCTGTGCCACAGAATTCAAGTGTGGTCTTGGATCATGTGGGTTCAGCTCCTAATGCTACTGCTCTGGACTGGGGCCCCTCAAGTGTGAACAGAGATGCCTGCCACTGAGAACTGCTAGGAGTGATGTATGTGGTCCACCGATGGGGGGTACTGGCTTTCCCATCAGTGCATCTGGCATTGTAATTGGAGTGTGTGGCTCCAGACCATGTGTAGTCTCTTCCTCTACCCACTCAATAGGGGAAACAAGCCTGGCTCTCTACTTGGGAGCTTTCCTCACTGAGGAGTTAGAATCCAGGCAGAGGTGTTCCTGTGATAGAAAGATGGCTGTTCTGTCCCACAGACATTCAGGCTGGACATGTGAGTGTCCAGTCTCGCTGCCCCACAGATGGAGGCACTTGGCCCTTATCTAGGTTGGAATTAGCTTGTCAGAAACCAGCCTGATAGTTGATAAGGTGTTTTTCCAAAGTAGTGAAAGTTTGTAATCATTCTATCTCAGTGCTTTTGAGTTAAATGCTTAGGGTTTTTTTTTTTTTTTGTTATTTAAAAAAACAATTTAAAAGTTTAATTTTCTTTGAGGAAGTTGGAAGCAGCAATTATTAGGACAGCCAGGCACAATGGCATGTGCTTATAGCACCAGCTCCTTGAGAGCCAGAGGTAGGAGTCTAGTTATTCAGACCAGCCTGGGCAACATAATTAAGCCCTGTCTAAGGACGAAAGAAAAAAGGGAAGAGAAGAGATGAGATCAGGGAAAACCTCTAGTGCATCCTTTGTTCCGTCTTTTCTTATAAAGATCTGCTGCTTGTTTCAAAGTGGAACAAAAAAATAAGGATGTAAAATCTCTGTACCTTTCTGTTAATTTTATTGTGAACCTAAAACTGCTTTAAAAATTGAAGTTTTTAAAAATAAAAAATGAAGAATATGATATTAAATCGCCTCAATTATGTGTAGGGCCATCTTCCAATTTTATTCGGGAATATAGTTTTTAATTCTGATTATCTTTTTCAGAAGCTGAACAAATTGAAAGGAATATTCATCCCACAGCAATGATGCTGACCAGCACTATTAACTTACTACAAACACTATGTCTCTCTGTTGGAGTTCATGCTGAAATCATGCAGAGTGAAGCCACCAAGACTCTGTGTGGACTGCTGCGAATGTTAGTGGAAAGTGGAACAACAGATAAGACATGTATGGAATGAATAACTGTGGGCCCAGAGAGTCAGTATCGGTTGGGGGGCTGTAAATTTGTCAAGTTTGTGCGTATGTGAACAAATATGGATGAGAAGGGTGTGAGTGTGTGTTTATTAGGTTTCCATTGGTGCTGCAACAATGTACTGTAAACTGTATGACATAAACAACAGGACACCTTGGCAGGACTGGTTCCTTCTGTGGGCCACGTGGAAGAATCTGTTCCAGGTCTGTCCCCTAGCTCATGGCGGGGTATTGCTAACAAATTTATCTTTGGCATTCTTTGATTTGTAGACACATGACTCCAATCTCTGTCTTTCATGTTCACATGTTTTTTTTTTTTCTCTTTGTGTGTCTGTATCCAAATTTACCTTTTGTAAGGACAGCAGTAAATGTCACTCAAACAAATTTTATCTAATATTATCTACAATAACACTGTTTTCAAACAGTATCATGTTCTGAGTTACTAGGGGTTAGTGCATCAATATATGTATTTTAGGGGGACATTTCAACCTATAACATTGGATTAAAACAACAAATTTATTCTCTCAGAGTTCTGGAGATAAGAGTTCTCAAGTCAAACCATAAGCAGGACTATCCTCCTTTCACAGGCTCTTGGGGAGCATCCTCCCTTGCCTTGTCCAGCCCCTGGTGGTTCCAGACTTTCTCAGTTTGTGGCTGCATTACTCCAGTTTCTGCCTCTGTCTGAACATGTCTTCCTCCTTGTTGTTTTTTTATGTCTTTTTCTCTTAGTACTCTTTCCTTGGATTTTGTGTTCACTCTAATCAAGTATTATATTATCTCAGTTCTTAATGATGTACATAGAACTTCTTTTCAAGTAAGATCACCCTCTGAGGTTCTGAGTGAATGTCAGTTTTGGGAGGGACATGACTTAATCCATAAAGTGTTTGAGCTTCTGTGGATGAGAGTTTTAAGTATGGGGAATGTGAATTGAGGAAGTGGGCTGGTGTATGTTCAAGTGTGAGAATGAATGTGTTCGCATATATCTCTGTGTGATGGAATGTGAGTGTTAATTGAGTGTAGGTTTGAGTATACAAGAACATATTTCAGAGAGTGCATATATGATTAAGAACATAATGTGTTTATTTGTGTGCCTAAATGTCAGTCTGTATTGATGTGAATATGAGAGAATGTGTTCGTAATCAATGGGTGAGAGTTTGTGTTGGTAGCCTGACAGTGTATGTTTGAGAATATCATGTGATTGGGTGTGTAGTGCATGTGTGTACATGTGTGGGTGTGCATGAGAACCTATGGCTATGGGCAACCAGCTACACATGGATGAAGTGTGGAAGCTTGAGTGCATGTGCATTTATGTCAGCCTGTATGTACTTGTGGGTATGTAACTGTAGTTTGTGTGAGTATGAGCATATTTGTACTATATTTGAGTATGCATGAGTGATTGCAATATGAGTGTGTTACCAAGTATGAATGAGAGACTGAGTATGATACAGTGAAAATGTATGAAGGTTAGTGTGTGTGAGTGAGCATGAGGGAGTATGTTGCGAGATGCATGTACTTTGTGCATGTGTGTGATTGTGGAAGTATATGAACATGAGTGTTTGAGCGTATGCACGTGTATATATGAGTGCATTGCATATCAACGTGAAAGCACGTGAGTTTTGTTGGGGAGAGTGAATGTCAGTGTTTTAAGTGTCAGTGAGCAGGAGTCTGTATGAGTATAGGTAAGAGTGTGAAGTGAGAAGGCAAGCACGTGCATGAGTATGTGGATTTGAGTAAGTGGTTGTATAGAGTAACTGGGTGTGATTCGGTATATTTGAATAATTGTGTAAGTACACATGAGTTAGTTTGTGTGCATGGGAGTAGTGATAAGTGTATGTGAATGTGCATGTGTGAGTGTAAACTTGCATCATAGGTCTGATGTATGTGTGTGACTGGATTCTTTTTTTAATTTATATATAACAGTGGAATGCATTACAACTCTTATTACATATATAGAGCTCAATTTTTCATATCTCTGGTTGTATACATAGTATAATGTGATGACCATTATTATCCAAAGTACATGTATGAGGACATGAATTGGTGTGTGTGGCTGGATTCTGTGATTGTGGGTGACTGTGATTGTGATGGTGGTATGAATGTATGTGAGAGTGTGTTAGGTGTGAATGACCAGAAGAGTGTGAGAGTACCTGTGAGTGTATGAGCCTGTCCGAGTAATTGTGTGAATTAGTGTGGGTGAATGTATGGGAATGCATGTGAGAGTGAAAGTTAGTGAATGTGTGAGCATGTGTCTGGTGTTGAAGGAAGGTTGTGTCTCTGTGACCACAGGCAATAGGGCAGGGTGGGGCAGTGGGGATGGCAGATGAGCACTGCAATTTGGGAGGAGGGAGTCCAAGCAGAGACTTGTGGGAGCTCCAGCTTCTGGATCACACACTTTAGCTTAGAGGAGAGTGCAAAGGAAGAGGGGAACTGAGTGGACAGTGGGAAGCCAGGGGGAGAAGGCTTGGTCCCAGTCATGTTAGCATCAAATTGTGTAAACCTAGTGAAAACCTCATTCTCATTCTGCTTGTACAGACTTCTTAAACTTGGATTGGAAATTTTTGGTGCAGATTAAGTATAACTGAAATCATGGGGATATTTAAAACACAAGATTTAAAAACATAATAGATGTACTATTGCAAATTACTGCTATTAAAATTAAAGACTATTTTTCCCTATTGCCTAGAAATAGTAATTAGATGAGATTTATTAACTAGCTTGAGTTACTACACGTATTTTAAAAGGTTTAAAAAATGCTGTGAAGTGTTTTTTGAGCTAGCTTAAAGCCTTCTTCCATTCCTCTCACATTGAAATAAGTCCCTTTGTAATATATTTGTAAAGTAGCTTATTGTCAGAGAGGAAAAACCATTAGGTTGATTAAAAATGAGGATTGCACTCATTAATTTTATTTTTAAGGATTTGGTGCCAAGCATGTTTATTTTCCCCCCCGTCAGCTTCTCCAAACAGGCTGGTGTGCAAGGAGCAGTACCGGAGCTGGTGCACCCTGGGGTTTGTAAGGAGTATTGCACTCACGCCTCAGGTGTGCGGAGCCCTCAGCTCCCCACAGTGGATCTCGCTGCTCATGAAGGTCGTGGAAGGGCATGCACCCTTTACTGCTGCCTCACTGCAGAGACAGGTAATCTGCCAGGCAAAACTCAGCCCACAGAGAGGCATCCTTGTGCCAGCATTCCCAGTTCTTTATTCAGTAATGAGTGCCCAAGAGAGCTAGAAGTACTGCAAGGTAGATTTATTGGAGACAGGGCTTAGGTTCTTGATTGTTTTGAATAGGGTAAATTGCTAAACTTCAATTTACTTGTTTATCTGTTGCATGATTAGGTCATACAGCTGCTCTCATCTGCCTCACTGGAGTTGTAGTATAATTGTCTTAAGAATCAAGCTGAAAAGAATTATTTTAATTACGTAAACAAATAACATGCAACTATATTGTTGCTTATTTTTTTTAACTCCTGATTAACCTTATCATTAATAAGCTTGAGTGTGTAAGTAAAATAAGGAACATCAAAGTTTCACATGGTTAATTGCATTACAGGGACAAAAGAGAAAAGTCTATAAACCCTTAATCAGATAATGGCTTCATTTAAACCTTTTTATTTATAATTATCTGATCAGATCTTAGCCGTGCATTTACTGCAAGCTGTTCTTCCATCATGGGACAAGACAGAAAGAGCAAGGGACATGAAGTGCCTTGTGGAAAAGCTGTTTGGCTTCTTGGGAAGTTTGCTCACTACTTGTTCTTCTGACGTCCCATTACTCAGAGGTAGGTGGCTCTTCTCTTATTTGTGTCCCCTGGTTAATGAGCAATGAACAATGCAGCTTTTCACTTTGCCTCTTCCTCAGAGTCCACGTTGAGGAGGCGGAGAGCCCGCCCACAGGCCTCTCTGACTGCCACCCACAGCAGCACTCTGGCTGAAGAAGTAGTGGCACTGCTCCGCACTCTGCACTCCTTGACTCAGTGGAATGGGCTCATCAACAAGTACATCAACTCCCAGCTCCGCTCTGTTACCCAAAGCTGCATGGGAAAGCCATCTGAAGGGGTGGGTTCTGTGTTTTCAAATAAGCTTTCCTTGGTATAATATCAATTTAACTTTTTAAATTATGTGCTTAAATGCTATATTTTTGTTTAAAAATATATTTAAAGTATTTTTAATGGACATAGTTATCAAAGAAATTAATATGGAAATTTGGAAGCAGACACAGTGAGTGGCACTTGCTTGTAGTCCCAGCTACTTGGGAGTCTGAGGCAGGAGGATCACTTGAGCCCAAGAGTTTGGGGTTCTCCTGGGCAACACAGAGACCTTGTATCCTAAAAAACTAATTAGTTCAGTTTAGCTATAAATATGTAAGAATGGGGAGCTCTGTGGACTTCTGTTGTCATGCTTGCTGTCTGCCTTAGGCCCTGTTAGAGGACTACTTTCCTGACTCTGAGAACCCTGAAGTGGGGGGTCTCATGGCCGTACTGGCTGTGATTGGAGGAATCGATGGTCGTCTACGTCTTGGGGGCCAGGTCATGCATGATGAGTTTGGAGAGGGCACCGTGACTCGCATCACCCCAAAGGGCAGAATCACCGTACAGTTCTCTGACATGCGGATGTGCCGAGTCTGCCCACTGAATCAGCTAAAACCAGTAGGTGAACTTGTGATAAATTACTGAATAAAATGATTTGGTACTAGAATTGGCTTTTGAATGTTAGAACTTGAAAGAACTTGTACTTTGTCTTCCAGGAAGCTATGTGACTCAGGAAAACTTTTTTCTTTCTGTGTTACGTTTGTGCTCCTGTGATAAGCAGCACCCATCTAACAGGACATACAGAGCAGTGGTTCACATGCTAGTTTTTAGCCTCAAAGACATGAAAGACATTAGCAACCTATAAGATAGTTTTAATTGTTTCAAAATGTGAATTTATAAAGATTATTTTTAATTAAATACATTTTTAAAAACGTAAAATGATTCCTTCAAGGAAATAATCTTTCTTCATTTAGAAAATATTTTTAATTGCATTGTGTGACATGACTTCTGTAGCAGTAATATCATTATAAACTTGTGAATTAGGGATGCATCGCGAAGGAGGTGATTTACATTATTTTGATGATTATAGCTTTCTATAAAACACTGTTTTATTATTATTTTTATAGGAATATATACATGTTGTAGAAAACTTAAAATGTATAGAAAATACCTCAGATTAATAACCACCATTCTGATGTAATTATTGTTGACAGTTGGTAAAGACATAGTTAATGTATTTATTGTATGTCTTAAATCTTTATCTTACCTTAAACGTTGTCTTGTAAAACTATTCTCAGATGTGAAACGACTTAGGGGGTATGTGTGGTACTTCAGAATCAATACTCATAGTTATAATAGCTTTGAGACAATTTCACTTGTTAATCTTATTGCTGCACTTTCAAGGTTTCTGTGCCCTTTCCTCAGCTTCCTGCCGTGGCCTTCAGTGTGACCAATCTGCCTTTCACAGAGCCCATGCTCTCTGTCTGGGCTCAGTTGGTGAACCTTGCTGGAAGCAAATTAGAAAAGCACAAAATAAAGAAATCACCTAAACAGGGCTTTGCAGGTCAGTACATGGTGCTTTCCAATGAAACAGTTTTAGTCTTAACTAGCATTGTTTGGCCAGTGTTTGTCCTTTTATCAGAGCAAATTTTCATATAACATCTGATGTTTTATGTTTCATGTGGATTTTACCATTTGTTGAGTTCCAGTTGGGAAAGTAACCTAGTGTGGTGATGAGAGTGATTTTGAGTCAGTCTTTGAGTTTGGAACCATATCCTTCACCCTCTTCTTAGTGCCAGCATTTATTCTGAGTCTGTGTGTTATCTTTCTCCTTGATAACCCTCTAGTCCTTGTGGCCCAATAACAACCCTTTTGGAATGTTGCTCCTTGCCTCTTCAGTACCAGCTCCAGGGGACCTTTATATTTGAATGCACTTTGCTTTGTCTCTCTGTGCATGGTGGGGTAAGACTGTAGGCATTCTTTTCTTGAACATTTCTTCTCTTTGAGTATAGAATACTACTCTTTTGAGTTTCCTTTCCTTGCCCCTTGAGTATTCTAAGAGAACCCTACCGCCAGCCCCATTCTTTACTCCATGGAAATTCTTGTAGCTTTACCCATAATTTCTGGCTCATTCTTCTTTCTCTGTTGAGTTTCCCCATACCTGCTATTGCTGCTTCAGCCCTTATGATCGTATCTACTTTCAGTGAGTCTCCAATTCATATCTCTGACTGGAGGGTCCACACTTCCAAAATTTAGCCCACCTTCTTTGATAACCATTTCCTATCATAGTGAACAAACCTGTCTGCCAGTTGGTCCAACATAGCGCCCAGAGTCCTCCAGGTTCACCCATGTCTTTACTCCACATTTCCTATGTTGACTCCTAGGTCTTTGCCATACCCTGCTTGGGAACACTGTTGCCACTGTAGTTCAGGCTCACACCACCATAGTGTCTTCCTTAGACTACTCTCAGATGGCCTGTAATGTGGCTACATGTGACTAGATTAGAGAAGATTCTAGGGAGATGGCCATGATCTTATCTTCATCAGTTAAAGAACTAGCTGATAACATTTTCTCAGAGGACCCTTGCAAGGAAATGTGAAAGTATTTTGTCTCTGACTTAGTTATCTCATTAAAATTTCAGCAATTTGGGAAACATTTGATAATGCAAATAAGAGCTAACAGATTCTAATCCTAACTCTTGCCCATTGAGGTAGGTGCGAGTAGAGCAGGGAAGTTAGAGGATGTTCATTTAGCCCTTCATTATTGACAATATTTGTGTATGTTAGCCCATCCCCAGAGGACAGGACACTATTTATTTCCCCATTGCAGAGGTGGCACAGCTGGTAAGGGGGAGAGACCAAGCAGAGTGTGTAGTTCTTACTGAGTTCTTTTGTTCCATAGGACAAGTAGACTTGGATCTACTGCGGAGTCAGCAATTAAAGCTGTACATACTGAAAGCAGGGAGGGCGCTGCTTTCCCATCAAGATAAACTGAGGCAGATCTTGTCTCAGCCAGCTGTTCAGGAGATTGGAACTGGTCATACAGGTATCTTTTTTTTTTTTTTTTAAGGACATTACTTTCTTTTTTTTTTTTTTTAAGCTGTCAATGGACCTTTATTTTATTTATTTATATGTGGTGCTGAGAATCAAACCCAGTGCCTCAGACATGCTAGGGAAGCATTCTACCACTGTGCCACCACCCCAGTCCCATGCAGGTATCTTTTTAAATTAAGAAAATTCTTACAGATTTATAAGATATTCCAGTAGAAAAATGGACAAAGTACATGAACAAGCAGTTCATAAAAGGGGAATATAGATGGCTTATAAATGTTCAACAAAGATGTATGACTTGACCAGTACTCACCAACTGTGAACCAGTTGTTGTAGTCTTAAAGACAGATAAGACAAGGGGATCTGGTAAGAGGGGAGAGAAAAATGGTACTCTCAGGCTTTGCTATTTAAAATGTGGTCCTGAACCAGCAGTATTGAGGGCACATAAGAATGTGTCAGAAACGTAGACTCCCAGCTGTGCCTAGATGGAAGAAATCAAATCCTGCATTTTATCAGCAAGGTTCTTGTGCACATAAAGTAACTCCTTTAATACACTGCTAGTGTATTAAAATTCAAGTTGGGAATTCAAGTTGGTACAACTATTTATTGGGCATTTGAGGAAGCAACTTTAAATGCATGTGTGTGTGTATTTTTATCCTTAGCTAGTTATCTTGTGGGCCTTTGTCACATGAAAAGGCATGAATAGAATAGTTTATTGATGCCCATCATGGTTCCTTTCTTCCTTTCTTTCTTTCTTTTTAAATGTTGAGACATTGGAGTCAAAATACTACATTATTATTATGTGGTGTAGTCATATATTGAAATAACATGAAGCCATTCAAAAGAATCATACATGTGTATGTTTATTGTCATGGAAACATGAGGACAATAAATAAGTAAAAAACACAGTGCTATGTTTATCTGTTTATACATATGCCATAGATTCATGTGTTTAGCAAAATAGTGACAATAATTGTTCAACAATGGGGTTCAGGTTAATCTTTTCTTTATACTTCCTCTATATTATTTTAATTTTCAAGAATGAGCTCATATCACTTTTTTAAAAAAATATGGAACATTTCATGAAATTGTGCATCATCTTTGCGCAGGGGCCATACTAATCTTCTTTGTATTGTTTCAGTTTTAGTATATGTGCTGCTGAAGTGAGCATTCATATCACTTTTAATATGAAAAAAAGCAAAGCTGTGAAATATTTTTTGATCATTGATTATTAGTATCTAGTACTAATGAATAGACATCGTGCTAAATATTAAGGGGAAAAAGATAGTTCTTGTTTAGGATCATTGTTATCTAGGGTTAAGATGGTGAGAGAAAATTGATGCAGATGGCCCTGAAGGCTTGAACGGTGAGTGTGCTGTGAGGTGTGTGAATGCAGTTCTATAAGGATTCTAGGCACAGCAGCCACTGAGGACAAGGACAGGTGGCCTTTCAAAGGTGTGGCAGAGAGTTGCCATGTTAAAAGAAATCTCCATGCCTGTGGAGGAAACAGCAGGAAGACTAGTGAAAACTTAGAGACTTTGGGAGAGAGTATTAAGGAACTCTTCTTTGCTTGCCACTCAGGGTTTAACAGTGAGTGGTGGGGCTAAAGCTGGAGAGGTGGGATGAAGGCTGATTAAAGTACCTGGAATACCAGGATGAAGATGGAGGCTAATGGCAGGAGACCACATGACAAGAGCTGATACTTGGGGTGTTAATCAACAAGTGAGGTGCGGAAGTATTTGGAATGGGGGATAGGAAGAGGGATAATTACTCTTGTGTCAGGTGATGAGGTATTTTCCAGGGGAAGGGCATGAAAAGTGGAAAGAAGGTTCAGTAGACACTGCTGTGGTAGGTTTTTTAGAAACAAAAAAGTAAAAAAAATGCTGGTGTTTCAAGTTTGAGTTATATGGAGAACAGTGAATCGTGCATTTGGAAAAAAATAGTGGAATGTTCAGGCTTGTTTATTTCTTAAGAGGAATGGATACAGGGAAATTATTATTAGACCTGCTGAACATGGGAGAAATTGGTGAGAAATGCAGATTCATGTAGTATTATAGATGTTAGGAATCCTGAAGATAATTTATCATAGCAGAAATTGGAAAGTAGGAGCCTGGGAATTGAATTGGCTCTTTGGTTATTGCCTGGGAGCAGTGATGGCAGAGGTAAGTCAGGATCATTCATGCTTTAGGCAGAGCACCAGCTCCATGGGGAGCTCTTTAGAATGGGGATTGACAAATAGCTGCAGCACCTATTCTTGTGAATAAAGGGTTATTGGGAACACAGGCCCAGCTACTGGTTTTTGTGTTGTCTCTGCTACTTTTTGTCTAGTGACAGTACAGTGTTGAGTAGTTGTGATGGAGACCGGGTGGTCTGTAAACCTATTTACTATCTGGTAAAGTAAATATCTTTATAATAAAGATATCCAACCCCTGGTCTAGATGATTTATTGAAGTTGTCACCAAACAAAACTAGTACATGAAAAAAGTACTGTGAGTTGTGTGAAGTGAATCTTTTGGTAGTTGATATTGATGGAACTATGGCAAACATAGTTTTAGAGGACTCATCTAAAGCCACTCACAGGACAAAAAGACATCATCTTGACCTTGTGACAGATTTGGAATTGATATCACTTAGTAATCTATCTGAATAAGGCTTAGAAGGAAAAGTGAGGACTGGAAATACCAACTTGGATGTATTGATAAGCAGGGGTTACTGAAGCAATGAGTACATAAAAAAGAGAAGGCATAAGAATTGGACCAAGGGCAGAATCTAGAAAGTAGCTTTTGTTGGTTCAAATTAAACAGATGTACAAATGAAGGGCAGAGACCGAAAAGCAGGGAGTGGAAAATTACATCTGTAGAGTCTAGTTTATGTTTGATATTGAGCCTTGAAGATTTTAATTGTCACATAAAGAGGCAGAAATTAAATCTGGCTTAATGTACTCAGTGCATTCTCTTTAATAATATAAGGGTTTATGGTTGAAAATACAATATACACATTTTGTTTTAAAATTCAGATGATGGAGCAGCTGCATCTCCTGAGCTTGGGGACATGTCTCCTGAAGGGCCGCAGCCCCCAATGATTCTGCTACAGCAGTTACTGGCCTCAGCCACCCAGCCATCACCTGTGAAGGCCATATTTGATAAACAAGAACTTGAGGTACATTTGTATAAACTTGACAGTTTTTAATCCAATGTACTAAATTGTGATTGATTTTTTCCCCCTAGATGTGTATTTTCTTAAGGATGTATTCTGAAATTTAAATGATAAGACCCAGATAATTCTTATGGCAAGATAGGCTTTAATCATTATTGTACACAGCAGAATACCTTAAATTTAGCTGAAGAATGGGAAGGTTGAAGTTAACCTTAGTTTGGATACATATAAATTGTTTGAAAAATTAACCAGACACAACGTGGGTTAAATACTCATATGTTCATGGGGTGATCTTTTTCCAGGAAATGTTATTGAAAGAGACCCATTAGGCCCATGAATATCCCATCTGTTGTTTGTTTCATTCTCTCAAAAGCTTCTTTTGGACATGCTTTGTTGCTGCAGGCCCTTCGTCCTCCCTGTGCAGCATAGCATGTGAAGCAAGACTGTGCACTTGGGGTACAGGACATTCTAGAATTCATAATTTTTATCAACAGAGGATAATTTAGTATCCTTTAACTCCCCATTTCCAGTACCAAAACTTTTAGCTCAACTTGGCTGAATTATGAGTTTTTAGGATGAAGCTCGTTGCTTCCAAGTTTCTCAGTCTTCCTTGCAAAATCCTAGGCTTTCAACACTTCCTAAACATTGGAAGGATCTATGGTGTCCTTAGTTTCTTCCTAGTTCCTTCCTCACATGTTCAAATTTTTAGCACCATGAGAGCAGCTGGGGATGAGGAACAGAGATTGGCAAGTAGGTGGGCAGTTCTCAGATACCAATCTTGGTGGTACACATGTTTACCAGTTGATTATAATCTGTTTCCCAAAGTGTAATCTTTAGTTCCCTTATTTTTAAATATCGTATTCAACCCTAAATGGTTACTTTACCTTAAAATAGTGGAGGTTTGATTTGATGGTATGTGAGAGTGTCCTGTGTGTTTCTGGCTTGTGTTACACTGGATGAGTCAATGCCTGTGATGAGCAGCTTGGTGCTCAGTTATGGTAAGGGATGTCTTTGTCTACTCCCTCTCACTGTGCTTACTTTTTCACCACCCAGGGTTGCTGTGAAGTTTTGCCTAATGGACATTGATATTTGGCTGATTTACTAGACTCTGTGCTGAAGGAGTCAGAACAGTTGTTTGACCACCAAATCTTTCCTCTGCAGTAGACTATGAAATTTGGCTTTGTTGTTTTCTAACCTGTTTATCAATTCACTTAAAAGTACACATGTAAATCTGGGTTCTATTCTTCTCTCTAGTAGTTCTTAGTAGACACTGGTTGTTCACCTTTTCTTAGTATAAATTAGCTGAGGGCACTTTCACACGCCTCCCAGAAACCTCTCATCTGCCCAGGCTGCTGCATTGGCTGTGTGTCAATGTTTGGCTGTGGAGTCCACTCACCCTTCGAGCCCAGGGTTTGAAGATTGCAGCTCCAGTGAGGCCACGACGCCAGTCTCTGTGCAGCATATCCGCCCTGCCAGGGTAAAGAAGCGCAAGCAGTCACCGGTTCCTGCTCTGCCTATTGTGGTGCAGCTCATGGAAATGGGATTTCCTAGAAGGAACATAGAGTTTGCTCTAAAGTCACTCACTGGCGCTTCTGGAAATGCGTCTGGTTTGCCAGGTATTGAATTTTCCTTTTTGATGCTTATTGTTTGCTTACATTTTAGTGTTGTTGGTCTTCATGGTGCTCTATGTGCTTGTCTCAGGTGTAGAGTCCTTGGTGGGGTGGCTGCTGGACCACTCTGATGTCCAAGTCACAGAACTCTCAGATGCAGACACAGTCTCTGATGAATATTCAGATGAGGAGGTGGTGGAAGACATGGATGATGCAGCCTACCCTGTGGTCAGTGCCATCTTGTACCCTGCCTGTGTTATACTCTGAGTACCTCTGATGTTTTCTCTGTTCCTTCAAAGACACAATTATATCTCTCATGAACTGTCCATGAGAATCTCTTTAGTTCTGGACACAGAAGAGAGCTATCTATTTTGCTCCTGAAGYGATGGGTGGGTTTTCTGTATTATAATTACTTAATCTTTAAGACATGCCCTTGTTTAAACATCTAATGATGTTGGGTAGGCGTTAGATGATATTTTATTAAAGGATTGTGTTTTGTATGATACTGATTTTTGATCTGAGTAAATTGTGTTAAAGGATTCATTTGGAAATGCCTTGAAAGTTTTCTACATTTATAGTTTTTGAGATTCATTTTCTGCCCACTATACTATTGTTTCTAAATGATAATTTTTATAGGAAAGACTAGTGTTTTTATTTTTTTAAATGATAGATTTCATAGACTTATTTCTTATTAAATAGGTTTATCTAGTTCTCTTTCTCTCTTTTTTTAATGTATTTATCTCTTGTAGTCTACTGGTGCCGTTGTGACGGAGAGTCAGACTTACAAAAAGCGAGCTGATTTCTTGAGTAATGATGATTATGCTGTGTATGTAAGAGAGAACATTCAGGTGAGTCACTGTCTTAGGCTGGAGACTAGCTCATTTTTCATTTGGCATATGTGTGAGCATCTCCTACATGCTGAGCTCCAGTGAACAGAGGTCTCTGATGTTAGAGAGCCTGCCTTCTTGTGGTGAAGACAAAAATCAGACCTATCCCATAAACTCTATGGTCTATTAGGAGATGCATACCATGGCAACAAGAAAGAACAGGCTAGAGTGAGGGATTGGAGTTAGGGTGCTTTGTTGGGAAGATGGTTGGGAGCTTGTTGGGAATATACAGGCCTGCAGATGTGAAGGGGTAGCTCAGCAGCTTCCAGGAGAGGTCCAGGTATTTAGATAGGCCACTGTGGCTGCAGCAAAGTGACCAGAGGATGGAATTGCAAAAGGTGGATAATTGGGGCCAGAATTGGAGGACACAAGTGACCTGTCCACAGTAGACATTTTACAGACATATTATTTCTTTCTTATCCCCATTTGTGACCCTTTTAAAATTTATTTGTAAATAAATAATTTATTTTGAAACAAATATTTCTATATTATATTTTCTTACATCTTTCTTAATGCCAGCTAACTTGCTTTGGCCATATCTGTTTTGTATAGTCCTTTATCCACCCAAATCCTTTGTTTTCTCATTCAAATTCTTTTTTTTTTTTAATAATTTTGGAGAAAAAAAATCTTAGAAATACCTGATTTTACCTATAACTTTGTCATTATACATCTCTGATGAAGGATTTCCTTTGTAACATGATGACATTACTTTTGCCCAACAAAATAAACAATTCCTTAATATCATCTCATACCCAGTGATTGCTAAGGTTTTCCCAAAAATGGCTCTTTATGATTAATCTGCCTTCCCTCCCCTGACCAATCTGGATATAAGGAGATCACATACCTTACTTTTGGTATATCCTAAGTCTCTTAGTCTAGAATAGTCACCCCTTAGACAGCTCAGGCTACCATAGCAATACCATAGACTTGATAACTTAAACACAGACATTATTTTCAAAATTCTGGAGGTTGTAAATCCAAGTTCAAGGGATTAAACTGGTTTCTCCTGAGAGCCCTCTTCTTGGCTTATAGATGGCCAACCTTCTCACTGTATACATACATACAGTGGGTAAGGGGAGCAGGAGCAAGCAAGAAAGTTCTATATCTCTTCTTATAAGAACACTAATCCTAGCTGGGCACCTGTGGTGCATTTCTGTAATTCTAGCAAGTTGGGAGGTTAAGGAAGGGAGATCCCAACTTAGAGCCCAGCCTCAACAAAATAATGAGACCCTATCTCAAAATAAAAGGTGTTGGGATTGTGGCTCAGTTGTAGAAGGCCTCTGGGTTCAAGCCCTAGTACTACCAAAAAATAAAACAACAAAATAAAATACACTAATCTTGGGTTGGGGTTGTAGCTCAGTGGTAGAACACTTGTCTACCATGTGTGAGGCACTGGATTTGATCCTCAGCACCATATATGAATAAATAAATAAATAAAGGTATTGTGTCCATTTACAACTAAAAAAAAAAGTAAAACAAAGGATATTTCAAAATGAAATTAAATAAAAAAACAAAACAAACAAACAAACCCCCACACTAATCTTTTTGTATTAGGGCCCTGCCATTATGACTTTATTTAACCATATTCAGTTCCTTAGAGGCCCTAGATCTTAATGTAGCTACATTGAGGGTTAGGGTTTCAACACATGGATTTTGGGGGAACACAAACATTCAGTCATAATACATACTTCTTCTTTTTCCCCTGCCCCTTCCTTACAATTAAATTTTTTTGTTTGTGTGGTCACAGCTATATCCTCTAAATATTTACATTCTGGAATTGGAGGTGGGTTCCTTGTGGTCATGGTTAACATGTTCTTTTTTCTCTATTTCTTTAATAAAGTAAGAGTTAGAACTGGAAGGTGTTTATACTCAGTTTGACTTTCAGGCAGGAAGAATTCATAGGTGGCAGTATGCTCCCTCTTGTCTCTTTTTGACAGAATTGGGTAGGTTGGGTCTTGTCAGCTTACTCCTTCCATGATGAAGCCCTCCATAAATTGTTCATCTCCAATAACTTTAATAGCCATAAATGTCATAACCTAGACTAATCATTAGGGACTGCATTATGGGGGTTTTAGTTCTTGTTGTGGAAAAATTTTCTTATCAACTCTGATTACTTTTTATAATACCATTTTTATAGAAAACACAGAATAAATGCATGATTTATTTTGATGGGCATTGATAAATTTTCAGAATGATGCCCTAGTGTTCTGGTGCTTGTAAAGGTGCCCATAAAGCTTTGGTTTGTTTTTTATCATGAGGATGAATTAATTCACTGGCTTTAGGATTTGTTGTGGTTGAGGTGTGATTCCTTTTGATGATCAGACTGTTCTTTTGAATGAACCCAATAATTGTTGTTAGATCCTTTACTTACTTTATAGCCAAGTTGATCCAGGCTCGTCCTGTATATTTCCTGCCCCAGATATAGAGCCAGCCAGTTTTCTAAAGAACCCTGGTTTCATTTAGTGTAAATAATACTTGGATCTGCATTCTGGGTGCTAAACAAATTTTTAAAGAATAGAACATTACTAATAATGGTTCATTTCATCTAGATACTCTGCCCTGGACTTTTAATTTCATTTCAATTTTAGGTGGGAATGATGGTTAGATGCTGTCGAACATATGAAGAAGTGTGTGAGGGCGATGTGGGCAAAGTCATCAAACTGGATAGAGATGGATTACATGACCTCAACGTTCAGTGTGATTGGCAGCAGAAGGGCGGCACTTACTGGGTTAGATATATTCATGTGGAACTTATAGGTGAGCACATTCTTTATTAAGCTCTTTGGCCTGTTAAGAGACAGAGTTCCCAGTAATGAGTGCTAATTAAAGTGCATTTTATTGTTGAATTCTCTAGGCTATCCTCCACCAAGTTCTTCTTCTCACATCAAGATTGGTGATAAAGTACGAGTGAAAGCCTCTGTTACCACACCAAAGTACAAGTGGGGATCTGTGACTCATCAAAGTGTGGGAATTGTGAAAGGTAATGTTATCCAGGGAATAAAATTCCAAATGCTGACTTTTCATTAACTCAGGGCACACAGCCCCACCTCATGGAGAAGAAAGCCTCATGGTGGTGGTTGGATTTTTTTGTTTTTGGTACAGGTGGTTGAACCCAGTGGTGCTTTACCACCGACTACATCATCAATCCTTTTTTCCTTTTTTCTTTTGACACAGGGCCTTACTAAGTGGCTGAGGCTATCCTCAAACTTGAGATTTTTCTGTCAGAGCCTCCCGAGTCACTGGGATTACAGGTGTGCACCACTACACCTGGCTCAGTAGCAGTTTTTGACTGTCTAAAAACAAGGCTAAAGGCCCCAAAGTGCATCTGCTGTTGAATCAAGTTCAATTTATTAACTCACTGTAATTTGGGAGGACATATACCCTGGGGATCTGAGTGTGAGCAAGAACCAACAGGGCTTGTGTTGAGTACTAGGGGGAGGGTTTGAGGAAGCTAAGGGTAATTCTAAGATTGTGTATCTAAATAAATATTATCTACATGGCAGGAGGAATGGAGCCAAGCTAAAATTGTGATTGCTATAGAAGTAGCCATTCATATTAGCCAGTGTAAGGAGACAGGTGGTTAAATTTGTGGTTTGAATTAGATTTAACCTTGATTAGACATGATTTCTTTTTCTTTTTCTCCTCTCCCCCACCCCTTTTTTTTCTGTAGTAATAGTGATTGAACACAGGTTGGTTCTTCCACAAAGCTGTACCCCTAGCCCTTAAAAAAAAAATGTTTTGATACAGGGTCCTAGTAAGTTGTTGAGGCTGTCTTCAAACTTGGAATCCTCCTGCCTTAACTTTCTGAGTCACTGGGATTATAGGCAGGTGCCACCATGCCTGGCTTTGATCAAACATGATTAAGGAAACGTTTTGTTTTTGCCTTGATCCATTAGTCACAGAGTGACTTTCTTTGATATTGGAGTTCTATTAATTTATTCTGTCAGTTTTTTTGCCTGTGGTCAGGCCAGCTCTGGCTATTAGGGACTGCTTTTTTTTGACTTTTATGTGGTACAAAATTTAGTACTGTATTTAAGAAATAGAAATATGGAAATAATGGGAGTTAGGACCAGGAAGCATAAAATTTTCCTCAGGTTATATTTAATGAGAAATTGAGATTGCCAAACATATGGCACACTATGAAAAATATATTATGTTCATTTTAACACTTGCACAAGAAAGAATTAAATAAGCAATTGTTGTATCTTTAAGCCCTTCTGATGCCACAAGGGTGGTGCTTCCTTAGTAGATGGGGATGTTGTTAGAGCCTCTCAGGTTATGTAAGAAGAAATGGCTTATTTAATATTTTACTTTTTAAAAACAATTTTCTTTGCTTAAGATATTCTTAAAGATTTGTAAATCAAAACAAAGACAAATCTTAAAAAGAAGAATTGAGTTCTAAGTCACTTTTTTTTAAAAAAATATTTTTTAGTTGTAGATGTACACAATATCTTTATTTTATTCACTTATTTATTTTTATGTAGTGCTGAGGATTGAACCCAGGGCCTCACATGTGTGAGGCAAGTGCTCTATCCTTGAGCTACAACCCCAGCCCTCTAAGTCACTATTTTGAGTGGCAAATTACTTTTTATCAAAGGATAAGAGAAGTCTTAACATTATTATTTTGTTTTTTATTCCTTAACATATTCAATGTACCAAAAGGAATTTTGAATGTGGTGTAATTAAAAGTTTCTTAGTGGTTCTGTCCCTAGTGCCTCCCCCTCCCCAGGCCCCAGCCCAACACAACTTCATACTGTGGAAAATTATAAACATGTAAAAGTAGAAAATATAGTATAATGAATCTCTATGTGTCTATTAGCTTGAATTGTGGTCAATTTATAGCTAAAATTGTTTCCATGGTCCCTTCTCTTGATTATTTTGAAGCTAGCTCCTGATGTTATGTATCATTTTATCTGTTAAGTATCAAGGCACATACCTCTAAAAGATGAGGACTCTTTGTAAAACATAAGTAGCTGCAATTTTACATGGCTAGGTATGTTTTAATTTTAATTGTGGGTTTATATTCATGATAAAGATTTCTCATCTGTTTTTCATGCTTCCCTAGCTTTCAGTGCCAATGGGAAAGATATCATTGTCGACTTCCCTCAGCAATCTCACTGGACTGGGTTATTGTCAGAAATGGAGTTGGTGCCTAGTATTCATCCTGGGGTTACGTGAGTTTTAATTTTAATGATTGCTAAATTCTTTTGGGGAGGAAGGGTTTTCTTTTGAATTAATTTTAATAAATAAATTCATCTTTTTCTTATCAACTCAATGATTATTTTAAAAATAGGTGTGATGGCTGTCAAATGTTTCCTATCAATGGATCCAGATTCAAATGCAGAAACTGTGATGATTTTGATTTTTGTGAAACGTGTTTCAAGACCAAAAAACACAACACCAGGCATACATTTGGCAGAATAAATGAACCAGGTAGGGTAGAATGGTTATCCATCAAATATCACTAGTAAGATAATCACTGTGGGAACAAACATATTGGAATTTTTTTTTTTTGGTAGGTTCATGGGTAAATAGTGAGCACAATTGAACAGAAGTGTTGGTCCTGCTCACTGCTGCCTATTTTTATAAGTAAGGGGAGGAATTAAGGTAACAAGTTTTGTTTATCCATTTGTCTGTTAGTGGACATTTGGGTTGTTTCTGCCTTTTGACTGTTGTGAATAATTCTGCTGTGAACTTTGAGGTTCAGGTATCTATTTGAGTCCTTGTTTTCAAAACTGTTCATTGTGTACCTAGGAGTGGGCTTGCAGGGGATTTGGTAGTTCTTTGTTTAATTTTTGGAGTTATTGCCAAGGTACTTCTAAGAGTAGCTGTTTCATTTTATATTCCCACCAGCAATGCAAGTGGCTTTAATTTTTTTCCACATTCTCACCAACCCTTTTAATTTTCCAGGTTTTGATTGATCAAAGCCATTCTAGTGGTATCTCCTGCGATCCCCACCCCCCATTCCTAATACCTTGGATTGAACCCAGGGATGCCTAACTACTGAGCCACATCCCCAACCCTTTAAAAAAAATATTTTATTTAAAGACAGATTCTTACTAAGTTGTTTATTAGGGCCTCATTAAGTTGCTGAAGCTGGCTTTGAACTTGAAATTCTCCTGCCTCAGCCTCCGGAGCTGCTGTGATTGTAGGTGTGAGACACTGTATCTGGCTCTCACTGTGGTTTTGATTTGAATTTCCCTAATGACAACTATGTCAAGCCTTTTGTTGTTGTTGTTGCTTTTGCATACCTTCTTTGAGGGAAGTATCTTTGCAAATCCTTTGCCCATTTGAGTTCTTTGTGCATTATGGATATTGTATTCTAATAAGATACATATTTTAAAATACTCTGTCCCATTCTGTGGGTTATTTTTACTCTTTTATAGAAGTTCCTAATTTTTTAAGAGATATTTTTAATTGTAGATGGACGCAATACCTTAATTTTATTTATTTATATGTGGTGCCGAGGATTGAACCTAGTACCTCACATGTGCTAGGCAAGTGCTCTACCCCTGAGCCTCATACAACCTCAGCCCAGAAATTCTTAATTTTAATGAAGTTCCATTTTTCTCCTTTTGTTGCTTGTGCATTGGCATCTTGTTTTGCTTTTATTGTCAGTTTAACCATTGCCAAATTGAAGATTGTGAAAATTAGCCCCTGTTTCTTTCTAAGAATTTTGGAGTATGAGTTTTTAACTCTTTCATCCATTTTTTTTTAAAAAATGCGGATTCCTTTGTTTTTTTAAAAAAATCTATCTTTGTTTATTTATTGTTATGTGGTGCTAAGGATCAAACCCAGTGCCTGACATGTGTGAGGCAAGCACTCTACCACGGAGCTACAGCCCCCTTTGATCCATTTTGAGTTAATTTTTAGTCTAAGGTAACTTCATTGTTTTGTTCATGCATACCCATCATTGCCAGCACCACTGGTTAAAAAGACTGTCCGTTTGGTCTTGTTGGCTCTCTTGTAGAAAGCCAGTTGGCCATAGATATGAGGGTTTATTCTGAATTTTCATTTCTGTTCTGTTTTTCTGTTTACCCTTAGCCAGGCACCTGTGAGAGCTTTGTAATAGACTTAGAAATTAGGATGTGTGAGGCCTCTAAATTTCTTTTCCCTTTTCAAGATTGTTTTGGCTACTTGGTGTCCCTTAAAATTCTGGGTGAATTTTGGGGTAAATTTTTCCACATTTGTTAAATAGGAAAAAAAAAAGACATTGGAATTTTTTTAGGGATTATATTGGATCTATATATTACTCTGGGTAACATGCTCATTTTAATAATATCAAGTCTTCCAATTCATGTCTTTGCATTTACTTAAGTGTTTTTTAATTTCCTTCAACAACATTTTGTCATTTTTGGTGTACAAGTCTTATATTTTCTTGGTTAAAATTATTCCAATGAAGACTTGTTTTTCATGCTTTTTTAAATGGAATTTTAAATTCCATGAAAATGGAATTTTCATGGATTTTAAATGGAATTTAAAAAATAAACTTCCATTTTGGTACTATTTGTTGCTAAGATATAGAAACTTTTTTTGTGGCTAGCTTATACATAAACTGATTTTGTGTGTATCCTACAACTTTGCTCACTTTAATTTGCTCTAATGGTTTTTTTGTGTGGATTCTTCAGAATATTCTATATATAAGATAATTTCATCTATAAACAGAGGTAATTTAAATTCTTTTCAATTCAAATGCCTTTATTTATTCCTCCTCTTCGTCCTTCATTATTCAGCCTTTTTTCCTCATATTGCCTCTGCCCTTTTCCCTCTTCCTCCTTTTTGGGGACTCCCCTTTTACCTGTGTTTGACTTAATCTCTGTCCAGGAAGTATTTTACTTCTCGTTGTGGTTTCTAAATTATTACTTTTCAGTTCTTAATTCTAGGTATTTTATTAACTCTCTCTCTTTTTTTTTTTGTGGTGCTTGTGATTGAACCCAGAGCTGCATGCATGGTAGACAAGTGTTCACTACTTAGCTATACACCCTCATCCCTATTCATTAAGATTTTCTTTTTTAATTATTGCATTTATCAGTTGTAGTCTTTCTATTTTTTTCTTTTTAATAGTTTTCAGTTCACTGCTAAAATGTTCTATAGTTTCTTGCCTTTTTGAACACAGTAAGCATAAAGTCTTATAATTCTGTGGATCTATTTATGTTCATTTCAGGGAGTTTTTAGTCATGTTTTCTTGTATCCTCATGTACCATTATTCTGGGTTATACTGAAAGATTATTTCTTGAATCAATTTGAGGCTATTGTTCTCTTTCTTCAGTAATTGAGAGAGAGAAGGGATTATTCTACCATGGAATAGGGATAAGTAGGTATCTATCTCACCCTAGTCAACTTTCAGTCATTGAGAAGATTTCATGCTGAGGTGCAATATGTTAAAAAAAAAAAAAAAATCCCAGCAAACAAATAAACAAACAAAAACCTTTTTCATAGTTCACCCTTATTTGTATTTCCTGTTGGGATCTCAAGTGTGGATTGTTTTCTGTGAACATCTCTCCTGTTCCTGGTCTTCTGGACTGTAATTCCCATCCCCTTTCCCCTTCCAAGGCTGGCAGAGTGCCATGCATTAGGGGCTCTGTGTAGAACCTGACAAGATAGCATCAGGGAAGATGAGCCTATGATTCAGGGTGCACCTCATCTCCATTGATTGCCAGTTTCTGTAGATTCTGGCCTTGTCATTCTCTACTCTCGTTAATTCTAATACTTTCAAGATGATTTAGTCATTTTTTGAACATTTTAGCTGGTTCTTCCATTTGTTAATGAGAAAAGCTAGTTGGATTTCTGTATTTGTCATTAGTGGATACGGAAGCTATTTCAAATTTGATTTTTGCTCTGCATTTACAAAAGCATTTTTATTTTTTTGTGGTGTTGGGAATTGAACCCAGGCCTTCTTTAAGCTAAGCAGATGCTGTACCACTGACCCACATCCCCGTTCTTTTTAATAAGAATATTTCTGTGAGGACTATTACTGAACTATTCCCACAACCTGTCTGAGTCCTTTTTGTTTGGAAATATATTCTTGTGGTTATCAGAGATTTAAGTGGAATGAATTAAAGCATTATATAGACTTAATAATTTGGTGTAAAATGCCAGATTGATAAGGTTTTTTGAAGCCATTTTTGATATTTATTAACTGTAATTTTTAATAAAGTTAGAAGTTCATCTGTATATAATATTCCTGATTTCTTGGTCATGAAGGTTTTCTCCCAGTTTAGCAATTGTTAACCCTGTTTTTGACCATGGGAAATAGGACAGTCTGCAGTCTTTTGTGGCCGTTCTGGAAAACAGCTGAAGCGCTGTCATAACAGTCAGCCAGGAATGCTGCTGGACAGCTGGTCCCGCATGGTGAAGAGCCTGAACGTGTCATCTTCTGTGAATCAAGCTTCTCGTCTGATTGATGGCAGTGAGCCCTGTTGGCAGTCATCTGGGTCACAAGGAAAGGTAGTGTGCAGCGGTGATAGGGCAGGGAATCAAGAACTGCTTTCATTTAGGTTTTTAAAATGAACTTTGAAAAACCAACAGTTTTAGTGATGGTACCTGTTAGTACTCATTTTATGTTTCAGGTCATAAATTGTTTTGAAATAACAGAATAACATGCCATCCAATTTTTCTTGTCAAGAGTTTTCTTTTTTTTTTTTTTTAAGTTGTAGGTGGACACAACATCCTATCTATCTATCTGTCTATCTATTTATATGTGGTGCTGAGGATCAAACCCAAGGCCTCACACATGTGAGGTAAATGCTCTACCACTGAGCTACAACCCCAGACCATTAAGAAATTTTAAACAGTATAAGTAACAGATTTCATCCAACTAATCAATTGATAGGGGATGTTGTAGGCTTTTTTTTGTTGTCCTTTTTTGCTAAAAGCTGTGAGTTCCAATTCTGGCTCTGGTAAGAAGTGTTTTTGTTTTAGGATGGACTGAAGCTTTCTTGGGCAAATCCTCGTGATTGCACTAACATGTGGGTTTACCTCCTGTGGGCATATAGGGCAGACTTGGGCAGAGGGATATTTTCTCCATCTTGATCCTAGTATTTTCTCTCACCCACTCTTTTTTTTTGGTATCAGGGGCACTAGACCACTGAGCCACTTCCCCAGCTCTATTTTGTATTTTGTTTAGACACAGGGTCTCGCTGAGTTCTTAGTGCCTTGCTATTGCTGTGGCTGGCTTTGAACTCATGATCCTCCCATCTCAGCCTCCTGAGCTGTTGGGATTACAGGCAAGAACCTGGCTTCTCACCTACTCCTTATGGTATGGAGGAGCACCCTTGGTCAGGAGTCTATAAATATATCATTTCTTGGACTTTGAATGAGTGATAGGGAGGAATTTAAATACACTTCAATACATTTTAAATACACTTTTCTGACCATGCATGTAACATTCTTGTTTCTGCCAGGGTAATGTATTATTCTCTCTCATGCTATATTTTACATTTAAAAAAAACTCATATAAACTAAAGCTTCAGTGATACTATTTTAATAGCTGAATTTTGCTGAGAGTTTTTTTTTTTTTTTTTAAAGCATTGGATTCGTTTGGAGATTTTTCCTGATGTTCTTGTTCATAGATTAAAAATGATAGTGGATCCTGCTGACAGTAGCTATATGCCTTCCCTGGTTGTGGTGTCAGGTAATGGAATTCATTTCTCAAAATGAAGTATCTTTCCATCTTTTAATAAAATTCTTTTGTTTAATTCCTTGATTTTTTTTCCTTTTTCTAGGTGGAAATTCCCTTAATAACCTAATTGAACTAAAGACAATCAATATTAACCCCAGTGACACCACAGTGCCTCTTCTGAATGACTGCACAGAGGTAAGTAGCAGTTGTCTTGCTCCTTTTTAATGATTTACAAATGGTAAGGGAGGTGGCTTGGATATTTGTATTCTAGCACTGAGCCCCATTTTTCTTATATTCTGACTAAATAATCCATCGTACTTGTTTAAAATTTAATGTTATTTTGTCAACTTGTTTTATACACTTGAATCTGCTATTTATCAGATCAGTTTGAAAAGGAAATAAGACATTTCATTCTCACTATTTTACAGCATGCGTAAGTGTCCCTGGTACAAGTCAACAGGCATTTGATTGAGGGCACTCTTTGCATCTGCATTTTTTTTTGTCATCATTGGTCTGCAGTGGTTTTTCTGACCATGCATGTGAAATTGAAATTACTTTTTTTGTTTTAATAACCTTTGGTGTCAAGTGCTGAACTTGTCATGTGGTAGCAGTCTTTCAGTTGACAATAAAATAGCTTTTAGAATGACTCCACATTTATTGTATTTCTTAAAAATTCTGAGAGAATCATTGGGAGCTGTTTTAAGCAGTAAATACTACAAATCATCAATATTCTCTTGTCTCAAATCCTCCAGTAAATCTTTTCCACATATGATACAGGCACAATTCTAATATATGAAGTGTATTTAAAAGAATATCAATTAACACAGTTTTCTCTACTACGTGCACTATTGTTTTGTGAGGACTAATTTAATTGGCACAATGATAGTAGATAACAATATTATATTCATTCAAAGTTTATTATACTTGAAGAGTTTACTTATAAATTACTAAATGCAATATGTCATTCGTGTGTGTGTGTGTGTGTGTGTGTGTGTGTGTCTGTGTGTTTATGTTGCTGGGGATTGAACAAGCTCTCTGCCACTGAGATACAACCCAGCTCTACCATTCCTTCTTATTTTCTAAGCTTTATTTGAAATTGACAAATAATATACCTGCATTTTGACACATCATACATAAATGGAATATAACTTCTCATTCTGGTTGTACGTGGTATAGAATTTATACCAGTCACATAATCATATATGCACATAGGGTAATAATGTCTCATTCATTATGCTATCATTCCTACTCCCATACACCTTCTACTCCCTTCATTCTCCTCTGTCTAATCTAAAGTACTTCTGTTCTTCCCTAGCTGCCCCCCACCCTTATTGTGAATTAGCATCTGCATATCAGAGAAAACATTTGGCCTTTGGTTCTTTAGGATTGGCTTACTTTGCTTAGCACGATATTCTCCAGCTCCATCCATTTACTGAAAATGTCATACTTTCATTCTTTTTTAAGGCTGAGTAATGTTCCATTGTGTATATGTACCACATTTTCTTTATCTGTTTATCTGTTGAAGGGCACCTAGGTTGGTTCCATAGTTTAACTGTTGTAGAATTGAACTGCTATAAACTATAAACATTGATGTGGCTGTGTCACTGTAGTATGCTGATTTTAAATCATTTGGGTATAAACTGAGGAGTGTGGGGTAACTGGATCAAATGGTGGTTCCATTCCAAATTTTCTAAGGAATCTCCATTCTGCTCTCTAGAGTTTTTGCATCAATTTGCAGTCCCACCAGCAATGTAAAAGTGTACCTTTCCTCCCACATCCTCGCCAACATTTATTGTTTCTTGTATTATTGATAATTGCCATTCTTACTGGCGTGAGATGAAATCTCAGTGTAGTTTTGATTTGCATTTCTAATTGCTAGAGATGTTGAACATTTTTTCAAATATTTTTTGATCGATTGTATTTCTCCTGTGAAGTGTCTGTTTAATTCCTTAGGCCATTTATTGATTGGGTTATTTGTGTGGGTGTGTGTGTGTGCATGCGCGTGTGTGTGTGTGAAGTTTTTTTTGAATTCTTTATATGTCCTGGGGATTAATGCTCTATCTGTGGTGCAGATGTGGTAAAGATTTTCTCCCATTCTGTAGACTCTCTCTTCACGTTATTGATTGTTTCCTTTACTGTCAAGAAGATTTTTAGTTTGATTTCATCCCCTTTATTGATTCTTGATTTTAGTTTTTGTGCTTTAGGAGTCTTGTTAAGGAAGTCATTTCCTAAGTCGATGTGGTAGAGATTTAGACCTGCTTTTATTTCTTTTAGGTGCAGGGTCTCTGTTCTAGTGCCTAAGTCTTTGATCTACTTTGAGCTGAGTTTCATGCAGGGTGAGAGATAGGAGTTTAATTTCATTCTGCTACATGTGGATTTCTAGTTTTTCCAGCACCATTTGTTGAAAAGGCTATCTTTTCTCCAGTGAATGTTTATGGCACTTTTGTCTAGAATGGGTTAACTGTATTTTTGTGGGTTTGTCTCTCTGTCTTCTATCCTGTACCATTGGTCTACATGTCTGTTTTGGTGCCAATACCGTGCAGTTTTGTTACTATAGCTCTGTAGTATAATTTAAGGTCTGGATTTGTGATGCATCCTGCTTCACTTTTCTTGCTATGGATTGCTTTGGCTACTCTGGGTGGGTCTCTTATTTTTCCAAATGAATTTCATTATTGCCTTCTCTATTTCTATAAAGAATGTCATTGGGATTTTAATAGAAATTGCATTAAATCTGTGTAATGCTTTTGGTAGTATGGCTATTTTGACAATGTTAATTCTGACTATCCAGGAACATGGGCTGTCTTTCCATTTTCTGAGGTCTTCATCAATTTCTTTCTTTAGTGTTCTGTAGTTTTCATTGTAGAGGTCTTTCACCTCTTTTGTTAGATTGATTCCCAAGTATTTTATTTTATTTGAGGCTATTGTGAATGGGGTAGTTTTCCTAATTTCTCTTTCAGTGGATTCATCACTGGTATATAGGAATGCATTTGATTTATGGGTATTAATTTCATATCTTGCTTTGTTGCTAAATTCATTTATTAGTTCAGAAAACTTTTTGAGAGGTTTGGTATACATTATTTCAGAACTTCCTAGCTTTGAGAATCTAGGTTGAGAAGTCAGCTAAGATCCAAATTGGTTTCCCCTTGTATGTAATTTGATACTTTACTTTCACAGCCTTTAAAATTCTATCCTTATTCTATATGTTAGGCATTTTCATTATAATGTGACTTGGTGTGGATCTGTTGTAATTTGGTACATTTGGAGTCATATAAGCCTCTTGAATTTGATTTTCCATTTCATTTTCTGATATTATTTCATTGAAAATATAGTACATTCCTTTGGTTTTTATCTTCATCTTCATCTATCTTGATAAATCTTGAATTTGTTCTTTTTATGTTATCTTATAATTCTTGGAAGTTCTGTTCAGGTTTATTAACATGTTCTCTCCGTGGTCTTCTTCATTTTCAAGATTATATATTTTGTCTTCATTGTCTGAGGTTCTGTCTTCCAAGTGGTCTAGTCTGTTGATGCTTTCCATTGAATTTTTAACTTGTTTATTGATCCCTTCATTATGAGAATTTCTGCTTGATTGCTTTTCAGAATCTCTATATCGAAGTGATCTTTTATCTCCTGAGTTTTATCTCTGATTTCAGTCCTTACATCATCCTTTACATTGCTGATCCATTTAACCATGTACATTCTAAACTCCTTCTCTGACATTTCTTCTACTGTGTCATCAATGGATTCTATTACTGGAATATCTTGATTTGTTTGGGATACTTTGTACCCTTTTTTTTCATGTTGTTTGTGTGTCTGCCCATCTTACAGTGTGGATCTAAGGCAGTACAGTTTCTTCCCTGTGGACTTACAGTCTCCCTAAAGATTTCTAGTACCTTGCCTTTCAGGAAGAGACACATGATAACAACACGTAGCAAACAAAGTTCAGTCTTAAACCAAATAACTTCTTAAGTTATCTACAGTTGTGTCACAATAAACAGAAATAATGTGTTCAATTATTGTCTAGAATATAAGCAGTAAATTTGCAAAAGGGTTTACAATTTCAAATGGTGGACAAAGAACAGAAGTGGTGTAGGATGTGTTGTTTTTGAGGAAGGAGGGGAAAAGATACAAGTAAAAAATTATAGGAAGAATGAAAGAGGAATTAATAGAGGTTGGCTTGTTGAAAAGCTGTCTGTTTGCTTTTCTTGGTTCCTGCCTTGGAGCTACCAGGGAACTGACCCCTCTATTCCACTGTATTGCTGATTTCCTAGTTACTGTTCATTCTTTAATATCATTGAGCTATTTTATGATATACTGATTAATTACAGTTAAAATCACTATTAATATATAAGGTGGAAAATTATAAAAATGGAAGATAATGAAAAAACATGCTTGTAATTCCAGTGACTCAGGAGGTGAAGGCAGGAGAACTGCAATTTTGATGCCAGACTGAGCAACTTAGTGAGACCTTGCCACAAAATAAAAATTTTAAAAATGCTAGGGATATATAGTTTAGTGGTAGAGTGTCCCAGGCTCTTTCCCCAGTACCACAAGAAGAAAAAAAGGCAAAGAAAAGAAAAGAAAAAAATAACCATTGAGCTTTTCTGAGAAAAGATAATACTGAGTTATAGTGAATTTTAGTGTTCACTTATTGCTAGGTAACTGAGGGCAGTTATTAGTTTTATGTATTTTTGTGTTTTAACTAAATTAATAACTACAGTTAATAAAATCAACAGGTGAGATTGTCATTTATAAGTGGTGTACTTAATGTAAGAAATTTTCAATTCAGAACAATTGATTCTGTAATATTTGATAAGTACACAATAGTGTATATCATGTATATAAGAATATGAAGCATTGTGTGTAAACAAAAGAGTCATGACCTACCATCTATCCCACAACTAACTAAAATATACCATTCCTTTGGAATTGTTAGACTTTTGTATGAGTATTCTTTTTTGGGGGTACTGTAAATACACATGACAGTGGGATTCATTATGTCATAAAGCTCCTAGACTCTTTATCATAGCCTTTCCTATGTAAATGGCTTGTTAAGGGAATTTTCTAACATACAAAGGAAAGTGTACCAAAACCTTCATGATCCCATCACTTTGCTTCAACATTGAAAGTATCAATACATTTTGCCAGTTGTGTGCCACTGTTTTCCTCCCACCTCCTTTCTCTTCATCAGCAAGTTCTACACATGATCTTACTTCAGTAGCACTTACCTCGTATTCATCTCTAACAAAGAATTAAAAAACAAGACAATACTCTAGCACCCTTATTATATCAAATAATTTTTCTTTAACTTCATCTAGTATCTAGGCAGTGTTCTGATTTTCCTAATTATCCCATAAATGTCCTTTTCAAGTCAGTATATGTGACTCTTCATACAAATAGTGTCTATAGTTTGCACCACATTTAAGTCTTAATTCTCTTGTTTTTTTTTCTTTGCTAAAGAAGAAAAAAAATGAAGTCACCTTTTCCCTGAGGCATCATTCATATTTTTTATTTGGCTTTTGCATCCTGGTGATGTTGTTCAACATGTATTTCCTGCGAAATAGGTAAATCTTGAGGTTTGATCAGGTCCAGTTTAGGCAATCAAAAGTAATTGTTAGGGCCTGTGCTCAGTGGTAAAAGACTCATCTAGCATGTATGAAGCCCTGGGTTCAATCCTCAGCACCACATAAAAATAAATAAATAAAATAAAGATATTCTGTCCAACAACAAATATATATATATATATATATATATATATATATATATGTTTTTTTTTTAAAGTAATTGTTAGTGTTATGTGCTTCCTGGTATATATCACTTTGTTTACATGTAATATAATGATAGGGGATTTTCGTCAGTGCCATGATAAGAATGTGACTTGCCAAATATAGGGTGCAGGACATTTGTAGGACAAACACATGAACTTTAACAATCAAATGGCAAATAAGTAACAGAGGAGCTTGGATCTTGTTTATATTCTGAATTGAACAGCCAATAACAAAATGACAATCAGAACATTTTGATCACTGTAGCGTTATTAGACGATATAGGAATTACTGTTTGAGCTATGGAAATAATAATGTGGATATGGTTTTAAAAAATTCCTTAATTTAGTAATAAATACTGAAGTTTTAAAACAGCATAATGCCTGGAATTTTCTTATCATAATCCATATATGAGTAAGATTGGTGTATGTTGATAATTATTGAACTGGGTGATGGGTTATGGAGTTCTTTGTGCTTTTTTCTCTAATTGGGTATATTCAAATATTTTTATTTTGTTTTAAAAATTATGAAGGTTCCATGACTATCTGACATTTAATCTCTTCATACTTAACACATCTTGGTTCATGAAAATGCTAAGAGAGGAAGGTTTGTCATTCAGTAAGCCTATAATTCTATTTTATTTTAGTAAGAAAATTAGTCTAAGCCTCAAGCAGACATATCTGATGAATTAATGACTTTTTTTGAAGGCAAAGATTACTAAGATATGGCTGTATTAATTTTTTTTTAATTTTTTACTTTTTTGGTACCAGAGATTGAACTCATGGGCACTCAACCACTGAGCCACATCCCTAGCCCTATTTTTTGTATTTTATTTAGAGATAGGGTCTCACTGAGTTGTTGCTTTTTGCTGAGACTGACTTTGAACTTGCAATCCTCCTGCCTCAGCCTCCTGAGCTGCTGGGATTATAGGTGTGCACCACCACGCCCGGCATTAATGGCTGTATGAACTTTGATATCTCATTTGGTAGTTCCAGAACTTAAGTAAAGGATCCTAACATACTGCATGTCCTATGTCTCAAATGTTCTGCTCTTTAGCCCCCCCCACCACCCCAAAAAAAAGAATGTGTTTGAGTCTAAAAAGTATACTTCATTGTTTTCCTGTCTAGTATCACAGGTATATTGAAATTGCAATAAAACAATGTCGGAGCTCTGGAATTGACTGTAAAATTCATGGCCTCATCCTCCTGGGACGGATCCGTGCAGAGGAGGAGGATTTGGCTGCAGTTCCTTTCTTAGCTTCAGATAATGAAGAGGAAGAAGATGACAAAGGCAACAGTGGAAGGTAGGAGTTATTTGTTACTTTTGCTCACTTATCATTCTAAATTCTGACTTTCAAAAATAAATATTTAATTACAGTATATTTCATAAGGAAAGTGGTCTTATGCCCATAAGAATGTTTGGAAAGCTTTAGCTTTCAAAAGTTGCAATTTAACTTTTAAAGAAAATATCTAATATAGAAATACTTCATATTTAGAAAAAAAATACCTTTTAAAGAGTGAAATAAAGTAAATAAAGATGTCTGATTTTTCTACCTGAAATATCACTGTTGCTAGTTTGGTATAATATCTTTTATATTTGTTTCAAGACAAAAAGTTTTTACTTTTTTTCCCAAAATGTATTTTCCTACAGAAATGTTATGGTATAATTTATAGCTTTTTCTCCTTAATCATTTTATCATTGCATTTAAAAATTTTTAAACATGCAGTTCAGTGTCACCAAGTACATATGCACTATTGGCAATGTCTAGCCGTCACCACCAGCCATCTCTGGAATATCCATGTCATTAGTTTGCTGTATACAGTTTTGGAGTCCAATACTTCATCTTATGACTGTTCCTTTCTGAATGAACAGTGTGGCAATGCCTGTTGCTATGTTCATCAATTTAATGTGTATCTATGGAACGCCTACCACAGTCCAGTCCTATGGTGCACATGCAATAAAACCAGACAAACTCACCTTATTGTGTTACTATGGCTGTGTTCAGTGGCAGGAAGGATGCCTTGTGAGTCTACAGTGGAGTCTTATCTCTAGACCATCCTTACAGGGAAGAGTCAGTGTTATCAAAGCAGAATGGGTGGGCAAGGGTACTCCTAATGTGGGGAGTAGCATGTGCCAGGTGAAATCAGTATCTGCCATTTGTGCAATGGCTGCTCTAGGCTCCATTTTACCAGCAGCGAACAATGAAGATAATTACAGTTTTTATAAGTTGTATTTTCGTAGATAAATTGGAATAAGTGAAATTGCTAAGTCAAAGGGTATACAAAATAAACTGCAACGTTTTCAACATTATCAAGGTGTTCTTGGGTTGCTAGTGGGGCTAGAGCCCTCTACAAATGTCCTTTTCTCCAAGTTCTTCCCAGCATGTGACATAAGGAGACACAGGAGCTCTTCCTGCCCTGCTGTTAAGCACATTTTCTTAGTCATGGATGGCAGCAACTATGGTAATAAGTCAGGTTATCTTAGGGCTCTGTTATCTTGGGTTTGGATTCTGTCCTGTATTTTGTTTTTTGAAAATGTCAAAAAGTTTTATTGATGTTGAAAAACCTTTTATATTTCTATCCTGTTTTATTTCAAAACCTTTGCATGTAAGTTGAAAAAAAATTAGTATATACAGCATTATCTTATGTAGAATATATGTTAGGCTGTACATTGTATCTGTTTGTATTAATTAAACTTTTAAGGAATTTTTAAATTTAGTAGCTACTAAAATGAATTGGAAAAATTAAACTAAAATATGTGCCATATATGTGAAATAACCATAAAGTTTTGGGCTTTACTCATTGACCAGATTTTTACATGATTGAACATATTAACAAAAGGAATCTATATATTTTAACATAATAGTGCTTTTCCTGTAGGGTATCATTAATTAGCTGATAATTTCCAGATGAATCAGTGATTTTGGCATTCTCCCACAAGCCTAGCTTCCAGATGGGATGTGCCCACAACAACCATGTGTAGCAGATCTCTATTCTGACTGGTTCATATTTTCATGCTACCAGTCATTAACCATCCAGAATATCATTCCTGGTTTCCTATCCATGTTTTTGACTGAAAATGTTTTATAAGATATTTTAATACCTTATGTATCAGTGTGCTCTACTGTGCCTGGTATCACATGAAAGAGTTTCCTACATTTTTATTTCCAAACCATAAAATTCTGGTCCCTTAAAGTAAATATATCAGGATATAACATTAAAAAAAGAACACCTAACCTATCTAGAACCATTTAATTTCTTTCACCTTAGTTTATAAGAACAGAACAAAGGCAAATACAAAGGCAATGTCTCAGACCCAAAAGAAGCGGTTCCTTAGCACTTGGCATCAGACTAAAACAATCTAACACTGTGTACTAAGCACTTCCTGGCTTTATCAGGTTCAAGAATGAGAGTACTTTGGCCGTTGTTGATTAAACTTCCAACCTAACAGGGCTAGGTCAGAGACAGGAGGAGTAAAGTGGAAGGAGTAACTCATCCAAGGAAAGGAGATGAGGACCAGTGTTGTGGGCAGGGGGAGGAAAGAAAGAAAGAAAGAGAGAGAAAGAGAGAGAGAGAGAGAGAGAGAGGGAGGGAGGGAGGGAGGGAGGGAAGAAAGATTGATTTTGCCTCATGTATCTGTGTTAGAATGCCTCTAACATCATACAGGCACATTTGCTTTAATCTGTCTTTTGGAAACAGACAGACAATAAAGATGGTTTAGGGACATTGCCACAAGGCCATTCCCAGTGACATTCCACATTTCCCTAGTGAGTTTTTTTTTTTTTTTAAGTTGTAGATGGATAGCTTGCCTTAATTTTGTTTGTTTGTTTATTTATAAATAGTGCAGTGCTAAGGATTGAACCTAGTGCCTCACACATTAGGCAGGTGCTCTGCCACTGAGCTAAAGCCACAGCCCTTTCCCCAGTGTTTCTATGCATCCTGGTGGAGGATGGGAATTGTTCCGTATCAGAACATTTTTTTATGTTCAACTTGATATTTAAGAAGAAAGACATTCATAGTATATCATAGAAAGATCTGTATCAAAAATAGCTAAAATTAGATTGTGGTAAAACTTATGTAGATATTTGAAATTTTATTGTATTAAAACAAAACTTTGAATTTCTGACAGTAACCGGAAAGCTTTGATTGATTGAGGTTGCTCTTTTTTAATTTTTTAAATGTTTTATGTTGAATAACCTCTATTTTTGTGTTTTCCTTTGGGTAGCCTTATTAGAAAGAAGGCTGCAGGGCTGGAATCAGCAGCTACAATAAGAACCAAAGTGTTCGTGTGGGGACTGAATGACAAGGACCAGCTGGGCGGGCTCAAAGGCTCTAAGGTATCTAGATCTCCCTGGGCTGACACTTTGCATCACCTGCTACTCCATGACTGAGGAGGAGGCTTGCCAATGCCTTTATCCTCGAGAAGCTCAGCAATGGCCAGCTTCTTTTGAAGTTTTTAATAATAGTCTATATGTGTGTGCTGCAACTCCCCACCCCCAATTGAACAGGCCTTGCGCATGTTAGGTCTACCACTGAGGTACACCCCCCAGCCTCTATATGTGGTCTTTATTTTATTTATTTATTATTTTATTTATTTTTCAGTACTGGCAATTGAACCTGGGATCCTTTGAAAAATGTTTTTATTTTGGAACAGTATTTTGCTAAGTGCTAATGTTGACTCAAATTTAGGATCCTCTGCTTTAGCCTTCTAAGTAGCTTGAATTACAGGCATGTACCACAATGCCCAGCTATATGTGGTTTTTTAACTTTCAAAGGTAATTGTAAGCCTTCATCCATAGAAAATAGTTAACTTTAGATATTGTTGTATTATTGCTATCTTAAAATAAACTAGAAAATAAACTTTTGGAACAATTTGGCAAATGCATAGGTGAAAATTGTAGACCATAACTGTATTTATTTTCAATAAACATTTCTTCTTATCATGAACAATGTGTAAAAATGTCATAATGGTACTAAGATGAGCAAGATGTAACTTCTGCTCTTTGGACACTTGGTAATTGAGCTACTACCATGTGAAATAGCTTCTGTAGGGAAAAAAGTTCTTTTGAGCACAGAGAAACAAAACACAGGTGCATGTGCACATCTATACTTGTCAGCTTTGAAGGGCTTGTTGTGGGGAGAGAGACTTTCATGTTCTCATTGATTTTGTTGATATCATGTAACCATAACTGTGCCATACCTTCTGTGTTTCTAATGTATACTTAATCCCATAATTAATGAGATAAAGAGTTAATTTATAAAGTATTATAACTGGTTTAGGAGAAAGCAGATTTTTTTTAAAAAAGAGTAGATGTAATAAATGATGCATTTGAACTAGAGTTGAATGCAATATACCTTTCATTTTTCAATGTCTTTTGTATGAGGAGTCCTAGAACAAAATTCTTGCAATTTTAGTTCAAACGATTTTCTCTTTAGATGAATAAATCTACTTCCTTTTTTGGGGGGCGGGGGTACTGGGGATTGAACTCTGGGCACTCGACCACTGAGCCACATCCTAAGCCCTATTTTGTACTTTATTTAGACACAGGGTCTCACTGAGTTGCGCCTCACTTTTGCTGAGGCTAGATTTGAACTCATGATCCTCTTGCCTCAGCCTTCCCAACTGCCAGAATTACAGGAGCATGCCACTGCGCCTGGCTACTGGTTAAGTGGGGTATTTATTACTTGTCCTAAGTCGTCTTATTACCTTCATTGTAAAGAAGCTCAGATGGGCTAGAGTTGTGGCTCAGCCATAGAGCACTCGCCTAGCACGTGCAAGGCTCTGGGTTCAATCCTCAGCACCATGTAACAATAAATAAATAAAATAAAGGTATTGTGTTCAACTACAACTAAAAAGTAAATATTAAACAACAACAACAACAAAAAAGAAGCTCAGAAAGTTAGAACTCATTTATTTGGAACCTGTCCTTTCTAGATCCAACTAAGCTTCATCTTTATTTGAATAACTTTGAATTACATTTATGTTTTAGAACCCTATTTTAGAAGCCCTATTTTGCAAGTGGGCAGTGACAGTAAACTCTGGGTATCTCAGCTATGCTAGTGCAGGGCTCTATAGTAGTTCCTGAGTCATGGTCACTGTTAGAAGCTGGGATTCTGCTTGCTCTCACACATGGAGTTTTCCTATGAAGGTCCATTAGGGTTCCAAGGTTGTGATGGAAATTCTTACTTCCACTGCAGTAGTGACTACATGACAATTTCTAAGGTGTGGAATAGTAAAGGGTTTCTTAGACAAAGGGTGCCAAGAATTTTAAGTTAAATTATACTCCTCTACAATGGCAAATATACACATATAATTTCTTAGTGATGTGAGTGTCAGAATCAAAGAGAATGAGCAGGACATGGCTTGAAATAAAACAGTTTACCAGAGGTTTGTTTTTATCTTTGCATTATGGGTATTTTACTTTTCACCTTTTGTTATGAGACTGTTCAGATTTAACCAGGTAGAAAGGTTAGAGTCATGAGCCTTCATGTCCTTATTTCCAATTATAAGAGTTATGGATAATTGTCTACATTTTTTACCTACCCACCCCTCTGACCTGGTTTATTTTGAAATACATATCAGTTAATCCTTTTATCCTTAAAGTACTTCAGTGTATGTCTCTAAAGATAGAGTTTCTGTAGTTAATATAGTCATATAAATTAACAATAATTCTTATATCATCTAGTAAGAGCACTTAAAATTTTAGAAAATATAATTATTTACAAATTTACAAATATAATTATGTTTTTATTTCTTTTGCTTTTAAAAAAATAAACCTATTCTAGATAAAGGTACCTTCGTTTTCTGAGACTCTGTCTGCTTTGAATGTGGTACAAGTGGCTGGCGGTTCTAAAAGTTTATTTGCAGGTATGATTATTCTAATATATAAAAATTTATGAATTGCACTTAGTGAGGGTGCATGTGCACATATGCACAAATTTTGTGTTGGGAAAAGTGAGTCTTCTTCTGGCTCTTGTTCCTTGTAGTTACTGTGGAAGGGAAGGTGTATGCTTGTGGAGAAGCTACGAATGGCCGACTGGGACTGGGCATGTCTAGTGGAACAGTCCCCATTCCGCGGCAGATTACGGCCCTCAGCAGCTATGTGGTCAAGAAGGTGGCAGTTCACTCAGGTAAATATCCAGCATTAGCATTTGCATGCAGAGTAAGCCTGTGCTTCCATTCTTCAAATAAAAAAGACCCTTAAATAATTTTCCCTAAGGTATTCTCACATTCTTTTTCAAGTCTTTATTAATACGAATAAAAATTGGATAATGTAAATCTCTGGGTGGTCTGGAATTTTAACCATTGGTACTAAATGCTAAATGAGGTTTTTGTTTGTATGTTTTTTAAGCAGCATTGTTGGTATTTTAGATGTATAGATGTATCCATCAGAGTATGGGATGTTTGTTGGGCCCATTGTATCTTTGATATCATAAAGTTGTGTGCTTAAATGTGTGTTATTTTTCTGATGAGTCTGTGACTCATCAGATTTAGCAAGTGTTTATGAACCCCAGTGCTAAGAAAGATTGTTTAAAAAAGATAATATCATTCTCCTTCAATTTAGAGTACCTTTACTGAATAATGTTTTAAAGTTGTGTGGCAGGCCTTTGAAAAATAGAATTGTGTTAGTTACAAAGCTCAGTGTATGCTTCTATTGGATTGAGTTAGATGTAAACCTGTATAACTGGAAATGCAAATGATAATGCTTAAGTAAGCCAAAATTTTACTTTTCTCCTCTGTAAAATTATAGAGGTAGGGTCTGGGTCCATCCATATGTTCTCTGCGTCCACAAAGAATGCTAGCTCTCCTTGTCCACCTCTGTGTGAAGTTGACCTTGCTGCTTTAGCCTTCAGTTCCAAGACCTAGGCAGCACCTATCCTGTAGCTCACAGAGCCCTTTTTTGAGCTTTCTGTGGACAAAGAAGGCTGGGAAATGTGCTTAGCACATTGTAGCACTGATAATATGGGAGTTCTATGGTAAGAAAGAGGAGAGAATGAATGTTAGGGACTAGAAGCCCCACCTATCATACTGTCCTCAGAGCCCAGGAGCTGGCAGGACATCAGGTATATAACCAGAGGTCGTGCATATAATCCTGAGGTGGGGGTGTGTGGACTGGGAGAGTATTCCATGTTGTGGAAAGAACTGATATGCTTTGAGAACAGTGAGTATAATATTAAACTTACTTAATTGATGGTACTTCTGCTTAAATAATTTCACCAATGGGTGCATTGCAAAAAAGCTTAAATTGCCACCATATTTGACAATTTGCCTAATGACAAATATACTTATTTCAACGTCTTCCACCTAAATTTTTGATCTTTTATACATGAACATAGTTGAAGCCCCATTAATAATCAGCATTATTTTTCTGTTTCTTTGTAAGTATAAAAATTTTTTAGAGTTAAAATTTATGGGTTATTTAAAGTTCTCTAAATTTGCATATGTGTTACCCAGAAAGCCTTCATAATAACTGTAAGTGTTGATCCTGTTTACTCATCATTTATTCAACACATTCACTGAATATATGCTACATGCCAAGTGACTTGGGTAGTTATACTGTGACCTTTTGTATGTTGCATATTGGCAACCTATGTGCATGTCAATGTTGCAGGTGGCCGGCACGCCACAGCCTTAACCGTTGATGGGAAAGTATTCTCGTGGGGTGAAGGTGATGATGGAAAACTTGGACATTTCAGCAGAATGTAAGAATGTTTTCTTCAGTCTTACTTCTTAATCAGAAACTGTAACTGAAAATATTAGTGGGTACCTTTAAATAGTTGTTTTGCATAGGATAGGTTGTTTGTGGACTAGATATGTGGAAAAAATATTTCTTAATTTTTAAAAATTGTATACAGACACAGTATCTTTATTTATTTATTTGTTTGTGGTGCTGAGGATTGAACCCAGTGCCTTGACACTTGACCACTGAGCTACAACCCCAGCCCAGAATTTTTTTAACAACATGGATGAACGAATGATTTGGCTTCACATACTGTTTTAAGTTTTGATAGTGAAGTTTGTTTGAAGATCTTTTGTTGACCAAAGGTAGATTAGTGTAGACAACTTTTTTCTTTGAGAACAGGTGGATTGATTGTAGGGAGTGTAATTTGATTTTGTTTTAGGAATTGTGACAAGCCAAGACTTATAGAGGCCTTGAAAACCAAGCGCATCCGGGATATTGCCTGTGGGAGCTCACACAGTGCGGCCCTCACGTCCAGCGGGGAGCTGTATACCTGGGGCCTTGGAGAATATGGCCGGTTGGGACATGGAGATAATACAACACAGCTAAAGCCCAAAATGGTGATTATACACATTTTTGTTGCTTACAGAAAGCTTACCACCCGATGATTTTAAATGCAGATAAGCCTCAAGTCTAGGAAAGTTCATAAAGATGTGCATTATTGGCTTTTAGTCTGTGGAAAAAATTTCCTTTACTTTCTTGGTGTCTGTGCTTGATTCTGTCTTTAAATTTGTAATTGAGTAGGTGAAAGTCCTTCTTGGTCACAGAGTAATCCAGGTTGCATGTGGAAGCAGAGATGCACAGACTCTGGCTCTCACTGATGAAGGTGAGCACCTGTTGTGGTCTTAAGTTTGGGGGTGGGTAGGAACGTATATGAAGTGCTGGCCTTAAGTAATATTTTTTAAACCTAGGTTTGGTATTTTCCTGGGGTGATGGTGACTTTGGAAAATTGGGCCGAGGAGGAAGTGAAGGATGTAACATTCCCCAGAACATCGAGAGACTAAATGGCCAGGGTGTGTGCCAAATTGAGTGTGGAGCTCAGTTCTCCTTGGCTCTCACCAAGTCAGGAGTGGTGTGGACATGGTATGTATACTACCTCACTGCTGCCAACATTTCTGTGCTTTGTAAGGCATGTGTGGGGATCCTTGACCTCACATCAGGCCCACCTTGGGTGCTCGTAAAATCATTGTATAACTCATCCCAGCATCTTTGTTTTTTTATTTGTATTGAGATAGGATTAATGATGATATTACAAGGAGAAAGTTCCTGTTATCAATGGGTCATTTTGAAAAGAACGCTAGGGAAATTTTAGCCCACTTGCCTTTCCTATTCAGGTGAGATGTCGGTGAAGTATTTCTTCTACTTTCTTTTTTTTTAATATATATTTTTTTTAGTTGTAGTTGGACACAATACCCTGATTTTCTTTATTTATTTATTAAAATATTTATTTTTTAGTTGTACACAGTACCTGTATTTTATTTATTTTTATGTGGTGCTGAGGATTGAATCCAGAGCCCCGCATGTGCGAGGTTGAGCACTCTACCACTGAGCCACAACCCCAGCCCCTTCTTCTACTTTCTTACTATACCAAAACCCCAATGATAAAATGAGAGCAAAATAGAAATTTGCATCCTTTGGTCCTAGAAATTTTATGTGTGATTCTTGCAAAAGCTTAATTTTATTACAATGCAGCATAGTGGTGGCCAGACCAACCTTGGAAGCTGTGTTGGGCCCTAGTGCTAATCATGACCAGTAGCAGCTTGAAAAAAGTGTGTACCACATAGGTCTTTGGAAGGAATGTCTGCTTTTCTGTCTTTTATATGAAAAGTCAACATAGTAACTTAAATATTGTAAACCATTTTACATTGGTAAGGATTTTGCTAGCAGAATTAATTTTGAATTCATGGAGTATGATTTTAGATGTAAGTTCAAAGACCTTGAGTGATGTTTCCATCAAGCTGTCTCTAAAAAAGGTGAGAGCATGAGCATTTTCTTGTGTATTGTTGCCAGACTGTAACTGTATATTAACATTCACACTGTTGGCCTCTCCTCAGGGGGAAGGGCGATTACTTCAGGCTGGGCCATGGTTCTGATGTGCATGTGCGGAAGCCACAGGTGGTGGAAGGGCTAAGAGGGAAGAAGATTGTGCATGTGGCTGTTGGGGCCCTCCATTGCTTGGCGGTCACAGACTCAGGGCAGGTAAGGATGCCAATGGCCTGTATGTTGCTACCCTTCTGCAGGGTGGTTATGACATAGCACTTATCTTGCCAGAACAATTTGGAGTGGGCAACTTTGAAAAAGTCATTCCATTCTAAAATCCACATGGGAATTATCCTTGAAGGTGCTCCTCCTGCTAATAAGGTATTAGCAGTATTTTGTTAGAAAATTGATAGCTGATGGAGGAGATACATACTACATTTCAGAAATAAAGAAATAAAGTTAATACTTGATTTATTCTTATTCTGCTCCTTTGGATGCCATACTTTAAAATTCATTTATGAAAACAAAACTATTATACTTTTTTTTTTAAAAAGTGAATTCTATGATTACGTAAAGTCAAAAAGCTAATTACTTGAAAAATAAGTATGTTGTTTTTGATCTTGACAAAATGAAGAAAAAATAAGTTAACTATACTTAGTTGATGAGAGGATTCCCTGTTCTATAACAAAGTAAAATGGATAAATTGATTTGATTTATATTAAGTAAACATGCATATCTACTTGTTGACAAGCATCTTCATGCTTAAATTTTTCTTAGCTGTGGTTCCACACGTGCCATTTTATAAGACTGTACCATGGCATATACTTTAAGCATTAAGTAAATTTTAAGAAAATTATCTGACATGTTGAAAACTGTATTTTTTTTTTTTTTATCTAACAGGTATATGCTTGGGGTGACAATGATCATGGCCAACAGGGCAATGGCACAACCACAGTTAATAGAAAGCCCACACTGGTGCAAGGCTTAGAAGGTCAGAAGATCACCCGAGTAGCTTGTGGGTCATCGCACAGTGTGGCATGGACAACTGTGGATGTAGCCACACCCTCTGTCCATGAGCCGGTCCTCTTCCAGACTGCAAGAGACCCTTTAGGTGCTTCCTATTTAGGTAACGCATTTTTTGTATCTTCTCTGTGCTTCTTCTGTAGGCTGTAGCAGTATTATAGATTCTGTAATAGTTCTGACACATTGGAGGTTGTAGTTCTGTGTTAACTGTATTATGAACCTGAAGGCACAAAATATTGTGTATGCATGGGGAGGGTAGGTATCTTTACAGTGTTGAATAATCCAGCCAACAAATACTGTGTGTCTCTTTGGGCCTTTAATTTCTCTTAGCAATATTTTATAGTTTGAGTGTGCAGGTCTTGCATATCTCTTTCAAATTTATCTCAAGTGTTTTATATTATGAGTACCATTATAACTTTTCAAAAAGATTGCTTATTCCTTGATACTGTATAGAAACATTCAAGTTGCTCCTTGCTAGCATATAGGAATATAATTAATTTTCTTCAGGGAACTTCATCTTTCTAAGAAATTCTCATATGATTATTTTGTTTTCATCTTCTTTCTCTCAATGGGGGTTATATAGTGTCCATTACCATTTGCTTTTTTTTAAAAAATTTATATATGACAATGGAATGCATTACAATTCTTACTACACATATAGAGCACAATTTTTCATATCTCTGATTGTATACATAGTATATTCACACCAATTCGTGTCTTCATACCTGTACTTTGGATAATAATGATCATCACATTCCACCACCATTAATTACCCCATGTCCCCTCCTTTCCCTTCCAACCCTTTTGCCCTATCTAGAGTTCGTCTATCCCTCCCATGCTCCCATTTGCTTTTTTATATATCTGAATGTCATCCGGGTTCACCAGTTACTAGCTATAAAGACTGGGCAAGTTACTTAGCTTTCTTAGCTTTCCTGTGCCTTCAGGTGTAGATGAAGATGAGGCTCTACTTAGTCTTCTTTCAATTTATAATTGCATATTGGTGGTCTCTTCACATTACCTTGTGTGTATAACCTTTTGAAATATACTTTTTTTCACTCAGCACAATCCTCTGGGGATTCATCCAAGTTGTTGCATGTATCCAGTTTGTTCCTTAGTATTACTGAGTAGAATTTCCTGGTTTATTCACTCATTGAAGGACTTTTTTGGGATGATTTCTATTTTTGGCTATTACAAATAAGCCTGTTTATGTCATCCATATCTAGGTATTTGTATAAAAATAAGTTTGGCTTAATTGCCCAAGAGTGCAATTGCTGGATCATATGCAGAATTCATGTTTTGTTTGGTGCAAAACTTGTTTAGAGTATGCTGTTTACATATTAGTGGATGAATGACCCAATTTCTTCCATATTTTTACCACTATTTTTTACTTTTAGCCTTTCTGATGTCTGTATTAATTTCATTGTGGTTTTAATTTGTGTTCTCATAATGACTAATGTTAAACATCTTTTCATGTGCTTATTTACTGTTTATATCTCTGGTGACATGTAGATGTGGCATTTCTAATTGGATTTTTTTCTGTCTCTGGAATATGTTTTTAGTTATTGGGTTTAGAGAGTTCTTTATATTCTAGGTGCTTTTAGTCCTTTAGCAGCTCTATGGTATGCAGATGCTTTCTCCAGGTCTATAGCTTATCTTTACATCTTCATAGTATGAAAGTTTCTAATTTTGATAGTCTATTTATTAAATTTTTCTCTTATGGATCATATTTTTGGTATTAAGTCATAAGCATAATTTCTTTTTCTTTTTGGTTTTTTTTTTTTTTTTTTTTTGGTACTAGGGATTGAACACAGGAATTTTTTTTACCACTGAGCTACATCCCTAGCCCTTTTTATTTTATTTTTGAAATTTTGAGACTGGTCTCATTTAGTTGCAGAGAATGGCCTTAAACTTGCGATCCTGCTGCCTCAGCTGAGTGGCTGAAATTACAGGTGTGCATCATCACATCCAGCTCCTAAGTATACTTTAAATAAGGGTTTTCTCCTGTTCTTTTTTAGTTTTATAGTTTTATGTTTTATATGTAAGTAATGGGTTTTCTATAAAGAATGAAATTTAGATTGAGGTTTTTTTTTTTTTTTAACTTATTTGAGTCCATTTGTTGAAAAGCTGGCTTTCCTCCACAGAATTGCTTTGACATATTTGTTAAAAATCATTTGGGTGGGCTGGGGTTGTGGCTCAGTGATAGAATGCTTGCCTAGCATATGCGAGGCCCTGGGTTTGATCCTTAGTACCAAATAAAAATAAATAAATAAAGGTATTATGTCCAACTATAACTAAAAAAATATCAGTTGCACATATTTGTGTGGATGTATTTTTGGGATCTCTATTTTATTCTACTGATTATTATGTAAGTACCACACAGTCATGATTTTATTAACTTTATACTAATTTTTAAAAAATTGAATAGACTGTTCCTTATTCTGAACTCTTTCAAAATTGTTTTAGCTATTCTAATTCCTTTGCCTTTCCATATAAATTTTAGAGTAATATTGCCTATATATCTAAAAACTCTTGCTGGAATTTTGATAGGAATTGCATTACATCTGCATATCAGCTTGGGTAGGATGGGCATCTGTTCTTTGCAAAGTTTTCCAATCCTCAAACATGGTATGAGTTTTATTTATTTAGTTCTCTTTTGATTTCTTTTATATTTGTTTTGTAGTTTGTATCTGTTCTCAGAGCTCCTCCCTAAATTGGGATTCCAGTACTAGAGTAGCTATCAATCTTACTATAATGGGAAATAAAAGGGAGCTGGTACAGATGTGTATAGATGTGAACAGTGTGTACCTTTCACAGGATGCTTTTTTTAGCTGGCAGATGGACTAATGTCTGGTTGTCCAGCTTGCAACCAGAAGATTTCTCATGTAGAAATTTGTGCTGGCAGACATCCCTGTGACTCTTGTGTGACCTGTGTCTGGTTTATGCCTGACCTACCATCACTCATGCGGGGTGAACTGAAACAGCCCCTGGTTATTTGAATGGAGGGAGCAATTTAATACACCACCATAATAGAAAACAAGTTCAAAGATTTTTACTTTCAGATCCTGGGCAAGGAGGGCGTGATGAGTTTGGAGGTCAGTCTTCTAGTCTCTGGGTCACAGGAGGCAGAAATAAAGAGTGAAAAGAAGGAGAGAGAAAGAGAACACACAGAACAACTAGTAGTGCAAATAAGGGAATAGAGTGTGGGTCACTTTAAGTTTGTGGGCACATACCTGAATGGTTGGTTTAAAGGAAGTGCAGGCAGGAAAAGAGGAGCCCAGTCTCCTATGCCTCTGGGAGAGATGCCTCTCAGTTCTTATTTTTGGTCACAGGCTTGAGTAACTTGGGTATAATGTTCTACTTATAATGCCTAAGCAGCATTTTAAAAAATAATTCTTTTAGACATTGATGGACCTTTATTTATTCATTTATTTATATGTGGTGCTGAGAATCGAACCCAGTGCCTCACACATGCTAGGCAAGTGCTCTACCACTGAGCCACAATCCCAGCCCCCTAGGCAGCAATTTTTGCTGTGCCCTTCTAAGTACAGTAGCATAGTATGTAAGTTCTGTATGTGTTTTGTTATGTTTATCTCCTCTTTCTCTCTCTTTCTTTCTTTCTCTCTCTCTCAAGACTATGCCTGGTCTGGTGGCACATACCTGTAATTCCAGTTACTCAGGAGGCCGAGGCAGGAAGATCATAAGTTCAAGGCCAGCCACTTGGTGAGGCCCTAAGCAACTTAGCAAGACCCTGTTTCAAAATAAAATGGGCTGAAGATATGGCTCAGTGGCAAAGCACCCCTGAGTACAACGCCCCCCAAATGTTTGTTATGGAATTTTTATTAAATTTGATTAATTTTTGTGGTGGGGTTGGAAACCAGGGCCTCACACATGCAATGCAAACATACTGCCACTGAGTTACATCCCCAGCCCTGTGTTTGTAATCTTGTTTTCTACGTTTTTTATTAATACAGAGAAGTACAATTTTTGTACAATTTTAATATTACCCTGTGATTTTCGAGGATTGAACTCAGGGGCACTTGATTACTGAGCCTCATCCGCAGCCCATTTTTGTATTTTATTTAGAGACAGGGTCTTTGAATACTGAATAATAAATATTGAGTTGCTTAGTGCCTTGCTTTTGCTGAGGCTGGCTTTGAACTCACAATCCTCCTGCCTCAGCCTCTTGAGCTGCTGGGATTATAGGCTTGTGCCACCACGCCCAGCAAGACCTTGGACTTTTCTGTGTAGACAATGGTGTCATTTTTAAGTAGAGGCAGTTATTCATACAATTTTCTTTTTCTTGCCTTTTACATTAGCTGGAATACCTAGGACTGTTAAAGAAGAGTGGCAAGAGCTGGTATGCTTGATGTATTCATAATCTTAGAGGAAAAGCATTTAGTCTCCCACCACAAAGGATGATGTTAGCTCCAAGATTTCTTGTAGAAGCTTTTTATCAAGTTAAGAAAGGTCTCCTGTCTTCCTAGACAGCTGAGAGTTTTTTTTTTCATAAATGAATGTTGAGTTCCATCATGGCTTTTCTCTATTGATATAATCATGGACTTTCTTCTTTAATGCATTGATAGGTAGATTGCATTGATTTTTGAATATTGAGCCAGCCAGTGTTGCACACCTGGAATAAACACTACTTGATTTTTACTTTTTGTTTAATTTTCCCTGTTTTTCTCTTATCTTTTTTATTGGTTTCCGGTCTCCATTAGTTTCTAATTTCTGTTTGCTTTAAGTTTATTTTGTTGTTGTTGTTGTTGTTTTAGGTAGCTCCTATAGATAACTGTATGAGACCTTTTTTTTTTTAAAATCTTTTGGTACTAGGGATTGAACCCAGGGCCAAGTATAGCCCAACTCTAGGCTATACACCCAGCCCTTTTTATTTTGAGATAGGGTCTTGCTAAGTTGCCCACACTGGCATAGAACCTAATAATTATTCTGCCTCAACCTCCTGAGTAGCTGAAATTATGGGTGTGAGCTACTGTGCCTGGATGATTTGAGACCTTTCCTTCTTTTAATGTAAACTTTTATAAATTTTCCTCTCAACACTGCTTTAGCACATCTTGCAAATTTTGTTAGGTTGCATTTTCTTTTTCATTCAGGTTTATATAGTATGTCAATACTGTATATATTAATAAAATGTTATAATGTATATAATGCAGTATAATATAAATTATGATTTATGTTAACATTAATATAAAGAAGTTAAGAACTTTTACATTCCTGTTGATAAGTAATGTTGGTCTGTACTGTTTATTGTAATGTCTGTCTAGCTTTGATATCAGGATAATGCTGGCCTCATAGATTGGGATGTCTGGTATTCCCTTCTTTTCAGTTATCTTTTAAATTTGTGTAGAATTATTATTTCAGGAGAATTCATCAGTGAAGACAGCCAGGCCTACAGTTCTCTCTCTCTCTCTCTCTCTCTGTGTGTGTGTGTGTATGTTTGTGTAATTTTTTTAACTATAAATTTTATTGCTTTAATAAATACTTATTTTCTAGTAGGATTTGTGTCTTTGACATAAAATGTCCATTTTATCTTACTTGTTGAATTTACTGGCATAAAGTTGATCTCAGTATGTGCTTATTTCCGTTTTAATGTTAATGGAATCTATAGTGATACAATTTCTTGTTTCTTATATTGTTCTCAAAGAACAAGTTTGTGCTTTACTTGATTTTTCTGTTTTCTATTTTTTTTTTTTTTTGTATTTTCTTGCCATTCCACCTACATGATAATGTTTGATCAAATGCCATATATCATGAATTGTGTCTTCGATGTTTTCGGAGATTTTTAAGTTTAAAAAAAATTTTTAGTTGTAAATAAACACAATATTATTTTTGTTATTTTTATGTGGTGCTGAGGATCAAACCCAGTGCCTCACATATGCCAGGCAATTGCTCTACCACTGAGTCACAACCCCAGCCCTGTATCTATAAATCTTGAGCTTTAATATGGTTAAGTTACTCTGAAGCCATTAGACTCTGTTTTGACCTGGGTTTAGATTTGGTAGTTTAAGATGGAGCTAATTATTCCCTACCATGGAGACAAAGAGTTTTCTGAGTACTCTGCCCAAGCCTTGTGGACTGTGAGGTCTTCCAGTCTGGCTGATGGGAATAACGGCTACTCTGGGCCTTGCATGTTTGATGGGTACTGTGCCTCTACTCCTTTCAGGTGTTTTTAAAATTTGACTTGTGTAGTTTCTTACATGTTTCCATCAGCTTCTGTTGAATCCTTGACTCGGGTCGGGGAAGGTACCTGCACATTTTGGAACACTCAATTTCTCTGGTCCTGACCTCTAGCCCTGGGCCAACAACACTGGGCCAACAAATCAGGCCTCCTGCCTGATTTCCAGTTCCCCATTCTTCATTCAGGGAAACCCACCAGGCCTTCCTTGCCTGACTCTGCTGTCTTTGCTGAGTCTGGGAACTATCAGGGCAGTGAGTTGGGATGTATGTCTCATAAGACAGTGTAGTGGTACACAGCATCTCTCTTTGTCATTTTGGATTATTTTTTGTCTTTTTTTTTCTGAGAGGGGGGTCTTGCTTTGTAGAAGGAAGTACATATAGGTAGTTAAGATAGCATTTTCACAGCTTATGTGTATATAATGCATATTTTAAAAGTTTCTTATAGCTTTTTTGCAGTTCTAGTGAACATTTACTAAAATAGTTTCTTTATTTTATTTCATTTTTTTTAATGTTGTGCTAAGGATCAAACCCAGTGTCTCACACTGTACCACTTAGCCACAACCCCAGCCCCCTGAAAATGGTTTCTTTATAGAAGTACTGATAATCATTATTTTATCTGAAAAGACTGTGAGCCTAATGCATACTCTATGAAATAGCAAAAATATAGATTGTTATGTTTTGGAACTAGCCTAAAAGGCCAAACTATAGAAACAGAGCAAATAATAACCTTAAAAATAGAATACATATTTTTATTTTTATTTTTCAGGCGTGCCTTCAGATGCTGATTCTTCTGCTGCCAGTAATAAAATAAGTGGTGCAAATAATTCTAAGCCAAATCGCCCTTCTCTTGCCAAGATTCTCCTCTCATTGGATGGAAACCTGGCCAAACAGCAGGCCTTATCACATATCCTTACAGCACTGCAAATCATGTATGCCAGGTAGGCTTGTGTGCTAAATTTTGAAATTCTATAATTGTGTAGGCGTTATGTTTTTGTCATATTTTGATTGACTAAATGTCTCCAAGAATATTGTGTTATTATTTTTAAGTGCTGTGAGTTGAAGGCACATATCCTTTGATGGCATCTTTATGCTTATTTAATGGGTATTGAAATAGGAATCAGAAAACCAAGTTAAAGAACATTTTCATTTTTGTATTTTGTTTTGGTCAGTAAACTCTTAGCATTAATATTTGTGGGAGAGAAAAAATTAACTATAATTTACAGTGATGTTTAAGACATTGTCACTCACTTGGTAAGGCAGAGTTTTGATACTACTTTTACAGAATTTTTCTATTGTTTTCTTACAGCATATATTAGTCAGCTTTGCATCATTATAACAGAATACCCAAGATCATAAGAGAAAAGGTTTATTTTGGCTCACAGTTTTGAAGTTTCCAGCCCATGATTAGTTATCCCCATTACTTTGGGTCTGTGGCAAGGTAGCACATCATGGTGGGCACAAGCAGCAGAAGAAAAGCCACTCACCTCTTGGCCAGGAGTTGAAAAGAGAAGGAGAAAGGGACCAGGGTCTCCTATCTCGATCAGGGGCATACCCCCAGTGGCCTAAACGCCTCTTCAAGAATCCTTCATCTCCCAATAGTACCACCCTGGGGACCAAGCCTTTAACACTTGGGCCTTTGGTAGACATTCAAGATGCAATCCATAGAATAGCCTGAGTGAATTGCCTATTTCTAAATGTATTATTGGGTGGGGAACTCGCGCAAGATGTACTTACGTAGGAACATGAGCTTTAGAACAAAGCCAGTCATTGAGAGGACATTTAGTCCTTTCTGCCTGGTATGTGGCAGGCTTTCAGTAAACACAAACATTCATATATATATATATATATATATATATTAGAGAGAGAGAGAGAATTTTTTAATATTTATTTTTTAGTTCTCGGCGGACACAACATCTTTGTTTGTATGTGGTGCTGAGGATCAAACCTGGGCCGCACGCATGCCAGGCAAGCGTGCTACCTCTTGAGCCACATCCCCAGCCCAAACACAAACATTCTTGATATTCAATTATCTAGTCTGTAGGCTCTAACAGCAACCCAAAAGGGTTTCCCAGAGTGAATCAGAGGCTTATTCTGGTCTGGTTTTTACATTTGGAAGTCTTTCACTTGTCCTTACCATGGTTATTCAAGTAAATGCTACTTAACACTAAGGATACATTCTGAGGTAATATCATAAGGAGTATAGTTATGCACATTAAGCTGGCTAGGACATTACCATGCAATACAGTCCTATGAGATATATGCAGTTCATCGTTGACTGAAAGGTTGTTTTGTGGTATGTGGCTATAAATAAGATCTGGCCATAATAAAATTTTTAGCTTATAGAGAATGGGTACCTGGTAATGATGTTTTTGTGAAATTCTTTATATATATCCTATAAAAACAAGGATGTGTTTCAGGGAGTGATCATTCCACTTTGTTCATCCTGTCATATGTGGCAGGCACCTCACTGCAGGCCTGGCTTTCTGTTCTGACAGGGATGCAGTGGTTGGGGCCCTGATGCCAGCTGGCATGATTGCCCCGGTGGAGTGTCCCTCATTCTCCTCAGCACCCACTTCCGATGCCTCTGCCATGGCCAGTCCCATAAATGGAGAGGAATGCATGCTGGCTATTGACATTGAAGACAGATTGAGTCCAAATCCATGGCAAGAAAAGAGAGAGGTAAAAGTAAATCTGAACACCATATTAGATCAGAAAGAAAAAGTTAACTTCTTTGTGTCTAGTGTAATGTGTCATTTTTTTCACTTAATTTTTGCTGTTTTTGATTTTGATCTTGAATTAGAAAAAAATGCTTATGAATGAGCTTTCCTAGTGTTGAAATGCAGATAGTTTATTCTTTTTTTAAAAAATCATTAAATACAGCTTTGAAACCTTAAAGGTCTTGTAACTTATTTGGAGAAAGTATACCTCATGAAGAGAGGTGCGTTCATTTTAGGCTGATTTATATGACCTGCTATTGAATATTAATAGGTTTTCCTGGAAATAAGAATGTGGTTGACTTTGCAGGTCTGCTTCAGGCCCACTGGTGGGTGGTAGCCGATGTGTGGTGTGAGCACTGTGTGGCCTTTGTAAAATATGGAACATTCCAAATGGCCCCCAATAGTTTTTTTTTTTTTCTGGGGGTCAGTATTGGGATTGAACTCAGGGGCACTCAACCATTGAGCCATATCCCCAGCTCTATTCTGTATTTTATTTAGAGATAGGGTCTCACTGAGTTGCTCAGTGTCTCGCTGTTGCTGAGGCTGGCTTAGAAATTGTGATTCCTCTGCTGCAGTTTTCAGAGCTGATAGGATATAGGCTTGTGCCATCACGCCTGGCCCCCAGTAGCTTTTTTGGAGGGGCGTGCGCGGGGCGGGAACTGGGGATTGAACTCAGGGGCACTTGACCACTGAGCCTCATTCCCAGCCCTATTTTGTGTTTTACTTAGAGACAGGGTCTCATTGAGTTGCTCAGCACCTTGCTTTTGCTGACGCTAGCTTTGAACTCGTGATCCTCCTGTCTTAGCCTGGCCCCTGGTAGCTTTTTGTTGTTGTTGTTGTTGTTTTAGTTGGACACAATATCTTTATTTTATTTATTTTATGTGGTGTTGAGGATTGAACCCAGTGCCTCACATGTGCTAGGCAAGCGCTCTACCATTGAGCCACAAACCCAGCCCCCTACTCCCCCAGGAGCTTTTTGAGAAGGCATCTTTGGGCTTGTGTAAAAGACTGCTGTTGCTGAGCTTTTCTACTTAAACTTTCTTTCTGGTGTATTCTCCATTTAGATTGTTTGCTCTGAGGATGCTGTGACTCCCTCTGCAGTGACCCCATCTGCTCCCTCAGCCTCCTCTAGGCCATTTATCCCAGTGACAGATGACCCAGGAGCTGCCAGCATCATTGCAGAAACCATGACTAAAACCAAAGAGGTCAGGAAGTCATCTTTAACTTCTTAATTTGAAGTAATCTTAAATGTATAAAACAGTAACAGAAATAATATTTAGAGATAAAACATGGGACACCCACCTAGGTTCTCAAGTTGCTGGTTATTTTGAATCATTTATGGAAGTGCTAGGACATAAAGCTTATCATTTCCTAGTGTATTTCTTGAGTATCAGGACATCAAAAGTGACCCAGGTTCTCTTCTAATTCACAGACCTATTCAGCTGTTGTTCATTGTCCTGATAGTGTCTTCCTAGGTCTAGCACCCAGCCTACAATTTTGTACTATCTTGTTAATCTTTAATACAGGACAATTCTAAAATACTTCATTTTGACAGAACCACCACAGGAATGATCAGAGTTGCATCGTAAATTTGCTGCTTCTCTGATGATGTAACTATTATCCCTTGGCTAAGCATTTCTCCAGTGGAAGTTAGTGTGTTATTAAGTACTTCTGAGGATATACTTTGAGACTCTGTAGATATCGTTCCTCCTCATATTTTATTCACTAGTAATTTGGAATGTATTAATGATTCTAGCTGAACTTATTATTAATGACTATGGTGGTTGTCTTGTGATCATTTTTCAAATTTCTCATTTCTTACAGGATATAATTGTTACTCTTCTTCTGTAAGGGAGAGCTTTCCCTTCTCATTGTCTGTTTAACTTCTGTCATCTACCCACCTACCTACCTACCTACTTACCCACCTTACCTTCCTGTTATATTGGTATAAACTCACGGATTCCTATTTTATTCAAATATTGACATTTGTTGCTATCATCATTTGTCCCAGACTGGCCATATCTTTTGGGCTGGTTTCTTTGTCATTCTGAGGTGTCCCTATAATCCTTCGAACTTTTCCTTACTTTCTGGCAATAGTGTGTTCCATGTTCATCATATATATATATATTTTAAAGGCGTAGGTACAGGGATTGAACCTAGGGGAACTTAACCACTGAGCCACATCCCCAGCCCTTTTAAAATATATTTTATTTAGAGACAGGGTCTTACTGAGTTACCTAGGGCCCTGCTAAGTTGCTGCAGCTGGTTTTGAATTCGTGATCCTCCTACCTCAGCTGCCCAAGCTGCTGGGATTATAGGCATGTGCCACCACGCCTGGCTCTATACTCATCTTGCACCTACTCTGCCCCTGCCCTGGAATTGGCCATTGTTCTAAAGAGCCCTGGTTCTTTTTAGTGGAACACAAGCTTTGGAAATCAAGATTGAGGTGATTGGTTACTGAGTGTTTTTGTTTTGGCCCTTTTAGCAGATAAATATATGTGTGTGTGAGTATTTATTTCTTTTACATCTTACCTGTGTAACAAAAGCTGATTCAAATCAGTGCTTTGAGTTCTAGTCCAACACCAGAGTTTCTTACCCTCCTTTCTATATTCTCTGGTGTCTAATCCTTTTATATGTTACTGGATTTGGTTCTACCATATTATTGGGGAGTTTTGCATCTATATTCATAAGGGCTATTGATTGGTAATTTTCTTGTGGTTTCTGCTGGTTTGGATAAAAAGTTTTTGAAGAATTGGTGTTAATTCTTGGTGGAATTTTTGTCTTTTGCTGATATGTTCCCATCCTTCTTTTAGCATTTCCTTGGTTCCTGACACAGCAAAAATTTCCAGGTTTAATAAGATGTTTTATTCTTTAGTTTAGGAATCACCTATCTTCCAAGGAAGTCCTTGCTTTTTACTATTTAGAGAATGTTATTTAGAAGCCAAGAGTTGGGCTCTTCATGAGCTCATTGCTATTGGGATGATAGTTAGGGAATAAATGTGTGTGTGTGTGTGTGTGTGCACGTGCACGTGCGTGTGTGTGATACTGGTTCATACCACTACAATTGATTTGAATCTAACTAGGATTTATTTTAGTTTTCACTCTTTTTTGTATTTATGACTCTTATCTCTGAAAGTAAGGAACCAGGCTCTTGTCATTTACAAGCTATTTACTTGTGGTTTGGTCTCCTTAGATAACCAGTCTCCCATTTTGACTGCCACCCACCCCCTTTTGGGTACCTTTCTTCCTCTGAATAGCCTCTTGTGCTCAAAACCAATCTGTCCTTCCTGGGGACCACCTCTTCATGCTACTTGACCTGTGGTCCTCACCCTACCTCTATGCTGGCTTGTCTAAACTATGGTACCTTCCTCACTTGACTCTGCCACACCAGGTACCATATCTGTGGATACCCTGCCCAGCCCCACACCAGGCTGCCCTACCATGCTTGCACACTCTCTCTTGCCCGCCAACCTTGGAGAAAAACAAGCATTATTTTCAATTACATTTGGAACCCTTTATGGAAGAAAATAAGTTTTATGGAAAGTATTCAGAACCATCTGCGGTAATAATCTCTGGAATCAACTTCTGATTTCTGAAAGTCTCCTGGAATTGAGGGTTTAACACAGAAATTATTTTAAAGAAGGCACAATTTTTGCTTTAGGCGGAAGGATAATACTTTTTTTCCCTGCAAATTTATTTATGAAACACAGGTGTTGTCCAGGTTATACCACTAAATTCCTTTTGTTTTCATTTTGATGTGTCTCATAAATTATGGTGAAGTAATTTTCATTTTAGTATTGGGCTGTGATTCATGTTTAAGGATATGCTGCTAGTACTTTGCCTTTTTATCAGTTCCTCTAGGCATATTTTCTATTTTTTTAAACATCCCCACCAAGGAGAAAAAAGGTACATTTCAATTTCAAGACTGAAGATATTATATATAATTAATATATTCCCCTGGATGCTTTTGCTGTGCTTCAGTGAGTCATATTCTGGAATTTCATCATTTCTAATGAATTTCACTTGCTTACTTCCTGGATCTCCATGCAAAGGTCTGCTCTCTAAAGGAAGAATCTTGTCCCAGCCCATAGTGTCCAGGGCACATCATATTCCCCTTAGGGTTCTTCGTGTAGGGCTGTGTTTCTCTGGCTCATTTCTGTTTCTGAAAAGAATTGTGCTATATTTCCTGAGGTTCAGGAAGCAGGAGAGAAGAGGCACTTCTCTGGCTCGCTCTTTCTAGGTGAGCGTGACTCTACCTCGGGAGCATGAAGGGTTAGTTTCTACCTCTGTTCTACACAGGGTCATAGTGTTTCCTACTCCAGGGCCAGAAGCTGTGGATGCCCCAGCTTTGATGACTTGACTTGCCCCTTTCCATGAGTCTAGCCCTAGACTTACCTCCAGGAGGCTCTTGTACACTGGACAAGGCAGGTGGGGCAGCTGACCTGGGTGAGGCGCCTCACATGGTGGGGACTTGGGATAGGACACTGATGCTGGGGAAATAGCTCACAGCAAACAAGTGTGTTCCTTTACTCTGCTAAAAAGGAGAAAAGGTGAATTATCACAGCTGCAATGTGTTTAAGCTGGTAGTAGGAGAGGCAAGTAAAAGAGAAATAGTAAAAAAGAGAAGACTTTTACATATTATCTTTTCCAAAGAATCCAAGGAGCAGAAGATTATAGATAATGTGTTACGTGGAGAAGAGTCTGGAAAGCATTATGGAGAGATTCAAGACAAAGATATGTAAAGTTATAGTGTAAAATTTAGTTGATAGAAGATCACCAAGCATATCTGATGGGTAAGGAATAGGTTTCAATTGGTGCAACTTCATTCCTGGTCTTCTCGTATAATGTCTATCAATGACACAGTAGTATAAGCTGCCGTTTCTTTATAGTTTAAGGTATTTCTCTTTGAGAGATTGGTGATATTGTAAAACAGTTAATTTAGTCTTGAAAACCTAGTACATGGAATGTATTAAGGACCTGCCATTTCTTAATTTGTTTTTTTATGCCTCTACCTTACTGGTGTCACATGTCCTTTCAGTTCATGGGTAAACAGGTGAATCTACTGAATATTATTTCTCATTTTAATTGTTGGATGTCATTTAATTTAGGATGTTGAAAGCCAAAATAAAACATCAGGCCCAGAGCCTCAGTCCTTGGATGAGTTCACCAGTCTTCTGATCGCAGATGACACCCGGGTGGTGGTGGACCTGCTCAAGCTGTCAGTGTGCAGCCGAGCAGGGGACAGGGGCCGGGATGTCCTTTCAGCTGTGCTGTCTGGCATGGGCACTGCCTACCCACAGGTGAGTGATGAGGAATACTGGGGGCTGCCTGCTCCATCTCCTTTCTCCATTCAGGCCAGCCTCCTCTGCAGGGGACACACAGCTGTTTTTCATGCATGCTTTTGTGCTAGATTCATCCTAGTAGATGTCAGTTTAGAAGTACTTCTTTAAAATACAAGATCCCATCATTTCCCCAGTGCTATCTTTTACCTGTTTCAGAAATGGATTGTGTGTCTTGTTTTTAATGATTTTTAGAATTTATTAAGTGCCTTAAATAAGTTTTTGCAGTTTTCCTTTTTTTTTTTCCTAATTTTTAAGGAGTCAAATCTGCCAGGCTTTTCACACTTCACCCCCATTTTTTTGTATTAAGCTGGGGAAAAAAAAACTTACATGACATTGTTTTAAAGAAACTGTTACATTTTCTTCTAATTATTTTTATGGTTTCATTAATTATGTTTACAGTTACCTGGGATTGATCTTGATGTAAGAAATAAAGTAATGATTCCGCTTTTATTTTTTCCTAAATGGCAAACTAGTTGCCCAAACATTATTTATTGAATAATCTACCTTTTTCCCAGTGATTTGAAAACTACTTTTATCACACTCTTTTAGAGTATTTACTGGATATGTTTGGGTCTATTTACAGATGGTTTTATTTTTCTATTTTTGTTTCTTTGAACTAACTCTTTGTGTTCTAATATCACAATAGTTCTACATATTCAGTAACACTGGGTCCAGTAAGACTGTGTTTTCTATCATTGTGGAAATGTTCTATATCTGAGCTATGCAGGATTGTGGCCACCAGACACATGTGGCTATTGAACACTTGCAATATGGCTAGTATACCTGAAGAAATAAAGTTTTAATTTTACTTAAGCTTAATTTTAAATTTGAATAGGCTCCTGTGGCTACTCAATTGGTCTAGATGAATTTAAAGTCAATATCATACCCACATGTTTAGAAATAGGATTGATGAGTCCTGAAGTCCTAGAGCTCTCTTGAGGACTCTCATTTGTCAACGTCCTTGCTTGGTCTTTTCAGAACTGGCTTGCCAGGGGACCTGGTACAGTGTTCCTATTGCAGAAAATTCTGTTTTTTTTCTGGACCCCATCTCACTACCACCAAAATAATAAAGTACTTAAGTACAGTTAAGTAGATGATGTGGTAGATATTTTAGGTACTTGTTATTTCTTAGTTTTTAAAGACAGATTACGTGGCATAATTCTAAAAGATTAAATCAAGGTAAATTGCCATAAGCAGAGTTTGATTTTTCCCTCCACAAGTTTATTGCTTTTATGAGAGGAAAGAATGTGCATGAGAACTTTGGTTTAAAATAATACCCAGCATTTGCCATACAGATCTCTACCATGTGTGATTTTGGTGCAATCTGTCAGTACAGAGAGTAGGTGTTATGTTTACATATAGATGAGAAAACTGAGGCTCCAAGAGGTTGTTACTGGTTTGAGGATACTAACTGTATTTTAGGAGAGATGAGATTGGAACTCTGAGGTCCCTGACACCAGAGCCGTTTCTACCATGTGTGTTACCCCCTCCTGATAAACTTAGTGGCCTCTCTTTGGTAGGTTCTGATGGGCTTTGCAGAGGAAGATTCTAAAATTCAGTTCCCTCATGTATTTTGCATATACATAGACATTTGATGCCAACATCTGTTCAAGTAACTCATTCAGATTTCATAAGAATACGTGTATTTTCAAACTGTCATTATAATGGCAAGATGGCTACTTCTGTGTTATGCCCTGACCTAATATGTAGGACTCAAAAAAAAAAAAAGACATTTGAATTTAAAATAGCATGCCTATATGACAATAATATTAGTTTGTTACTAATATAACTGTTTAGTAAGCCTAGCTGTTCTCTAATTATGAGGAAAAAAGAATAATCCTATTCCTGAAAAGTACAAAATGGACAGTGTATAAAGAAGAATTATATTTTTTGAGTTGAAAATTTTGCTTATCATAACACATTCTAATTTGTTTTTAAAAATGACAGTTCAGGAGATCGTAATCACTGGTATTAACCACTTAAATGGTGTGAATTGGCACTAAATTTAAAAAATAAAAGACCTGCAAATGCATTTGCAGGTAAATGGATAGAATTAGAGAAGATAATGCTAAGTGAAGTCAGCCAATCTCAAAAAACCAAATGCTGACTGTTTTCTTTGATATAAGGAAGCTGATTCATAGTGGGATAAGGACAGTGAGTATGGGAGGAACAGATGAACTCTAGATAGGGCAGAGGGGTGGGAGGGGAAGGGAGGGGGCATGGGATAATTAATGATGGTGGAATGTGACAATCATTATTATCCAAAGTACATGTATGAGGACACGAATTGGTGAGTGTACTATGTATACAACCAGAGATGTGAAAAATTGAGCTCTATATGTGTAATAAGAGTTGTAATGCATTCCGCTGTTATGTATAAATAAAAAATTGAACTCTTTTTTAGTATATTAAAAAAAAAATAAAAAATAAAAATAAAAAATAAAAGACAATATGAATTATAGAGACAGCATGGTGGTGAGCTCAACATTTACTATCCTTGGTCAAGAGAAATTCCTTAATCTTGTTCACATAGTCCTCCTTGTTTGAGGTATTCTGTCTGCCATGTCTAGACCTGGGTAGCTCAATTGTTCTTGATTCCTGCCTAGCCCCTTGACTTACAGTGCTTTCTAGGATATTGGTCATTTTCATCAACATTTTCTTCCTTCCCTTGATACTTTCATCACAGGTGTTTTTATCAGTTGACATGTGATAAAGTGCACCTTATCCTGAGTGTTGTACTTGAGGTGCCTTCCAGCTATTTCTGTATAGATTGTCTCTGAAAGTCAAATAGCACTTTGCAAGTTTTTTGCTGTCTTGATTTTATAAGTAAACCAAACTTTGAATTTAATTTCTCAGAGTGCAAGTCCTCTGCCATCCTGTCTCTATGGAATTATTCAGAGCAAGATGAGAAGGGTTAGCATCCAGTTGACCCAGGACTAAAGCCAGTCAGCCTCATCATTTCCTGCTCTCTTCCTAGGTAGCAGATATGTTGTTGGAGCTCTGTGTCACTGAATTGGAGGATGTAGCCACAGACTCTCAGAGTGGCCGGCTCTCTTCACAGCCAGTAGTGGTGGAAAGCAGCCATCCCTATACTGACGACACTTCCACCAGTGGCACAGTGAAGATACCAGGTATTTGGGGCCAGTTCTGGGGGAAGGGTTGCTGGGCTCACTGCCTTTAGAATGGCTTCATTCTTCAGTCACTTAGGTCGAAATAATCTTCTCTGTTTCTTAGGAAAGAAGTAATAGAATTGCTTTGTACTCCCCTCCTCTTTTAAACAAAAAAACAAACCAAACCCACAAAAATACCTCCTTTTGTCAAGCAAAACATGGTGTAGAAAGCCATGCAAAGTAAATGTTTAGCTTTATGATGGTTGGGATACCTTTGTGATTAAGATATATAGAGTAAAGTCTGTATTTTCCTGAATTGATGCCATTCTGATGTTGAGCCATCATACTTGCACTTCTGGACAGTTTCTGTCACCCAAGTGTATATCTTTATTCCTTTCCTTTTTCCCCCGCACCCCCTTTTTTTTCCTTTGTCTTCATTTTTTACAGTTCACCTGTTGAGGCACTTGGGCCTTTGACCCACTGGGCTTCCCCTTGACCTGGATCTGGTGCTGGCACACTCCTGCTGCAGTTCAACATGTTCTGCCATCCTACCTTTCTTCAACTTGGTCCCTGGTCCAGAAGCCCTATTAGTTCAGCCCTTTGGCAAGAGCCTTTTGCTGGTTGTGACACATCCTCAGAAAGCACCTGAGGTGCACTCTCTCTTTGTGATGTCAACAGCAACTGTTGCTCAGCATGGGAAATAACTGATCTAATGGCATTGCAAACAATGTTATTTTAATTGGATCATTTCTTTCTCATTTATTAGCTGCAGTACTTTATAAAGAGATGTTTCTCCTCATCCTTTAGTTGACTTCCCAGGGATACTGTCTGCATGAGAAAGGCAGGATACAAGTTTGATTCTTTTTTCTATTTACCAGTTTTCTGGAGTATGGACCAGTTCCCTGTCACTCTTCCAAGGTGACTCTTCTTTTCACCTTCCCTTTCCAATCCCATGTACTGAAACATGATTTTAATCCATTATAATTATGTGATTATTTTTCTTATTGAAACTCAAAATATCCTGTCTTTAGACAGTGAAAACCTTTTCAGTTTCACTTCTGAAATGATTCTGGTGGACTTTTGCTAGCTTCTCTTCAGTCTGGTATGACAAGGGGTTCTAGGCTTGTCTCATAGGTTCTGCATTCCACCTGGAGTACTTGATGGTGTTTTCAAGATCACCATCTGGCCAGGCATGGCGTGCACACCTTAATCCCAGTGATGTGGGAGGCAAGAGGATTACAAGGTTGAGGTCATTCTCATCAAGTTAGGAAGACCCTGTCTCAAAAAAAAAAAAAAAAAAAAGAAAAAGGCAGGGTGGGTTGGCTTCGGACATAGCTCCATGATAGAGTGCCCCTGAGTTTAATCTTCAGTACTACAAAAAATAAAAAATCACAACCTGGTGCTGGGAGACTCATTGCTACTGTGTTATCATTATTTCTAGACCTTTTCAGTGGGCAGAGGTAGGTTGAATACCTGGGTAAGTGGACAAATCAACTTTCTTTTGAGTTCACACTGATACTTTCAATTCCAGTTCAAAAGGACAAGGCTTCTACTTAATCTGTTTTGTCACATTTGTGTGTCTGTCTGTCTCTCTCTCTCTCTCTCTCTCTCTCTTTCTTTTTGCATACGTAATCCTGGTTCCAAAATAGGATGATAGAATACCTATCTCATAAATAATCTTTCATTTGCTTCATCTCTCATGACTTACTTAACTGACTCAATACAATTCTGAGTCAGAACTGCCAGCATCAGTATTCTAACTGAAAACATTAAATTTTTTGTCATATACTGTCTTCATTCTTCTAAATTTATGAACATAATTATTCTACCAGAGCATAAAAGCTCCTACTATATTTTCTTTCTCATATTCTTCAGATATTCTTAGTTTTACTCTGTTTAATGCTCTCTCCTCATCCTTTGTCTCTTTAGATACTGTGAAATGTCTGAACTCTCTAGTAAATTCCCTGTAGTTCCTAAGGTCAGACTTGTCTATGAGAGTTTGCCTGTCTTACTTGTAAGGTAGCTTTCCTGCATATTAAATCCTAGGATCATATACTCTTCCTCTGTGAAAGTATGAAATGGATAATTAATATTTTACCTTATAAGATCATGTGATTTTTCCACCCAGTAATTTTATTAGAATATATGTTTGCATAGATCATTCTAGGTGATATTCTCAGGTAAGGAGTGTGTTCTTTTATTATGAAGTTCCATGTCTTTTTCAGTTTCATTTTCTAGGAGTATATTTTATAGAGTTTTGTATTCTTGCTTAGTTCCTTTTTCAGGAAACTTAGCAGTTATCCATGTATTCGATGCCTTGCAGATTGGTTGCTTCCTCTCTGAAATATTTTTCACCTCTTTCTTTAAAATTTTGTCTTCTTTCCCTCCTTTTATCTCAAGGCATTTTCTATTATTCTTATAAGATCTTAGGCCCTTTTTAGTTTAGTCTATATATTGGAAAATATTTTGAGTTGTAATTCTTCTGAGTTGTCATTTAATTTTTTGGTTTTTTTTTTTTTTGATTCTTACTTATGATGTTCTTTTCCTATCTTGTATCATTTTTCTACTTGTTTTGAGATGATAGATGGCAGTTTTGGTGGATTTTGTGTGGCACACCTTTTTGGCCTGCTTTTGTTGTTTGTAGGAATGTTACTCTGGTTGTTAGTATTTTTTTTCTAACAATAACTTTGTATTGGTTTGGCTTTAATGCTTTTTTTTTTTTTTTTTTTTTTGGTACTGGGGATTGAACCTGGGGTACTTTGCCACTGAGCTACATCCCCAGCTCTTTTTATTTTTTATTTGAGACAGGGTATTACTAACTTGCCAAGGCTGACTTTGAACATGGGATCCTCTGCCTCAGCCTGCTAAGTTGTTGGAATTATAGGCATGTGCTACTATGCCTGGCTAGCTTTAATACCTTTGTCTTCCTTGTTTTATGTCTAATTTATTTTCTTCAACATTTAGAATTAGGTGGCATTCAGAAATTTTTTTCAAATTCAAATCATTTTTTTTTAACTTAAGGACCAATTGAGGTTTTGCTTCTACTCCCCACCTCCTGTGTGCCCCCAATTCAACTTTATTTTAAAACCAATCAGAGCTTATCCTTCTGTGTAAAGCCCACCAGTACATCCTTATAACCTAAAATGAGATGGAAGCCCTGCACAAGGTCACTCTTTCCTGTCTGCTTCGTTTCCTCTCAGGCCTTTTCAGGCCTTACTTACCTGTCCTCTGCTAGTCCATAAGAACATTTCAGCCCAAAGGAAAACTCTTATTCCTTTTAACACCAAATACATAGGCTTTCACACCAAACAATTGTCTATTTCTCTGTGGGCACCTGCTGGGATGTCTTACAATTCAATTTAATTTTAATACTATCCAGAGCAGCCAAAGGTTAATGGCTAAGTCTCACAAACAGCTCCTTCTTCAGACACCAAACCCACTTATGAAAGTGAGATTTTCATCCCTAAAACAAAATACCTGAATTAATCAATTTGTAGAGAGAGAGATTTATTTTGGATCACAGTCTTGAAGGTTGTAGTTCATAATTACTTGGTCCTTTGCTTTGGGTCTGTGGCAAAGCAGCATATCCTGGCAGATGCACCTGGTGGAGCCTAACTTTTAACCTCATGACCTGGAAGCAAAAAGAGACAGGGGAAGGCAGGAGTCCCCAAATTCCTTTTAGGGGCACACCCCCAGTGATCTTAAGTACTTCCCATAAGGCTTCCCCTCCCAAAGATTATACCTCCTTCTGATAGCACCACCCTGGGGGACACCAAACCTTTAATGTGGGCTTTTATGGGACATTTGAGATCCAGACTATTGCAACCCTCCCCATGTTTCATAATTTGCTATAAAACTTGTTCTAGCTGTTGGGGTTGCATTTTAAAAGTTTGCCCTGAAATGAGGACACACAAAAAAATTGGACAAGTGGAAGCGTTTTCAGGTCTTTTAGTCCACAGGCATGAGTGTGGTCAAGTCCTTGATTTAGAGACCAGTTCTTTATTAACCCTTAAATATACTTTAGTTTCACTCTTTCTGCTCAGTGCACTGTCATTTTGTTTACTGCCTGGGAATGGTCACTGTTTTCTGTTCACTTGTCCTCCAGGTGCAGAAGGACTCAGGGTGGAGTTTGACCGGCAGTGCTCCACAGAAAGGCGCCATGACCCTCTCACAGTCATGGATGGTGTTAACAGGATTGTTTCCGTGCGGTCAGGTGAGGAAGGAAGGTTGATTGAGCAAGCAGACTATGCCTCTGTAAGTGGAACGATTAACCTTTGTAGGTCAAAATGCTGTTTCATTTGGTGGGAGCTTTGAGGAAGGCACAATAAATTGTTTAGCTGTGAAATATAGTAGGTTTTATTTTTTTCTTCCTAGTACTTTAAGTAAGACAATTATCCATGTGTTATATGCTTCTCACCACTGATGGGTAGAGGATTACTGAGTGACCAGCATGAGAACTGGCCCTTGTTGGGTCACACCCAAACCTCATCCAGACAGTTGGAGAAGGAGCCATAGTTGTCTGAGAGTGTCAGGGCTGGGCCTGTGTCAATATAGGTTGCCATTCTACAGAACTTTTAAAGGAATCTGGTTTAGTTTGTGGAGTGCTGAGTGCTGGTAGAGAGATGGCATCATGTGCTGTCCTTCTCTTTTCTGCTGGTGTGCTCTATGCGCTTGAGTGGGAGATACTGATCCCTCATTTTTAAATTGTCGGTATGGGATGTGTGTGTGTGTGTGTGTGTGTGTGTGTGTGTGTGTCTGTCTGTCTGTCTGTCTGTCTGACTGTCTGTCTTTTCAGACCTCTTCATCCTTCATCTTGAATAAGAGGTTGCAAATTTTCTCTGTAAAAGACCAAGTGGTAAGCATTTGAGGCTTTGTGGTCTGTCATGTACTTGCACACTGTATGTTGGTGAGTAGGTGGGCTGTGTCCCAGTAAAACTTTACTCATGTAATGTTACTTAAATCTCTGGTGAAAAGCCTTGGATGAAGTGTATAGTCATGATGACCATGAGTTTTTCTGATGAATGTCTTTCAGCACAGTTTTTGGTAATGTTGTTAGATAGCGTGGCAGGCTATTTCCATGCTGCTGCCAGATGGTCCTACATCACAAAGGTGCCTGGGTCTCCCTGGCTTTTCTGAGATGCCCCCACACATGCTCTCATTGGTAACATCCTAGGCCCTTGGCTGTGGCCAGGCTGCTCTGCTTCTTCCTTGTGATTGACCTTTTCTTGGCCTTCCTGAACTGTACATATGGACCTTTGGTGGGAAGATAGTTTCTTTCTCATGTTGTTTGGCTACCTGCCATCCTATTTGACCTTCCTCAGAAATGTGCCTGTGTCCTGACTTGGGCACATGCTGGCTGGCCCTGCAGGCCTCTCACATGCTACCCTAGTAATATGTGTGTGATCATTTTCCCTTTGGCTGGTAACTTCTGTCAGAATAGTGTCTGCCTGTCCTGAGTCTCTCCAGTACTTCGTTCAGGGGCTGAATAAGATCCTGTGGAAGGGCAGATGAATTTAAAAGCTATTTGCCAAGAGTGGTGTTATTTATGAACTTAAACTTGAAAAAGCATATCTTGGAGGATCCTGTTGGTCTTCTGACCTGATGTGAAGGATTTTTCTTTTTATCTAAGGAGTTTGTGTTGATTGGATGATGGAGTGAACCTAATCCCAGGGTGTGCTTTTTTTCCACCAGGCCGAGAGTGGTCTGACTGGTCCAGTGAGCTGCGCATACCAGGGGATGAACTGAAGTGGAAGTTTATCAGTGACGGGTCTGTGAATGGATGGGGCTGGCGCTTCACAGTCTATCCCATCATGCCAGCTGCAGGTAAGGGAGCTGCTATGGCTGTCAGTATTTGGTGACCAGATATGACTGTTATCCAGGTAATGTGGAACAACATATATCTTTCATTTAGTAATTTAGGGTCTGCCTTCTCCCACTGTGTTGTGAGCAGGTGCTGCCAAAAGTCCCACTGAGGCAAGGATCATCCCACAGAGAGCCATATTAGCTATTCCATTGTCATGGTACTAGCACTACATTTTTACACCATGTGGAAAGTAGTGCTTCTGGTTACATTTCTTAAAGCTATTGATTTCCAATTAACATGTAAAGGGCATAGTTCATGTGACCTAGACAGTGGTGTTGCAGGTACATCTTTCACTGCTGTGTTCCAAGTGGAATATCCCACCCTGTTAGTCAGAGTTGTCGGTGTCTCCTGCTTTATCACACATGGGGTCATTTACAGTGCTCCTTCACAGGCCCCAAGGACCTTCTTTCTGATCGCTGTGTCCTCTCCTGTCCATCCATGGACTTGGTGACCTGTCTCCTGGATTTCCGACTTAATCTTGCCTCCAACAGAAGCATTGTTCCTCGCCTTGCAGCCTCACTGGCAGCATGTGCACAGTTGAGTGCCTTAGGTAAATGAGCCTTCATAGTCATGTCTGTCTTACTGTTTGGAAGAAAATGGTCAAGTTCCTTATATTTCCTATTTACTCATTTCAGCTGCCAGCCACAGAATGTGGGCCCTTCAAAGATTAAGGAAGCTGCTTACAACAGAATTTGGGCAGTCAATTAACATAAACAGGCTACTTGGAGAAAATGATGGGGAAACCAGAGCTTTGGTATGGAGCTTTGTAATATGGTATCTAGACATGTGATCCTTTGGGAATAAAATATTGCTTAAATCATTTAAATTGTTGAAATGAGTTGGGAAATTTCATCTGAGCATGAGGAGGCCTTCACCATATCCAGATTTTCCCTTATATTGTTGGACTTTGATTTGTTAAAAAAAAAAAAAATCAATGTGTTAGCAGTTGTGTATATCAGGACTGTGTTTGGACTTTACAAGTGAGTCTGATTGGCAACTTGCTCTTTACTGTGCTGTGTGGGAGATTCCCTGTTGATCCTAATCATGCAAGAGCACAGGCACATTCTCCATGCCAGAAAAGGATGGTTCCCCAGGAGTGGCTGTTTTGAAACTGGGGCCAAACATTCTGAGATGAATGTTCACATTCCCCTTTTTTATTGTAGTGCTCATATACTTTTAGCTTTTAAGCTTCTTTTCTTACTTCAGCATTTATGGTTTTAAATTTGTGTGTGTGTGTGTGTGTGTGTGGTGCTCAGGGCCTTGTGCAAAAAGCTTTTTTTTTTTTTTTTTTTTTTTTTTTTTTGAAGTACCAGGGGTGCTAAACCACTGAGCCACATACCCATCCTTTTTTGTATATTTTATTTCGAGATAGTATCTTGCCGAGTTGCTTAGGGCCTTGCTAAGTTGCTGAAGCTGACTTTGAACTCATTATCCTCCCGCCTCAGTCTCCCAGCTGCTGGTATTACAGGTGTGCACCACTGTACCCGGCCAAATAAGCATTTTTTAATGGAGGAATAGCACCAATAAATGAAACCTTTGACATGAAGAAAACAAACTGATCTCTCTCCTGTGTTTTGGATTCCTGCAATAGAATCTCACTTTATTATTTTTAAGAGTTTTACAGGCAGTGCTCTTGCTGCTTTGGTGAAAGGCCTTCCAGAAGCTTTACAAAGGCAGTTTGAATATGAAGATCCTATTGTGAGAGGTGGAAAACAGCTGCTTCACAGCCCATTCTTTAAGGTGATAGTTAATTTATTTCTACAGTGATGGTAGAATACAGTGCTCTGTGTTACAGGCCTCTTTGAGGGCTGAAGTTGAATATGAAAAAAATTTCAAGAAATAATTATGTGTTCTAAGCCTTTATACCTTAACCCGTTGTCTAAATATATCATGCTTTGAGATACATGGGTTCTCTTGTTAATGTACCAGGGATATTGAAGCAGTTGTTGGATCTGAGGTCCCTGTGTATAAAGTGTTTTTCCAAGAACATTAGGAATAATTATATCACTGTTGAATTAATAAGGAGCTCCTCAAAAGTCTTCAGAAACCTTGGGAGGTGGCTGATGACAATCTTCTTACTGGTACATTGTGTTAGTAAACTAGAATGCTAGCCATATTTTTAAGCATCCTTGTGTTTTTTGTTTTTGTCTAATTTTTGGTGGCTCTAGGTCCTGGTAGCTCTTGCTTGTGACCTGGAACTAGATACTCTCCCTTGCTGTGCTGAGACACACAAATGGGCTTGGTTCCGAAGGTACTGTATGGCCTCCCGTGTTGCTGTGGCCCTGGACAAAAGAACACCATTGCCTCGTTTATTTCTTGATGAGGTATTGCACATTATTTTGGAATCACTTTTGTAATGCAAAACATTTTTTTAAAAAATTTAGCTGTAGTGTGAAAATACACACAAAAAAAAATTTCTCTTGACAAGAAATACCATAAAGAAAAGGTGAATATGAGTAAATGAACTGTGAATTTTAGTTAAAAGTTACTTTTAGTAAACTTAAATATGTAATTTTACTGCCTAGATGGTATTTAGTAGTTTAGACTTGATGTAATAATATTGATTTTACTTATTAAGTAGAAAATCACAATGTTAACATTGGCATTTCCTCATATTTCTGGGAAGCAATTCCTCTTGTTTTCTTAATATTTATTTGTTTTATTCTTTGGATAAGTGTTTAATTCATACTCTCATTATAATGTTGTCTAGGTGGCTAAGAAAATTCGTGAGTTAATGGCAGATAGTGAAAATATGGACATTCTCCATGAGAGCCACGACATTTTTAAAAGAGAGCAAGATGAACAACTTGTACAGTGGATGAACAGGTTATTATATCCAAAACAAGTAATGTTATGAGTGAAAGAGTTTTAAGTGCAATTCTTTCTTATGTCAAAAATTTTTTTTTCTTTTGTTACTGGGGATTGAACTCAGGGTAACTCAACCACTTAGCCACATCCACAGCCCTATTTTATATTTTATTTAGAGACAGGGTCTCACTGAGTTGCTTAGTGCCTTGCTTTTGCTGAGGCTGACTTTGAATTCGTGATCCTCCTGCCTCAGCCTCCAGAGCTGCTGGGATTACAGGCATGCACCACTGCATCCGGCTTAAATGTTCTTTTAATGTTTGTTGCAGGCGGCCAGATGACTGGACTCTTTCTGCTGGTGGCAGTGGAACTATTTATGGATGGGGACATAATCATAGGGGACAGCTTGGGGGCATTGAAGGTGCAAAAGTTAAAGTACCTACTCCATGTGAAGCACTTGCCACTCTCAGACCGGTACAATTAATTGGAGGAGAACAGACACTTTTTGCAGTGACAGCTGATGGAAAGGTGAAGATGCCTTTTTTGTGTCATACTGTCATTAAGTCTGAGGCAGTTATATCTAGGTGTATTATTTAGTTCTTGTATATGTAAGGCTCTATATTGAAATACTGTCTCAATATCTATAGTATTGCTATAAAGCAATTGCTAGAAGTAGTTGTATTCTAAATATAATCTTTAGATGTATTCTATAACTTCTTAATCTTTAAATTTTGAACTATATCATATATTCAAAAGTATAATTTTATTTGCATATCATTTATTTGATGTATTTTCTTGTTTGCTATTGTAATTGTTATCTTTTAAAAAATTTAAATCCTGTTGTAGTTGATATGTAGAAATGGTTATGTTAACATATTGATTTTATATCTAGTGACCTTATTCTTTTCTTTCTAGTGTATCTCAAGATTTTTTTTTTTTTTTGGTATTATAGAAAGCCCTACTCCATAAATGAATGTTGTTATTTTCTAGTTTATCTCTCTTTTGTTTATATTTTTCCTCTTGGGTGGAAAAAAGGGAGCTAGTCCTCCTGGTTGGGAATTGGAGTGTAATGTTGGGCATGTTCTTGAAGCAGTGTGATGGGATAATTCACACGTTCGTTATTCGTCAGATTAAGGAAGTCTCTGTTCATGAATGGATATTGATTTGTGTCAAACATTCTTTCTGCATGTAAAAAATTTCTCTTTTGTAGATGTTTTCTTCCTTCAGTGAATTAATATAGTGAATTGGATTGAGTTTTCTCATGTTAAACTTGGGGGTTTTCTGTATAAACCCAATTTAATCAGAAATTTTTTTTATACTTTTTCAGTTTGTGTTTGTGAGTATTTTGTTCAACATTCTTGGGAGGTTCATGTTACTGGGTGAGACTACTTTTCCTGTCTTACACACTCCTTGTCTGGCTTTGGTATTATATCAGGTGTCTGTTTAACTTAAACAACCAACCAACAAAAACCCACAGTCATCTTCTCACAGTTTTTCTGGGCTAAGACTCTGGAGGTGGCATAGCTTGGTTCCCTTGGCCCAGAGTCTCTGACCAGGCTGTAGTCATCTTAAGGTTGTACAAGGAAGGATTCAGTTTCTTGTGGACTGTTGGGCTGAGGCCTCAGTCCTTCATGAACTATTGGGAGAGCCACTCTCACTCAGGTCTTTGCCATGCGCTATAAAAGCCAGCTTCATCAGCATAAACAAGGGAGAATGTAGGAGTGAGCACCAGCAAGAAAAAGACTAGTAGCAAGATGGAAGTTTCAATTCAGTTAAGCAAATCACAGAAGTGATGCTTCATCATTCTTGCCTGATTCCGCTCAGAACTGTCTAGGTTCAGTCCACATTCAAGGAGAACACAGAGGGCATGCATGCCTGGAAGCAGGGACCATTGGGAACTGCTGCCACAGGAAATAGGGCAGGAGTAGCTTCAGAAAAAGGTTGAAGTATATTCCTTTCTTATTTGTTTTCTGGAAAATTATTTGTCTTTTAGTTGTTTCCTGGTTATTTATAATTTTTTAAAATTTTTATTCTTTTTAGTTACACTTGATAGTAGACTATATTTTGACATATTATACATACATGGAGTATAACTTCCCCTTCTTGTGGTTGAATATGATGTTTTCAGGTTATTTATAATCCAAAGTTAAATGGTATTTCTTTCTTCCTTCAAAACAGGATAAGAACTGATCCATTGTTATGCTCTGTTTTGGTTCTAATTACCCTCTCCCCTAGACATTGTTATTGTTGTTTTATGTAGATCATGCTTTTTTATGATGACCCAGGCCTTTGCTCACCATCATTTCTTATCCCTCAGACCTTATAATTGCTTTTCATCTACTTTATGAGTATCTTTTTCAGTTTTCCTTTAGTGAGTTTTTGTTGTTGTTGGTTAATTCTCTGTTTTTGTTTGTGTATTTGAACTTTTTTCCCCTCCTGTTTTCCAAGATAAGATTTTTACAAAAACGGAAGATGGGACTGATAGAGCCTGTGGGTCATAATTTGTCAACTCCTGTCTGGAGTATAAAATTTTCAGTTAATAATTTTGTTAGCATATTAAAATTTTATTCTTCTGTGTTTTGACTTTCATTGTTACTAATAGGATGTCAACAGTCAGGGTAACTTTTACACAAATTAAGGTAAGAAATTTTTTTCTGTGGCTTAATTTAAGATCTTTCTTTGGCAATGTATAGTTCTACTGTGATATATTTAGATATCAATTTCTCTTTTCTCCCATTCTTTTTTGTTTTGTGAGCAGTGTTTTTTTTTTGGGGGGGGGGAGGAGAGAAAGGTGCAGGTAGAGGGGGTTAGGAGATGTGAGGGATTGAAGCAGGGAAGGGAAATTTTCAAGAATTCTGGTAAATTTTCAGTTATTATATTTCCAAATATTGCTTCTCCTATATTTTCTGTGTGGTCTCTACCTGGAAGTGATTGCTGTTAGGGAGAGAAGGTATTTCCTTTATATCGTTTGATGCTTCTTTCATATTTCCTCTTCTTTTTTTCTTTCTTTGTCATATGCTGGATAGTTTCTTTAACTTGATCTTCTAGTTCTCTAATTTCTTTTTCCCATCTGTGTAATTTGCTGTTTAATATGTAGTTTCTAGAAGTTCTGCTTTGGGTTATTTTTTATCCTCTTAGTTCTTGAGCATATTTTTGAAGATTCCTCCCTCCATCTCTTTTTTAAGTTGTCCATGGATCTTTATTTTGTTTACTTACTTATATCAGGGCTGAGAATTGACACAGTGCCTCATACTTGCTAGGCAAGTGCTCTGCCACTGAGCCATAATCCCAGCCCTGAAGATTTTATTTCTTTAAATATAATATTAAACTATTGTTCTTCTGCTGGCTCTTAATTTTGGCACCTTCTTTCCTTCTTTATATGATGCAAATTTTTTAAAACTATGAGGTTATCGTTTTCCTTGGAAAATTTTGTATAGAAATTGAGTTTGTAATAATGCATCCAAAGAGAGTTTATAAACTTGGGACATTACCAACTTAACCTATTTTAAAATTAAATTTTTTACTAGAGGATTTTAGTCCATAGGTGTGAATTTAGAACAAAAAATCAACTTGAGGACTGGTTTTTGTGGGTATAAATTCTCAGGGCGGATTCTTCACCTTTCATTTAATGTTAAGAAAGGCAACTTTCTTTGTTGTTCTCTTGTTATTTCTCATTGATGGTCACACTGAGGGAGCAGCCCTGTGGAGTCTAAGGAATCTACAGTCTCCTTTGAGGTTGATGTGTAATTGATTTTACACATGGAGAATGTGCCTGTGCTCTTGCATGATTAGGATCAACAGGGACTCTCCCATACAGCACCCCCACACATCCTGTGCACTCAAGATCTTCAAAACCTTCCCTGGAGAAGCTGGCAGCTGGCTTGAGGGTGCATTTATCTACCTGAGTTTACAGTTTCCTTACTGTTGTATCAGTGTAGCAACACATTTGAAAAATGACTAAAACAGAATGAAACACCATGTAAATGCCTACATGCATTTGGAAATGTCAATCTGATCTTTCTTTCCCCCTAATTAATGATAAAGATGTTTTGTGTCCCAAAACAATTATTATTTATGTAGAGTGAAAAATGGTGTTTTTTCTTGTGTGATTTATATGCTGCCTTGCTGATATGTTAAAATATATTTATAATTTTTCTGTGGGATGTTTCCATGGGTTTATTTTTCAGAGATTAGCATATAGTAGATAATTAAACCTTTTTTGTTATACTAATGGTCTATATAAAAATGGAAAAGTTTCCATGGAGAAGCCCTTATTTTCAAAATATATTTTTTGTGAATTTGTGATTTCTAATAGTCAAGTTTTCTTTCATTATTAGAATTTTGATAGAGAATGTAGAAAGTTCTTAGACATTCTGGTTTTTTTTGTTTTGTTTTAATTACCTTTATTTTATTTCTTTATTTTTATGTGGTACTGAGGATCAAACCCAGTGCCTCACACATGTGAGACAAGTGCTCTACCACTGAGCTACAGCCCCAACCCCTGTGATTTTTTTTTTTAAATTTTAGTACTCTGGAAGCTGGGGTTGTGGCTCGGTGGCAGAGCGGTTGCTTATCATGTGTGAGGCATTGGGTTCTATTCTCAGCACCACATAAAAATAAGTTAGTAAAATAAAGTTATTTTGTCAATCCACAACTAAAAAATTTTTTTTTATATTTATTACTCTGTGGTAACAATGGCTAGAGCTCTGATTAGGTTTGTTAATCTTTAAATCTAGGTGAAAATCTAATGTTGCTATTACTCTTTGTTTCCTTAGCTCTATGCCACTGGCTATGGTGCTGGTGGCAGACTAGGAATTGGAGGGACAGAGTCAGTGTCTACCCCAACATTGCTGGAGTCCATTCAGCACGTGTTTATTAAGAAGGTGGCTGTGAACTCAGGAGGAAAACACTGCCTTGCCCTCTCTTCAGAAGGAGAAGTTTACTCTTGGGGTGAGGCAGAAGATGGGAAGTTAGGGCATGGCAACAGAAGGTATTATGTGAAAACATCATTTTCAATGATATGTTTTCCTTTGTTTCAATGCTGGCACAGTATATTGGCACTTTGTTTTTCAAAACAACATTTACAACAGTCTGTTCAAATTAAATAGTGACTCATTTGGCAGAAATAGGTAGGTTCACGTGCCAACCTGTGGGCTTACCTATAACACTACTTTATTGGGAGAAAAACAAATCAGTTCTGAATTTTTGATTTATAATTACAAAGCCTCTTTTTGTCCTTCTTCTCCAAGTCATTCACTGAGTCACATTTGGCATTTTATGTGTTACACTATACTAAAACTGTAAACACAGAGGAAATGGCAGGAATTTGAGGGGGAAGGACATGCAAATGACAGTGGTTTTTAAACAGAAGAACCAAACTCATTCATTTTTACAAATTAATGGCGGCTACTAGCCAAATTGGAATAACATCAGTCTTCCTTATCCTAGAAATTACTAAAATGCTGTAAAAATGTACAAAACAATCACCCTAAAGACACTGGAAATTGACAAAGCATAGTGTTTCCTGAAAATGGGAAACAAACAAGGCCAGTTCTAAAAATTTCCTCAGTGAACTGTCTATAAAAGGTTTGCAGGATGTGGCACAGGAAGGAGGACAAGTCCAGGCACTAGCTTGAAGACATCCTTAGTGTGGAGGAGGCAGAACTGAAGTCCAGGGAAGCTAAGACATGTGAGGATGCAGAGTACCAGGAAGGAGAGAAGTGTACAAAGAGAGAACTCCAGGGACCTGCAGAGCTGAATACAGCAATCACATGTGTATGAGGCCAAGGAACAACCACCCAAAAAGGATTAGAAGAAAGAGTTCCCAGAGTTCTCCCATGAGGCAGAGGATAGAACTCCCAGAAACCTCATAATTCAAAGGGCATTGATTAAAATATTTAAAATGATGTTGTCAAATAAATAGTAGGGGGAAAATTAATCATGTACTACTTGTAGCTATTATCTTATCACCAAAACTTAAAAGTAAGACCTGAGATGATTAAACCATTTGTAAGTAATTTAACATATAATTTGTTTTTATGAATTAAAAACAAATCCCTTACCATGGTAAACTTCATAATGTCCTGTATCTACTCAAAAATTACCAGGCATACAAAAGAGCAGGAATATAAATACAACTCATATGAGGAGAAAAACCATTCAGTTAAAATGGATCTAGACACGGCATGGTGATAGAATTGCTCCATAAGAACCTTATTAAAGCAATTATTTTAACCAAATGCCATATCTTCAAGAAGGTAAAGAAACTTGAATGTTAGGTAGAGCCTGAAAGATATGTACATGCCCAAATCAAATGCCTAAGGATGAAAAATGTAATGTCAGAGATATAAAGTACATTGAATGGAATTAATGGCAGATTAGACATTGTAGAAGAAAAGGTCAGTATACTCAAAAGTAGAAACTGTCCAGGGTGAAACAGGAAAAAAAAAAAAAAAGAATATTCAGACGAACAGAACACTAGCAAACAATGGAACAACTTCAAATGGCCTAATACATTCACAATTGATGGGTATTTGGAAGAAACAATGGAGTTTTGTGAAATCATAAAACAGAATTTTAAAAAAGGCAGAAAAAGAGGGAAAATTCAACAAAGAACAGATGGGACAAATAGAAAACAAATAGCAAGATGTGGACCTAAACTCAAAAATATTGATAATCACATCAAATGAAATTGTCTGAATACCTTAATTAGAAGTCAGAGATGATCAAAATGGAAAATACAAGCAAGATCAAACAAATGCTCTTTATAGTGATCCCACCTTAAATATAGATATATAAATAGACTAAAATTAAAAGGATGGGAAAATATATCTTGCTAAAACTAATGAAAAGAAACTGGAATGCCTATATTTATATCATGCAAAGTAGATTTTACAGCAAATAATATTGGTAGGGATTAAAAGAGTAATTACTTAATGATGAAGTAAGTAGTTTATCAAGAGGACATAATCAAACAAATATTAATTCCATATACCTAATAATAGACATGTCAAATAAATAAAATGAAAAAAAAAATACTAGAACCCCAAGGAAATATAGACAAACCCACAATTGCAGTCAGAGATTTTTAATGCCCCTTTTTATAATTGGTAAAATAAGCAAATAAAAAAAATCAGTAAGGATAGAATATTTGAATCATTGTCAACTAACTTGACCTAACTCACATTTTTAGAACACTGTACTAGGCAGAAGTACATTCTTTTCATGTGCACATATACTTACCATTATAGACTATGATTTGGACCATAAAACAAATCTTATGCATCCAAAGGATTCAAGATACACAAAGTATATTCTTTGTCCACAAGGAATTACATTAGAAATTATCAACACGTCTCTAGAAAAATTTCCCCAATATTTAGAAAGTAAATAAAACATTTCTAAATAACTGATGGGTCAAAGAATGAATCAGAAAATAAATTAGAAGTAATTTTGAGCAGAGTGGAAGTTAAAACAGCATATCAAAATGTATGAGATCTAGAAAAAGCAGTACTTAAAAGGAAACTTTTAGCATGAAATACATATTTTAAAAGTGAAAAGTGCTCTTAAAACAATGACTATAGCATCTACATGTAGATACTACAGTAAGAAGGACAGATACAGGCTAAAGTAAGCAGAAGAGGGGGAATAAGAAAATCAGAACAGAAACTCATGACCCCCCCCCMCACACACACACACAAAATGGGGAAAATCATGAGAAACAAAAACTGGTTCTTTGAGGTAAATATAATCAATAAAACCTCTATTTTGACTCATAAAAAAGAAATTATCAATTATAGGAACATTAAAGGTTTTTTTTTTTTTTTTTTTTTTTTTTTGTACCAGGGAAATGAACTCAGGGGCATTCAACCACCAAGTCATATCCTCAGCCCTATTTTGTATTTTATTCAGAGACAGGGTCTCACCGAATTATTAGCACCTCACCCTTGCTGAGGCTAGCTTTGAACTCATGATCCTCCTGCCTCAAGTTTCCAGAGCCACTGGGATTACAGGTGTATGCCACTACACCCAGCAGGAATGAAGGAGTTTTGATCACCCTAAGTGTGCAGATGTTAAAAGATTTAAAAGATCATCAATACAAGGAAAAACTTGTATTGGCTTTTAAAAGTCTTGGCTTTTTTAGAAGAGTTGAACAAATTCCTCAAAAGTCACATATTCCCCAGAAAATGAATTTACTGTAGACAAGTTTCCAGCACAAATCACTCGTGATTTTTAACCTCTAACGTAGATAATTCCATTTCTTCTTAAACATTTTCAGAAAATTGAAAAGGAAGGAATTCTCTCCAGTAGCTTTTATCCAAACCAGATCCAAACATTATTAGGAAGATATAGACCAATATCCCTCATGAACGTAGATGTAGAAATTCATGTTTTAAGAAATCAAATTCAAAAAAATATACAAAAAAGATAATACAATGTGACCATGTTGAATTTATGCCAGAAATTGCAAGTTGGTTTAACTTTGGAACAGTCTATATAATAAAGAAGAAAACCACGTGATAATCTCAGTAGATGAAGGAGGGAAGAGCATTTGGCAAATTCCAACATCCATTTCTAGTAAAAACTTCCAGCAATCTAGGAGTAAAAGGTCCTTTTCCTTAACCTGATGAAAGGCATCTGTGTTAAACCTGCATGGTACTTAGTGATGACAGACTGTAACACACTGCCCCCTCAGGATCGGATAAGGATGTCTGCTGTCACCACTTCTTTCCATCATTTGCTGCAGATTTAGCAAATGCAGTTCAGCAATGTGAAGAAACAAAAGGCATTCAGATTGGGAAGAGAATTAAAGCTGTATTTGTTTGCAGATAGCATTATTTATGCAGGGAATCTGATGTGTCTAGGAAAAAGCTAGCAGAAGTAATAAGTGATGTTAACATTGTTACAAGATAGAATACGCATAAATAAGCCATCATCTATACACATTAGTGTAATCAGAAAATGAAATTAATAAAAAAACAAACACCATCTACAATACTATTCTCTCAAAATCAAAATATTCAGGGATAAATCTGACCAAAAAAATGTGGATTACCTACAGACAGAAAACTATAAAATACTAGTAAAGATTTTTTTTTAAGGTTTAGATATTTTTATTAACATTTAAAAAATTTTTTAAAAATGTTTTTTTTTTTTTTTTTAAACTGGGAATTGAACCCAGAGGGTACTGAGCCACATCATCCTGGCCCATTTTTTTTATATCTTTTTATCTTGGGACAGGGTCTCACTAAGTTGGTTAGGGCTTTGCTAAATTGCTGAGGCTGGCCTTGAACTTGTGATCCTCCCACCTCAGCCTCCTGAGTCTCTGGGATTACATATGTGAAGACCTAAAATAATGTGCAAATTAATATTCAGTACCTTCAAAATTTATATGAAAATAGGAAAGGACTAGAAGAGTCAAACTTTGAAAAGGAGGAATAAAGTTAGAAGACTTGTATTGTCTGATTTCAACCCTTGTTTTAAAGCTGAGATAACCAAGGCAATATAGTATTAGTATAAAGAAGAAAGAAATATAGTAGAGGAGAAGAATGGGGACGAGGTGAGTTTGAGAAAAAATGATACTTCTCAGTTTCTGCTATACCACTTATAAAAGTACAAAAGCAATTCACTGAAGAAAAATTGTTTTTTCCACAATTGTTTTGAATAACTGGATTACCTTATAGTGAGAAATGAACTTAAATTTATACTGTACTATATCCAAACATTAATTCAGAGTGAATCATGAAAGGAAGCTTTTGTGATCTTAGATCAAAGATTTTTTCAGATAGAACTCGAAGACATGATTTGTTGAAGAAAATGAATTAGTCATCAAGGTAAAATATAAATCTGAAAACATGATAAATTGAACTTTGTAAAAATTTTGAACTGTTCTTTTAAAAACATTATGAAGAGACTAAAACGATCTGCCACATGCTGGGAAAAGGTATTTATAGTCATTTAATCTGACTGAGGTCTGATAGCCAAAATATATAAAGAGCCTTCAGAACTTAATAAGAAAACATGGTAGCCCGGCTTGTCACCTTACAGGCTGGTGATAGTCATACTTTAAAATTCCTTAAATGGATTGTTGATTTATATCAGGGTGGGCAAACTATTTCAAGTGACGGCCTGGGTAGTAAATATTTTAGGCTTTGCATATGATTGTTTTTTAAAGTGGCATTTAAAAAATATAAAACTTATTCTCAGCTCATATGCATTTTAAAAATATAGCCCAGTGTGGGCAGTAGCTTCCCAACCCCTGATTTAGAACTGTGAAAGTTATATTCTCTGGCATTCAGGTTTCCTAAGGGAGCTAGGTAGGACATTATGCAATTTTGAGTTCAGATCTGAATGATTCTTCTTGATTTAATAATAACTTTTTTTGAGAGTTGCACATTGACTAAATGAGCAGGAAACAAAAAAATTACATAGTATTTAATAAACTTTAAAATATTTAAGTGTAGAAGTTCATTTGTTATATTTGATGTCTTTTCTTGCAGTCCATGTGACCGCCCTCGTGTCATTGAGTCTTTAAGAGGAATTGAAGTGGTTGATGTCGCTGCTGGTGGAGCCCATAGTGCCTGTGTCACAGCAGCCGGAGACCTCTACACATGGGGCAAAGGCCGGTATGGCCGCCTGGGGCACAGCGACAGTGAGGATCAGTTAAAGCCAAAGCTGGTGAGAAGGTGCCACCTTCAAAAGCCCAGACCTAAGCCCAGTGGATGCTTGTGCTATAATGTTGAAGTGAGATGCAGCAGTTTGCCATCGGTGGATGGGGGTAGTTTGCCCTTGTCATTATAGTTTTAAAATGTCAGAAATATTTCCCATTCTATTTTCTTTTCATTTTAGTGTCGGCGATCATAGGCTCACTATTTATAACTAGGTTTTCTTTGTGATGGAAATAAAAAAATCTTGATTTTGTATTCATATCATGAGCCATTTAAACAGAGTGGTATTTGAAATATTCTTATACAGTTATACAGTTGATTTTGAACAACAGTGGTTTGAACTGTCTGGGTCCATTTATATTCAGAATTATTTTTTTGGAGTTTTTTGAGAATTTGAAAAAACTAAGACAAACTGGGTAGCTTAGAAATATAAAAAAAAGTTAAGGAATGAGTGTGTAATGAATGCACAAAGTATATGAAGATAACAGTCTATTTTATTATTTACTACCATAAAACATACACAAATCTATTATAAAAAGGTAAAATTTAGGGCTGGGAGTGTAGCTTGGTGATAGCAAAGCCCTTAAGTCCGTCCCCAGCACTGCAAAAAAAAAAAAAAAAGTTTAAATTTATCCTAACTTATGCATACAAATACTTATAGATAATACATGGCACCATTGCAGGTTGAAAGAAATATAAATGAACACAAGGTGCAATATTAAACATAACTGTTTAAAATTAACTATAGTACATTGTATTATTATGATAATGACATGACCACCTATTCTTGCTAATATCGTAAGCTCCAGTATTGTAGGTATCTGTTTAAAACGCCACATGACACTGTTCATCTCCATGTGATCAGTTCATTTCTATTTTATTTATTTTTTATTTGTAGTGCTGGGGGTTGAACTCAGGCTCTCAATGCATGCTAGACACATGATCTACCATAGAACTACATTCCTAGTTCTGCTTATCTCTTCTTGTAATTCCTATCATAGTAAAAAGTGATATCGTTTAGTTTTTGTGTATTTTCTGCCATTTATAATACATTAACATACAAAATATATATTAAATGACTGTGTTACAGAAAGACTTCCAGTCAGTAGCAGGGTATTAGTAGTTAAGCTTTTGGGGAGTAAAAAGTTACATGTGGATTTTTAACTGTTGGGGCATTGCACCTCTAAACCCCATGTTGTTTTAGAGTCAACTGTAAAGATAAATATTAATTGGCATCTAGCAAAATGCTTTGGCTTCTAGAAGGCCCACTGTCTTTGTAGTGATACAAAGGGATGAATGAATAGTTTTCATGGCGGAGCAGGATTGGCTCATTGGGACCCTGAGACCTGCTTCCTACAGTTTAGATTAGTATAGTTCACATAAAGGAAGGTGTTTTCTGTTTTATCTCATAGGATTATTAAAATTATAAAGGCTTAAAATAAGCATTCATGCAAAAAAGAATGGCAGCACTGTAAAGCTTTTCCTTTGATAAATCTTCATTGTGTATGGTCAGCTAACTGAAGGTTTTTTTTTTCCCCCTGAAGGTGGAGGCACTGCAGGGCCACCGTGTGGTGGACATTGCCTGTGGCAGCGGTGATGCCCAGACCCTCTGCCTCACCGACGATGATACTGTCTGGTCCTGGGGGGATGGGGACTATGGCAAGCTTGGCAGAGGAGGCAGTGATGGCTGCAAAGTGCCCATGAAGGTATTTCCTGTTTGAATAGCCTCAGATTCACCATTGCTATCCTCCTCTGTGGACTTCTCAGGGGCATTTTAACCTCAACTTTACCTTCTTTGCAAAAAATATTTGGTAATCAAGTAAAATGTGAGTGAAGGGCCCAAAGGCATAAGGTATTTTAAGTGCTTTTTTTGCCTTTTTGGGGAATGGATGTAATCCAGATTTTACAGAGCCTCTGATTTTATTTACTACATAGGCCTGTTGGAGGAATAGAGTAACATATTGTTCCCAATCACTTCAGTTTACAGTGGTAGGCAGATACCATGTCACACACTGTGGGATGCACTAGAACTTAAGGGCAGGTACTCTGAGAGAAGCCCCATGAGGAGGCTGTCTGGCACCCGAGTCTTTAGGCCTGGGCTTAGGTCCCTTGCATTGCTCCACATGAGCTGAGGCATTTTCTTAACTTTGCCAGTCTGACTTGACATTGTGAATGGGTGTTTTGGTAGAGGTTAAATGAGTCGATGTGTTTAGATCGTGTACTTACCACTCTGCAGCCTGCAGTGCCCGAGCACTGCGGTGTAGTAGAGCTGCTGTGCATGAGTGCTGTGAGAAGAAACTGGAACCTCTCTGTGCCCAGTGTCCTCTCTTGCTGGGCTTGGAGAATGCAGGTGTGAAATAGAACCATATTATATGCAGTTGCCCCGGAGCTCTGACCAGGTGGCATGCACCAGGCACCCCTGAGCTGTGTTGGTGGTGGGGGCAACTGTGTAACTTTTCTTTCCAGAGTTGTGCTGCCCAATATAGTAGCTGTTGGTTACATTTGACTGTTTATGTTTAAATGTAAATCAATTTAAATTAAATAAAAATTAAAATTCACTCCCTTAGTTACAATGATATGCTTAGTACCTATAAGTGGCTCAGGGTGGCCTCCCTTTCCATTATCACTAGCACTTTGTCCAGTATAGGTGTACGGATATTTTAGTCACATTATAGGTTACAAAGGTTTCCACAATGTGAAAAAAAGGTCTGTTGTGGACTTTCCTGATTAAAGAAGGTTTTATACACAGACTTTACACCATCAAGGATTAGAGGGGCTAGAGGAGGAGATCACTAATGCCAATGTGTCAGGGAGGGAGGCAGGGGAAGATTAGTTAAGATAATAAATTTTTAATTAATTTAAATTTAAAATTAAATATGGGAATGTAAGTATGAGAACACTCATAGAGACAATAAGGAGCAGGGGGTAAGGAGTTTGCTGGGTAAGGAGAAGTGATAACAGGTAAATGGGCTCCACAGAGACCCTTCCTTGTTGGATGTGGTGAATTGGGGCCCCTTTCAGGCAGGATTGCATGACCAAGAGCATGTTAATAAATGGACCCAGACAGATGGGCAGGTCCCATTTGCTCTTGGTCATCTGTCTTGCTGACTGTTTCTTGCTCTCTGAATCTCAGGTTTTGAGAGAGTGTTGGAAGGAGGTAAGTAGATACATAGGGGTTGCTGAGGAGGGTGCCTCCATGCCAATTGAAATATCTTCCTTTTTGGTGACATGCATTGGGTCCCATTTTGCTCTGTGTTGGCATGTCTGCAGCCACTCAGATGCTTCTGCTCACTTCCTGGCAGTACTTTGAGTAAGTAGAGTATGATTTTAAGTTGTGTTAAATATTCTAAACAGGAGTGGATATTCAGAGTTCTTCTTAGACTTAGTTCAGTCTCAGTGTGGTTGCAACAACTGCTGTAGGGCCATTGATGGAAGGTGTCTAATTGGACCTTTTTCCTTTCTAGATTGATTCTCTTACTGGCCTTGGAGTGATTAAAGTAGAATGTGGATCCCAGTTTTCTGTCGCCCTTACCAAATCTGGAGCTGTTTATACTTGGTATGCAAGATTCTGTTGATTCTAATCAAAATCAGATCAGACTTTTAATTAAAGCTGTGTTAACTATCTCTTCATACAGTAGAATGTAACTTCTATGGCAGGCTTTTTTTTTTTTTTTCCAACCTGGAATACAGAGCTTGCACCAGAAGGATGGCAGGTGGTAAATGAGATAACTTTTTCTTAGTAAATTCTGTGCTTCCTTTGTGTGCAGGGGCAAAGGAGATTATCACAGGCTGGGCCATGGATCTGATGACCATGTTCGAAGACCTCGGCAGGTCCAAGGGCTGCAGGGGAAGAAAGTCATTGCTATTGCCACTGGCTCTCTGCACTGTGTGTGCTGCACAGAGGATGGTAGGTTTGAGGCCCAATGCTTCAGAACTGAGGCCTATAAATCTGAGAGAGCAGCATAGGAACAACATGTGCTGGAAAAGGGAGGAGTGGTGCCAGAGAATTATGCTGTGTCCTGAGTGTCTATTAGCCCCTGGTGTTGCATCTTTGAATATTTTATGTTATGAGGCTGAACAGGCAAGAGCTAACCAAGCTGGCCTGGGATGGTTCCCAGCTAGGAACATGGATCTCAGGAGAGCTCCCCATTCTCTAGATAGTGTGTATGGCTCACTGGACCTGAATTGTTTGCATATAAGCAATGTGGTCTGTACTGAACCCTACTTTCTTCTGAAATCTGGAGCTTGGTATGTGCCAGGCAGAAGGGTAGCTGTGTGATCAGCCCCAGTGAAAACCCTCAGTGTTGAGTCTCTGATGAGCTTCCCTGGTAGATAGCATTTCACACTTGTCTTCACACCTTTTTACTGTGGGAATTAAACTTCTCTTGTGTGAGTTCACTGGGAGACGACTCTGGCAGCTTGTGCCAGATTTTCCCTGGCCTTTCCCCTAGGTGTCTTTTTCTTTCGCCTGATTTTACTGTATCCTTTCACTGTAATAAGTGATAGCTGAGTGCAACTGCATGCTGAGTCTTGTGAGTCTTCCTAGTGTATCACAGAACATGGGGTGGTCTTAGGGATTCTGATACAATGGCAAAAGGGACTTTCCAGATAGAATTAAGGTCACAAATCAGCCAACTTTGCAATATGGAAATTATTCTGGTTCATGGGTGGGCCCAAAGTAAATACCTGGCACATTCAAATCAGTAAAGGAGGCTGAAGAGTTGGTTGAGATGTGACTAGAGAGGTGCAGAAGTTTTCAAAGCATGTGATGCTCATGTCCTGCTGTTGTTGGCTATCAAGACAGAGGAAGGGGCCAGAAAATGGGGTGGCTTCTGGAGGCTGGGCCATCTTTCAGTGAAAACCAACAAAGAAGCTGGACCTCAGTCCTTTGAACTGAATTCTGCCAACAACCTGAGGAACAAAGGAACTCCCTGAGGGCCTCCATACATGAGACCCATATCGGACTTCTGATCTGTAGGAGTAAAAGCTGTTAAGTGTGTGTTGTTTAAGCCAGAAAGGTATGTGATTTGCCATAGCAGCAATGGAAAACTTCAGCTTTCAGAAGACAGCCATTCTCCAAATTGTGCTCCATTTTAAAGCCTTTGGTGAATTACATAAACATGTACCAAGTAATCATTTCATTGGTGGAAGAGTTTTATATATGAATAAGCAAATTTTATGGTTTGTGGTAGAATGGCATCGTAGTTCTTGATGAAGAACTAAAACACTATTGTTTGATTAATTTTAATTATTTTAAATTTTGAGACAAATTATAGAGAATAGTTAGAAGCACCTTACCAAGAACTTTTGTATCCTGAATCATGTGATTTAGTTGCTGTCCAGGTGCCTCCACCCTGAACATTGAGTGTGTATTTCCAACAGTTAGGGACATCGTGTCACATGATCTCAACATGGCTGTCCAGCCAGAATATCCATCCTTGTCCTTATTCCACCTGGTACTTATTCCTGTTCACAGTACATCATGTGTTATAGTGCCCTGTCACCTTCATATCATCCGTCTTCTGTGACACTTCCTCAGTTGTCCTTGGCATCGTACTCTAATGCTTCCTCAATCTTGCTGAACTTTTTGAACCTTTACACTTTGGAAGGCTAATTTGTAGCTTGTTTTCAATTTGGGCTTATACGATTTTTCTTCAGTAGCTTCAAGTTATGTATTTTTCATCTTCTTAATTCATCCTTTCAGGTGACTTACAGTTTCTCTTTGTGCTGTCACCAGTGATACTAATTTCAACCAGTTGCTTAAGTTAATAGTGTCTGCCAGACTTTCCATCATGAACATCTTTTGTAGTTATTAGATATTTGGGCAGAGTATTCTGAATCTATTTATATATTCCTTTTTTCATCCAACTTTTAGTTTACTCATTTATTTATATCCCTGTAAGACTCAGTTTCCTGATTTATTCACTAGGATGTATATGACCTATTATAATTATATGGTGCTCAAATTGTGCCTTATTTGGCTGGCTTTATCTCTATCCAACTTGTCTCTATCTTTGAGTATACTCTTCCTCTGGCGTAGCGTGATACTCTAGCCTCATCCTGTACACTCTCTGACCCACAGCTAGAGTTGGCCATTTCCCCCAAGGAGCCTTGGTGTCTTTAGAGGAGAAAGAAAGTATTGAGAAGATCCAGGTGATAAGTGTGCTTATTGTTATTGTGTGTGTGAATTATTTTGTGTCTATTTCTGTATTTATACATGTATGTTGAGAACCATGAATTTACCCTAGTATCCTTTTCAGGACCATCAGTTTTTTCCTAGTTTCTCTTTTCACATTTATATTTCTTCCCCTTTTGGTAATAAATCTAGTTCCATTATCCCAAATATAATGGTTTGGTTACTCCTTTATGTGTCCCTTCACCTCATTCTGGGCATCTCCACATGTAAATACATCAAGCTGACCTCCACCTGGCTACTCCCTTGTGTGGAAGCCTCCTCACCTTCAAACTCGATAACCCTTACACCTGTTCTTTGTGACTGTGAGGAACATTCTCCTTATCTTGTCGGGCTTGGACACCCACCAAGTGGCTTTAGACTGAAGTATTGAGAGTGGGAAGGGGCAGCACACAAGCACATTGCTGTCAACAGCATAGGCACCACTCCTTATAGAGTGCTGCCTTCAGCTGCATGACAACCTGAGGAGGCTTTGTGGATTTGACAAGGCTCCTCAGAACATAAACCTCCATTTCTGTCCACGTCACCAGGGATCTTATCCTTAGAATATTTTTATGGTAGTGTTCATGATTGGGGTCCAACATGGTAAACTGAAAAGAATAATGATCTCATGCATGATGATGACTCTTCTGTCCAGGATCTGAGTAACTATTGAAAGTTATTTTAACATATGGATTTTGTTCTCCTAAAAACTGACTTTCCCCTCTCTTTTATTTTTTTAAAAAATGTTTTTTTTTAGTTGTAGATGAACACAATACCTTTATTTTATTTATTTGTTTTTATTTTATTTGTTTTATTTGAGGATCAAACCTAGTGCCTCACACATGCTGGGCAAGTGCTTCCCCACTGAGCCATAATCCCAGCCTCCCTATTCCATTTTACATGGAAGAGCACTTTGGGTTATCAGGGTTATTACCATCTGTTTAATGTAATTTGTTCAGATTGAGAACTGCTACAGTTATTGTTCAGTACAGAGTAACCATCTATATATTGGATCATGCATGTGCAGCCACACTTACTACTTTTGTGAACTAATGAACCCACGATATTGGATCTTTTAAGACCACAGTCTTGTATGCCTCAGAAAACACATGTTGACATCAGAGACTATGGAGAGTCTCAGGAAGTATGCTTGCCTCTTGGGATGCATGACTAGAGTGTGTTCACATCTAGGTCACATGTGAAGTTGATATTCAGAGAAGTGACCATCAACAGTGAAATGAAGGGCAGCAAAAGCTGACAATGTGATGGGAAGACATTGGCAGTTGTGCATTCACTGGTCATGGCATCCAACTTCTTACTGTAAATTCACTTCATTTAGGTGAAGTTTATACATGGGGTGACAATGATGAGGGACAACTAGGAGATGGAACAACAAATGCCATTCAGAGACCTCGGTTGGTAGCTGCCCTTCAGGGTAAGAAGGTCAACCGCGTGGCCTGCGGCTCAGCGCACACACTTGCCTGGTCGACCAGCAAGCCTGCCAGTGCTGGCAAGCTCCCTGCACAGGTCAGTGCTGCTTGGGTAGGTGGGTAAGGAGGTGATCATGTTGTGACAGTTACCACCCATATATTGGATCATGCATGTGCAGCCACACATGCTTCATACTTGCAGAACCACATATTTACAGAGATAATTCATAATGTTGCAAATTAGTGATTTTAAAACCCATCAACATGTTGCCTTCTTTATTTTATAAAGTATGTGAAATGATTCTGATAGTACATGCCTCACATGTTTCTTAGTAAATATAGTGTATTATTCCAGAAGTAACACAGTGAGGTTTTGCAAACTAAACTCAAATCACAGTGCTTCCTTTTTTTAGAAGGGGGTGGATTTTCAGGATTCTTTTATAAACTGTGGCTTTTCTGTGTCTTTGACATCTAAGTTGACTTAACACAGTCTCAATGTTTTTAGGTCCCCATGGAATACAATCATTTGCAGGAGATTCCCATAATTGCCCTGAGAAATCGACTGCTGCTGCTGCATCACATCTCAGAGCTCTTCTGCCCCTGCATCCCCATGTTTGACCTGGAGGGCTCACTTGACGAAACTGGACTTGGGCCTTCTGTTGGGTTTGACACACTACGAGGGATCCTAATATCCCAGGGAAAGGTACTTTTGTAGAAATCTGAGGCATAAGTGATACTGATATCTTCAATAAATTTAACTCAACAAAATTCCCTAAGCTGGGAATGTTGACTATAGAATTCAGCTCATTCAGCAAGTGTTCCCTAAGTGTTCACTATGCGCCAACCTGTGTTTTGGGTTATATTACATTAGAATGTATCAATGAGAAACCAGATTCATTTCATTTGAAGTGTGTACTCAAAATAGTATAGTTGTATTTTCCCCTTAGAATCTCTTCCTCCCCCTCACTCTCTGGATGGTAGTGTCGGGTTCATACAACTGATCCTTTGTTGGTGTGTTTTCTCTGCCTGTTGGGCCTTGAGGCTTCCTATCCCCATTGACACAGGAAACAGAAATAATGAGGTAATCTCTTCTCTCAGGGACATCCAGCAGAGGGCGCATAGAAGATCAGATAGCTTAGATAGCCACTTTGTGTAGATAGCCACTTTGTGCTGGAATCCGTAAGGTAGAGATTCTTTGCTGAATGGTCATTGAATAGGAAAGAGTAAAATCAGGAATGAGGGTATCTGAAAGTCTCCAGGCAGGTTTTGATCCCTTGACATTTTTAATGATTAGAGATTCCTAGAAATGGAATGCCCAAGCACACACTTTTAAATCAACTGAGGTAGGAGGATTGCAAGTTCAAAGCCAGTCTCAGCAACTTAGCGAGACCCTGTCTCAAAATTAAAAAAAAAAAAAAAAGGGATAGGGATGTGGCTCAGTGGTTAAGAGCCTCTGGGTTCAATCCCCAGTACCAAAAAAAAAAAAAAAAAAAAAGAAAGAAAGAAAGAAGAAATGGAATGCCTGATTCAGAGGTTAAAGGGTCCCCATTCTGGAAGTTGTCAAGTTTCTGACAAGCAACTTGATGAGATATCTAGAAGGGGCTCTTTATTATATAGTTAGGGAATTGTTGTGTAAGCATAGGTGAGTTGAGCATCCCTCTAATCCTGAAGAGTCTGTGATTCTTTGATTTATATATATATATATATATATATATATATATATATATATATATATATATATATTTTATCAAAGGGCGTGATCTATTCTGAAGTATAATAATATTCATTTGTTTTGGAGTTCTTCTCCAAACAGATTATTTGTTTAGGGTTGGCTTTGTTTCCACTTGGCCAGAACAATTTCTGCTGAACAAGGTGGGTGCATGCACTGTACTTTCATGTGTACCTGAAGGTGCTGAGTGGTAAGGGTTGTGATGAAGGGTAAGATCTTCTGTCTGTTGATGGGAGCAGGAAGAAATTTGTGGCAGGTAAAATTGATATGAAACTTGAATTTCAACCACTTTTTAGCAATAAAAAGTAGCAAAGATGATTACTTTCCCCTTTACTTTGTTTTAACCCTCAAAGTTAATAGGAGAAAAGCCCTTCCTCATGGGAAGGGAAGAAAAGCGAGAGACAGGACATCCCCACATGGGATAGTGAGTCTCCCCTAGAGTGAATGTCCTGCAGCAGGTTCCCAGCTGAGGTCAGAGTGAGTGGGAACAGCACAGGCAATGGCACCCAGGCTCCTATGCTGAGGCAGTAGCAGTGGGAGGGAACATGTGAGTGGCCTAACCTGGAAAGGTTTGAGGTGGTGGTGTCATAGACTGTGGAGAGGTAGGAGGTCTTACTTTCTCCCATTCAAGGCAGCAAAGATGGTGGTACAGAAGGAATGGGTGGCAGTGGGTGATTCAAAGCAGGGGAATACTCCCAGAAGGAGGAACTGCCCCGGGTGTGTTTGGGACACACAGGAGAGCAGGTGGAGGGGGATGCTTCCCCAACACCTCTTTGGATCTCTTCCTATGTTTRATTGTCTCCTGGGGCCACTTATGACCCCACCTTCTACCTTCAGGGATTGGAGTTCTCAGGCTCAGGATCTGCTAGGGGCCCCCTGTGCTCCTACAGTGCCCCTCACTGTGTATGATGGCACTGTCTTCCACATGGCAAAGAGGGCCAGGACCCCTCACCTGAATGATCTTGTCTATTTGACTGTCCCCCAAGTCCCCTTCCTTCCTTCTTTTGGCACAACTGGAAGGCAAGCTGGCCATGTCCTGCCTATATGGACATGGCCAGCTTGCCTTCCTCCTTTGTGAGACTCAAGCCAAGCCCACTGTGCTGCATGAGCTGTCCTGTCAGTGTTTGCCCTGGGCACTCAGGTTTCCTTCAGTGCATACTCACAGCATACTTCACTTGCTGTTCTGTCTCCCTATGCCCCACCCCAGGCCTGGCTAAATTCATGGGGGTCCTTGACCTATCACTGCTTTGTGGCATAGTTAGTGGTTTAACACCAGGCTGCTGCTACTGGACTTGCTGTTTGGCAGGGAAGCTTTGGCCTTCTTACCTGAGTCAGGGCAGGAGCTTGCCAGGTTCCTGCCCTCTGCTCTGTGCCCAACTCTTCCTGAGGGCTCTTCCTATTTGCCAAGCTGTTAGCCTTGCTTGCCTGCTGTGTAACCCTGTGTGCAGCAATGCCAAGCTGTTCCCTCACAATCCAAGAAAGAAGTTGGCAGTATACTATTCTTAAGGAAGTCTGACTTACTGGAACAGAAGATTTTAAGCAGATATGATTTGCTTTCTCTCTGGGTGATGCTGTTTCCTATTTTAAATTCTGTCTGTTTGCCATGTGTTAGGAGGCTGCTTTCCGAAAGGTGGTGCAAGCAACTATGGTGCGAGATCGTCAACATGGTCCTGTTGTAGAGCTGAACCGAATCCAGGTAACATGGAGATTGTTAACTCAATCTGAAGGTGTTAGAAGTGATGCTTTCGTGGGTGCAAGGGGTGTCCCTTCAGCCTGAGTGAGGACAAGAGTGCTTGTAGCTTGACATCCTTGTGCCTGGGCTTGAACAGGTGCCTCCTTCCTTTTTGGCACTTTCTATATATGATATTTTGATGCTGAGGCTACCAAATAGGAATATAAATGTTATCCTTTATAGCAAAAGTGAAATTATTTCAGATAACCCAAAAGCACAAAGAAGATGAAGTAAAAAAGAAGAAAGTAAAAATCAGCAAACAGGGCTATCTAAACTGTGTCTCTAGTTACCATCACAAGTTAAGCTCAAAGAAGTAGAACAGGTCAAAGGCCCTTGATGCAAATGTCCAGTTGTAAGTAGTAACAATTCTCATTTCTGTCAATCTCACCTGGCTCTGGGAGTTTTTTTAATGTGGTGTTGAGGATCATACCCATGCTTCACATGTGCCAGGCAAGTGTTCTACTACTGAGCCACAAACCCAGCCCATTAATACTTTTAAGAAATAAAAGCAGTCCATTTTTTAATTTATGCTGCTGCTAAATGTGCATAAACTTACAGTTTTAAAAAAATTCAAAATAAAGAGAATCCTGGTCACTGATTATGATAGTGTGCAGCACTTGACATTTAATATGCAAATGAAATTGGCCTCATCTCTTGGATCTGAAACAGCCATGAAGAACAAAATCTTTGTTCCTGAACCTTTGTATTAACACATGATTTTTACCCTGATGTTGATTACATGACTAAAGATTTTTTCAGAGTTGTACTTGGGGGCATTTTGAATTAAGACATCAAACTTGTCCTTTGTTGGGACAACACATGTGACCATATTTGTAGAACTGGTCTTTCCACTAACGTCAGAGTATCTAATGCTAAGCTGTAGGTCAGTCAGTCAATTCCACAAATAAATGGGTTGTTTAATTAAGTTCATAAAAAAGCTTTTATTTCCCCACCTTGGATGATCATTTTGGTTTGCTCTGCATCATTAGGACATGAATACTAAGTTCATAAGTTAAGAAAATCTGATGGCTGACACCATCTAGCGCATACTTGTCTCAGGACCACACACAGGCTCCTTGGGGTCAGGGACTCTGAATGTAGGTGTTTGGAACCCAGGTTAGACACCCTGTTTCTGTCCTCTTAGATTTTTCAAGAATACCTCTTTGCTATGTGTCTTTATATATCTATGCTTCAGAAATGTATAATTCATGGGTAGATGGCAAACAAATTTATAGTAGGTATTTTTATAAAGGCAGGTAACACCCTTCAGCCCTACTATGCATAATATGGACTGATGCCTGGGGACTGCTCAGGTACAGCCATAGCCCCCAGCCACCAGACAGGTGCTTGCAGTTTGGGGCAAACTCCTTCCGAGGCTAGAAAGTTCTCCATAAATGTGAAAATAGAATTGTTTTTCAACCAAAATTAGAGCATGGGGAAAACATGCAGTGCATCTAAGGTGAACACAGGACACCAGCACAATGGCTGTGTGGTTCTTCTGCCCTAACTATCACAGCTGTTGGTGATGTTGCCCAATACCAGCCTCCTGTGGGGACACTGGAGGAGGGAAGTGCACATTTATCTGTGGGAAGTATTCCATAGATGCTGGCATGCAGTTTGTCATCCTAGAGAGTTTTTGTTTGTTATGAATATGATTTAGTTTTATAACAGGAAAACCTGAAAATCAGTGTCCATTAAAAATTTTAATTACTTTAAAATTTATTATAGAATTAATACATGCCATTTCTGAACATTTAGAAAATTCAGATTAAAGACAGTTAAAATCATCTGACCAGAGAAAACACTGTGCATATGCAGATTTATCTCCTTTCAGTGTTGAAACTGTTAACATGGCCATTATTTCCTGAAGGATGGGTGGTCTCTGATAGTTGGTACTGTCAGTCAGGGGAGGCAGCACAGTGGTTGAACTGGAAGCTAGACCCTATCTCACCACTCATGTGATAGTTGTAACATTGTGGACACATTCCTTTTCATAGTTCAGTCTCCTGTGAGGATAACAGATACCTTAAAGAATTGCTGTGAAGTTTAAAAGAATAGCATTTGTGGACATTTAGTTGAGTATGTGGCTCAGACGAAAGTTCATTCTACAGGAAACTATTACTTTCAGTGTCACTTTTATTTTTAGTCTTGATTGTGATTATTTGTGCTGTAAGGAGAATTAGCTGTTCAAATTGGACCTAGAACTAACTTGAAGTGGTTAAAGATGACAAGGGTTTTTCTGGGAGTCAGCATGAAAATTCATTCCAGTGACCATTTTTAATTCATCTTTTCATGCTGTCATCATCTCAGACTGAGCTTCCCAGGTGATTGTGAATTATAGCCTGGGTTGACAACTCTAAGGGAAACTGAGAACACCAGCATCATTTGATCTGTTCAAATCTTAGCTTAGGATGACAACTGTGTGCATGCACAGTGATTGTACATGTGAGGGTGACTCAGTGATTCAGGATTGGACTTGGGATCAGTACAGTGGGTGGATGAGAGGCGGGGGAGGTATTATTCTGGTTGAGGTAATGTGTCTGGTCTTGCTCTTGAGAGCCTCTTGGCCTGAATCTTTGAGTACTGGGAATCTGTCCTAGGACAGCTTTGGGTGGCACCTTGTTCCATGGAGGTCGTGGCAGTATAGTTCAATAGTATGGTGTAACTGAAGTTACAAAGCATGAGGATCTGTGAAGGAGTAGTGATACCATGTGTCATTGTTGGAAGGTATATTTGTTCAGACCACCAATCCTGGGGGCTGCCATACACATCACTGATGACCTGCTGAGTAGGGTGAGGGGGTGATGGCCTTGGATGTACAGAGTAAAGTGCCCTGGATAGTCTGTTTGCACAGCACCCATGACAGGAGACATATGCTGCCTCCTTACACACTGCATCAGGATGAGGAGCCATAGAAGTAGGTCTCTGAGGTCCTCCGAGGGTTTGGGGTATAGGAGATGAGGAAAATGAGTCAATCTTGGAGCTGTGGTGAGGGCTTAGGAGGAGCGAGGTGCTTGTCAATTCTTTCTGTTTCCCCAAGGATTTGCTTTGATTATTTGCCAGGTGCTCACAGTGGCTATGAGGCATGCATGCGATCCCTGTGGGCTCTGCTCATGCTGGCTCCTCAGGCAGTAATTGTCCAGAGGTTTACAGATGCAAGAGGAGGCTACATAGGCAGTGGGCCAGGCTCAGGGAAAGCAGATTGTCCTTCAGCAAACAGAGTAGTAAGGGGTAGAGTCGGGGAGAAGCCTGAGGGCCCAGTGTTCTCCACAGGTGCATGCCAGGCTGTGTGCACATTGCTGAGCAGCTGTTTCATGTTTTCTTACTTTCTTCTTTCTAGGTCAAGCGCTCCAGGAGTAAAGGTGGGTTAGCTGGTCCTGATGGCACCAAGTCTGTCTTTGGACAGATGTGTGCTAAGATGAGTTCCTTCAGTCCTGACAGCCTTCTCCTTCCTCACCGTGTCTGGAAAGTCAAGTTTGTGGGTGAGAAGTTGTCATATGCTGGAGAATGTGTGGCTTTCCTGAGGGGTAGACCTTGAGCTTGCTGGGACTGTTGGCAGAGGGCACATGCACGTGGGATGCAGGGTGCTCCAGTGGTTGCTTGCCTGGTGCTCTTCATGAAGGGTGGGAGTAGGCAGCCTGCACATTGCTGGTTCTCTTTTCCCACCAGGTGAATCTGTGGATGACTGTGGTGGTGGCTACAGCGAGTCCATAGCTGAGATCTGTGAAGAGCTGCAGAACGGACTCACTCCCCTTCTGATTGTGACACCCAATGGGAGGGATGAGTCTGGGGCCAACCGAGACTGCTACCTATTCAATCCGGCTGCTCGGGCGCCTGTGCACAGCAGCATGTTCCGCTTCCTGGGTGGGTCTTCTCAGTTGTCTGTGATACTGCAAGGTCAAGTTTATGTTCACCTTTAAATTAGTTTAGTATCTGCTCAGTCTTGGAAGAGACAGTAGATGTTTTAAATATTTAAATTAGTTAATATTTAACTTTTGAGAGCTTTACCCGTGAAAAGGATTTTTAATGTTTATTGTGTGTTTTGCCAAAGTTATGGGAGCGAACAAGGTGCTGTTCTTAGTTCTGTGCCCAGCATTCAGGGCTTGGTAGTGCTGACTTCAGAAGCTATAGCCAATCCATGCACAGCTATGGACATACAGAGCCTGGTGGCATGCTAAGGGCTGGAAGCAGTGTTTGACACTGAGAGGATCTGAAATTACTGTGTTTCTTCATTCTAAATGTATTTGAAATTTCGGATCAGATTGGGTAGGGAGGTCTTGGCATGGGCTCTTCCCTCCCTCTTGACCCATTAGGGTCTTTGCAGATTGCTCCCAGCCTCAATGTCACACCACTGTTCTCTGGTAGAACACCCATCTTCTTGGAGAACCTTCAGCTCTTTGCTTTGCCATCAAAGGAATAGGAACTGGCCTCAGTCTGGCTTAGACCTGTGTGTGGAAAGAATACAAAGAGTAAGAAATTCATATTCCAGGAACAGAAGGAAATAATGGAGTTAGAGTAGGGAACATGATTTTGAGAGTGGGCCTAGATCTGTGAGTTTGGATAATGTTGATTTAGAGGGCATTAGGGCCTTGGTGCAGAGCCAGTGCTCTATGGCATGTTTGAGTGAACTAGAAGCAATTTTGTCATCCATTTCAAGGATCTTCTGTCTCTTGTGTTTTGAATAATCAGGAGTATTACTGGGCATTGCCATCCGAACCGGGAGTCCTCTGAGCCTCAACCTTGCTGAGCCTGTGTGGAAGCAGCTGGCTGGAATGAGCCTCACCATTGCAGACCTCAGTGAGGTGACTCACCTGGGCTGTGTGGGGGTTCCCTGGGATCTTGTTATAAGGCATAGCCTGTTTTGGGGGTCTGGCCGCATTCACACTCCAGGGTCACTGAGGCCACTGGCCAATGACTACCTTCTAGTCACAGAGGTGTGTGGATGTGAGGCTTGTTTGCTTGTAGACCTTGATTTACCATCTCTTTTGTAGTGCTTTGCAACCTATGGTCCTGTCAGATAAGAAAGCCCACTGTGTCTTTTTCTTGTGCAAAAGCTGAGCTTCTGGGTGACTGGGCAGTGCCTCAGACTGGGGAGGGATTGCCTGATGCAAGCAGCCATAGCCAGGCTTTCCCCTTTGCTGCCCAGTCTTTCATGCCACTGCACAGGGAATAATCTGTCACCCACTAGTTCCTGTTATTTTCTCAGCAGTTAATTTTAAGAACTTTGTTGAATGATGAATTTGATCAGCTTCTTGGGTGAAGTACTTTCTTGTTATGTCTTCCTTTTGTTTCTTGGTACATGTGATGTGCTTGCAACCTTTGAGATACACCCTGAGGCACACTAAGGTCTGCCGTGACAGTGTGCTTGGGAATATTGGAGTTTGTTACAGGAACAAGCCTGATTCAACATGTGGGCTCTTTCTCCTCAAAAGGTTGATAAAGATTTTATTCCTGGGCTCATGTATATCCGTGACAATGAAGCCACCTCAGAGGAGTTTGAAGCCATGAGCCTGCCTTTCACGGTGCCAAGCGCCAGTGGCCAGGATATCCAGCTGAGCTCTAAGTACACACATATCACCCTGGACAACCGTGCAGAATATGTCCGGCTGGCAATAAACTACAGGTTTGTGGTCATCTGTTCTCACTTGCTTTGACTTGCTAAAATAGCAAAAGTAGCAGGAAATGGTTGGTTAGATATCTACTTTTTTTTTTTTTTTTTTTTCACATAAAGGTGTCACATAGAGCAAAATGTTAATGGGACTGGCTCCAGCTATTACTGATCTGTGGTCATGAAGCTTATTTTGTGACCAGGATCAGAGTAGTTCCTATTCTAGTCTGAGTTTTCTGGCTCTAACTAGAATACTGAAGTAGATACAATCTGTCTGTTTAGGGGACTGCCCCTACAGGGCCCTTCAGGCCTGTTTGTCCCCCTCAGTGCTTTCTATGTCAGCTCTGCAGGGATAGCTTTAGGTCTGGAGCTCTGTGTGATAGAGCAGCATCCCCCAGGCCTAAGTGCGTGCAGCCTTGGATGCCACAGCTCAGGTGGGGTGTGGTAGTAGGTCAGTGACACCACAGCACCTTTCACTGCTTCCTGCATGTCGGTAGGCTTTGCTTGCTGCACTCTGTTGGGGATAGTCCTGGTGAGTGTCACATCTACCTTGGAGCTTTGACTGCAGTCACAAGCTGTAATCCCACAGTCTGCTCTAGGGTTACGCAGTGTCTGCTCCAGTGTTGCATATTGCTATTGGACCTACAGTGTCTGCTCCAGTGTTGCATATTGCTATTGGACCTACAGTGTCTGATTCCAGTTCCTTGGGTTTCTTATGAATTTGAGAATTGTGTTTTGGAGTGCCTATAACTTAGCCCATTTATGAGACAAATGTAAAAACAAACTGAGTAAATAATATGCCACTTATGGTAATTTTGAAATAAATATTTATGTTTTAGAGTTCTATTCTTTTGAGAAAAGTAACAGGTGAGTGATTAATGATAATATTATTAATGATTTTATTAATAATACATCATGTAATAAACTCTAGATTGATTTCCAACTTATTATAATACACCTGTATCCATTTCATTGAAATATTTGCAGAATTGAAAACTTGGGACCTAAGGGGTTACTTAATTCTGTACCAGTTAGAGGGACTCAGTGTTGTGAGAAGCTCTGTGGTAACTAGGTTTGCAAAGCAGAAAGAATGACAGATTCTTACTAAAAGTGTTGAAGTGTCAACCAGCCCTGATGGAGTGTTCTTTGGTTTGCAACACACATGGATTTGTCACCCAGGATTGCTCCTCTCAGCCCTTATAGGCTTGGTGTCAGCAGAACAAAGTCAATGCCACCAAAGACAGAAGTGTAAAGTGAGTTTTTTCTTCCAGACTCCATGAATTTGATGAGCAAGTGGCTGCTGTTCGGGAAGGGATGGCCCGAGTTGTGCCTGTCCCCCTTCTTTCTCTGTTTACTGGATATGAACTGGAGACAATGGTATGCCAGCCCCTGCCTGGTGCTGCCCTAGAACTGCCTTTTGCATAGTGACCCACTCATCAGGATTACTAGTTCATTTCTTATTTAAGACCTTGAATTTGGAAATCTAAGATAGGTCCATGAGTGTTGAATGTGGACACACAGTGTGTGTCCCTCTTATACCCACCCCATACAAGGTTGAAGTGGAGGGTTGTGTTCATGTCTACCTGGGTCCCTTGGGACTTTCCCTCACCCCAAAAGCAAGCCTAAATAAAGCAAAAAGAATGACAGATTCTTACTGAAAGTGTTGAAGTGTCAACCAGCCCTGATGGAGTGTTCTTTGGCAGGTTTGTGGCAGCCCAGACATCCCACTGCATCTTTTGAAGTCTGTGGCAACATATAAAGGAATCGAGCCCTCTGCATCCCTGATTCAGTGGTTCTGGGAAGTGATGGAGTCTTTCTCTAACACAGAACGCTCCCTCTTCCTTCGCTTTGTGTGGGGCCGGACTAGGCTGCCCAGGACCATTGCTGACTTCCGGGGCAGAGACTTCGTCATCCAGGTGGGCTTGTCTCTGAGTTAATGGGTATTGGGCTGGTGTCAGTTGAAGTGTCGTGCCCCTTGCACATAATCCCACAGTAGACTGAAAAATGGTCTCTTGTGTTTTCATAGAAACAAGTGTATATCCAACTTCACTCATTTGAAGGATCAAAATTTTATCATCACATTTACCTTTACTTTACCATTACTGGTCTTAAGAAATGTGTGTGGCCATCACCAGTATATACTGCTGTTATGTCAGCATATTCTAGTTTTTGAACACACATGTTATGTAAAGCATTTGTTTAATTATCTGGTTAAATTAGGTGAATCATTAAGCAACATGCTACTAACTGAGAAAAATGAGACTGCTCCTCAGATTGAGAATGAGAGTTTTACTTTAGGTTCTACCTAAGCAGGACTAATGGTAGGAAAAAAGCTCAACCTGACTTCTGGCCACTGAGGTGGAAAGACCTAACACTCCCCTCTCTGTCCTGAGAATCTGGTAGTAACAACTTTAGAGGACTGGGCCCTGTGGAGGGTTCCTCTCTCCCTGGCATGGTTGGAAGAATTAGGGATGGCTTCTCCCCAAACACATCCTAACCTGGGCTGGGAACGTATCCACTCTTCAAGGAAATTTTTGAGAGCATGTATAGTTTTTCTCTCAAAAAAGTAGGTTATTCCTACATTTTGTCCATAATTCTTGCTACTTTCTAGTGTCAGTCTTTAGTGGCCAAATTGGGCAGATGGCTTTGTGGAGGGTTCCCTAAGTGGATGAGTATTGGATCTAACTCCTGGTCCTGTGCCAGCAGGATGGAGTCTTATCTGTGTCAACAGAGATGAGACATTCTACATCTCTCTTCTAGGGATTGACTGGTAAAAAGTAATCATTACAATAACTAATTGGTATTTTTCTTTTTTACAAGTCCTAGGAATGAATTGTTCCCTTTTATTTCTAAAATTGGCTAGATTCTTCATTTCCTGGTACTTTGTTATTCTTAGCAAAAAACTGATGATTTTTGTGAGAGTCAGGAATTTAATGAACACAAAAAATCGATTTGTAATTTTATCTATCCTTGTATGTAGTCTCTGATAATTTAATATTTGTCATCAACAGGTCCTGGATAAATACAACCCCCCTGACCACTTCCTTCCTGAATCCTACACCTGTTTCTTTTTGCTGAAGTTGCCCAGGTATTCCTGTAAGCAGGTGCTGGAGGAGAAGCTGAAATATGCTATCCACTTTTGCAAATCCATAGACACAGATGATTATGCTCGAATAGCCCTCACAGGAGAGCCAGCTGCTGATGACAGCACTGATGACTCAGATAACGAGGATGTAGATTCATTTGCTTCAGATTCTACTCAAGATTATTTAACAGGACACTAAAATGGAGGAATGCAATCAGGTAGCAACAGAAGACTGAACAAACAAAGCAGAGTGCTGCTGTTTAGATTGCGGAGTATCTAGTGTGTCCTCAAAATGTGTGGGAGGGAGGCAGAGTGACTGACCACCCGTGATCAGAATAATGAATGGAATAATGATGGGAAAATCAGCCTGTGCACGTGGAACACTATGTGGACACTTAACATCATTTTTGAGACTTAAAGTGTCTTCTCACCCATAATGCTGCATTACACATAGGACTCTGTGTTTACTAAAGTGTGTACATGTTTATATAAATACTGAATTGCAGCATCCCAAAAATGAATAAAGCCTTTTTACTTGTGGGTGCAATAGATTTTTTTTCTTTCAAGTGTCGTGCATCGTCTTGATTGTATATTGAAAATATTGTGTAATAATTAAACGTATTATAAATATTTCAACTAATTTTACTCCAAATTTGTTTATTAAAAGCTTTTTGAACGTTATTATCAGTATTACTTGAATGCATCCAGAGGTTATTTAAACAAAAATGAAAAACAAAAAGGCCATTTGATTCTCTCCTTGTCTCCCCAGGTGTACCATTTTAGTGTATGCATTATGTAATTTGAATTGAGGCCTTTCTGTGAACAGTATCATAACTTCTATCATGGCAAGTGTACTATATAATGTTTGTGTCATATATATGCCGAAATTTTAATTCCCTATAAATAAAACATCTGTCACAAAATTGTAGGCTGAGCTTTCTTAACCAGTTAGACTAGCACTGGATGTGCTACAACCAAAACACAAATTAATCTTTGATACATTAGTGGTTAAGCCATGCCACTCTTAGTTTAGACTCCATGACAGAGAAGTAATCATCAGGAGAAGGTTCTAAGGAGAAGAGTTGGTGTTTGTGGCCACGGGGTCCTGGAGCCTTCAGTGTTCTTTCCCTTGATCTCCTGCCCAGCTCTGGCCATCTTCACACTCCTTGTTCCTGTTCCCATTGGCTTGGGCCAGGGATGTCCCTGGACTAGTTGGCCCTGGAATTGGGTTTGAGCTGCTTATGTTTGGGAAGCTCTCTGCAAAGGTAAGGACAGAGAATAGGAGTGGGTCTAGTGCACTAGAACTTGAAGTCACTGGTGTTGGTTGATGCAAAAGTTTGTATTTCATGTTGAGATTTCTCTATTGAGGGATAGAATGTTTGGCACTGGCATAAGAGAGCCAAACATGGAAAGTTTTTTTCTGGGAACTTATCCATGATCAAATTGGGGAATGCCAGGATCAGTCTGTTTTCAGCTTGGCTAAAATTTTCATTTGCTGTTTTTTTTTTTTTTTTTTTTTAAATCATCAGCTCTTTTTGTTGTTAGTCAACATGTGTTACATAACAAAAATACCCCCAAAGTCAGTGGTATTTAAAAAGCAGTATTTTTTATCCACCCAGATTGGCTGACCTTGGTGGGATGGCTCTGGATTAAAGGTCCACTGGGGCTCTGCCTCACATACCTCTGGGTGTGTTTCATTATGATACAGGTACAAGAGGGCTGACTGTGCTGTCATCTCCACCCACACCGTTGGCCATAGCCAGTCATGCAACCAACCCTCAAATCAGTGGACTGGCAGATTCTGTCTCTAGTACAGTGGTTCTCAAAGTCTTGTCTGATGATGCCTGTTTTTTTTTTTTAATTAATTGATTTTATTTCTTTAAATACATGACAGCAGAATGCATTACAATTCTTATTACACATATAGAGCACAATGTTTCATATCTTTGTATATAAAGTGTGTTCATGCCAATTCAAGTTTTTATACATATACTTTGGGGTTTTTTTGCATTACAATTCTTATTACACATATATACCACAATTTTCATATCTCTGTATATAAAGTAGGTTGACACCCAATTCATGTCTTCATACATGTACTTTGGATAATAATGTCCATCACATTCCATCATCCTTGATGCCTGGGGTTTCCTTGCAGGGTGTCCAGCAGGTCCTCTCTCCCCACTTACATGTCTGCATGAAGCCAGATTTTCTTCATGTCCTTCTACCATAAAATATATTTTAAAATAAAATTTTAATACTTGAAAATTTTTCAGTTTTAATTTTCCACGTGGTAACTATTGAGACTTATAACCCAGATAAAAATTGAGGCTCTGAGAGAGCTTTTAAGAGTCCAGAAGATTTCCAAGACTAAAACTGCTTCTCTAGAGATGTGCAGAACCACAGCAGAGAGTGTGGCTGTGTGGGGCACAGATCTGGAACAAGCAGGCCTCTACTACAAGAGGTGGAGCTCCACTTTTTTTTCATGGTTAGAAGCCTGAGACAGACTGGCAATTGCCTGAGACAAACTTGACTGCCCCCACTTTTTTTTTTAAACTTAAACAAAAAAAAGGTTTATTTATTTCATTCTCTTACATCATGCTATTCACATTTTTAAAAAGTGTGGGGGCTTTGTTTTTCATAGTCACAACTTCATTTTTGCCCAAGAGGATTCTAGGACAGTAACATGTTATCTTCAGTTTAACTTTTTAGCCTCCTTCAAGTAATGAAGCCTAAATCTCACCTTAGCAGATCAAGATTTGTGCAGCAGAATCTATGGAAAATGAATCCACCCATGGGAACAATGGAACACTTCAGTTACACCCATTAAGACCCCTTAATTTTGGGAGGTTCCACCAATATTTTGAATTGTGGACTAACTGATTTGATGCATCATGTTTGCTTTTTTACTGATAAAAATGATGATGGACATATTTAGAATGTGTATAAAGCTGCAATCTCCTTAGATTTAACAAGAACTTCACAGGGTGCTTATACTAATCTATTCTCTGTTACTGTAACAAAATGCCAAAGGCTGAATAACTGAAAAGAAAAGAGGCTTATTTAGTTCCGAGTTCTGGAGGTTCAGGACCATGCTACTGGCATCAGCTCAGGTATACTGAGGATCTGATGGCAGATGGCATCACAATGACAGGAGCAGAATCAGAGAGAGAACTCTCATGTGGCAAGATAGCAGCCAAGAGACTGGGCGTGGCCAAGCTTGTTCTTTTCTAAGAACCCTTTCAAAAAAACTAATTTGGGGTCACAGAAGTGTTCCTAAATCTCTTCCGAGGGCATGAACCTGTGACCCAAGAACCTCCACTAGGTCCCACCTCTTAGTTCCCACTTTCCCAATGTGGCCATATTGAGGTCCAAGCTTCCAGCACATGAACCCTTGGGGGACAAACCACATCCAAACCATAACAGTGCCAAAGCATAGCAAGGGTTGTTAGAATTCCAGACAAAAACTCCTGGTTTCCCTGCATAGAGTGTACCTACACTGTCCCTGAAGACAACTTTTGCCTTCCCTCCTGCAGGACTTGCTCAAGTGGCTATGCCTTCTGCTCCTACCTGCCTTTAGCAGAGTCCCCTGCTCATGTTTGATCACAGCCCGTGTGGCTCTGGCTTGGCTCTGTGGTTTATCCTTTCTGTCTGCTGAATGCTACTTATCTGTCCTTCTGAGCTGAAGTGTATAAGCTCCACTCTTCACACCAGTCTCAGTCCTGGACCAGATCTGCACAGGCAGCTGCTCAGCAGGTCCTGTTGTAGAGGAGTGTAGGATGGGGGTCGTGTAGAAGTGGCCCTTCTTCTGCTTGAGATTTGATCCAAGACCCCAAAATTAGTCTTTGGCTCTGTTGTCTCTGAAAGGCACTTGGCATGGCCTGAGCTGGGACCAAATCTGGATCCTCAACATCTATAAATGGCTTTTTGAGCAAGAGGGTTCGTACCCACAGTACCTAGCCTCACAGCATTCTCTCCAAAGAGTGATCTGCCTGGATGAAGAAACTGCTCAGCCTTGTGGTCACCACTGCCAGTCTTAGTCTTCAAGGACTCACGCTCGGGTTTAACTAGAATCGAAAAAGCTTTGAAAAAGCTTCCTAAATCCATGTGATATAAGCTATCTTGACTTGCAAAAATTTCTTCATTTTAGGGAGAGAAAGAAGTTTGGGGAATGCCATTAGTTTTGGAGATGTTGAGATGTTGAAGTTTATCATGAAATCCCCTTTGAATTGCTCTGCTGTTCCCTGGGCACCCACCTCACACACCACTCTCTTCCCACGTTTAGCTGCAGTGTCACCTGGGTCTGGGCTACTCCTCCACAAGGATTAACTCACCAAGGCAGCTGGGAGACACGTGAGCATGTGATTCCTCAGAGTTTAAATCTGCTGTGTGGCTCGGGGTCTTGTGATCCCTCACAGTTCTTCTTGGTAAGCTAATGTTTGGGCATTAACATAAGCTTGATAAATCACTTTTTTTTTTCTAGAAAAGCTTTACAGCCATGATCTCTGCTATTGTGTATCTTTTATCACTAGGATCCTACCTGTTGGATAAAGCCTGGGTTGTTCAGGGGTGCAGGGTCCTGACTCCTTTCCTGGTGTGCTGCAGGAAATGAGGTGCAAGAGTCACTAGCTTCTCCTGGAAATCAGCCCTACGTACTTCTGACCACAGGGCCGCCAGTTGGTGAACTTTGCCCTCTGCTGGTCAGGAGGAGGTCCATGGGGTGACGGTGGTTGTCCTGATGATAGCCTTACATCAGTGTGCCTGGGTGGGAGTGGGGGGGGAGCAGGGCTGGTGGTCAGGAAGTCAGGTAGCCAGAGACTGCTCCTGAGGAAGTCACAGGGGTCTTTCCCTGGCTGTGGGCTCCTTGACCTGTCCTCAGTCATCTCTGCTTGCAGAAATGATGTCCACATGCAGTAGGCATCTCAGTGACTTAAGCACCCCTTCCTGTGGGCTGTATGGCTCCTCACAGGCCCTCAGCTCCCCAGGGTGCTATTAGGATAGTGTCCACTCTTTGCAGAGCTGTAGGAAAGGACTGGGGAGGGCTGAGCTCTGCTGTGACACAGTGCCACACACTGTAAACTCTCCCACTAGCACCAGAGTTCTCCTACACCTGGTCTTGACATCATGTCACGGTGGTCACAGGCCTTCTGATGTCACTGTGGTCCCTTGGAAAGTTCCCTGTGCAGGAGCAGCTATGAACCTCACCTGCTGTGAACTCTCCACTCAGACATCAATGCCAACCATGGGTGGATGCCAGTGGTGGTGTCTGGGCTCCCCCCTGTCTGACAAGGGTGAGAGACAAGGGGTGCCTTCACGGAGTC